ACCCCCGCAAGGATTGCCTGCAAGCGGACTGTGATTCCAAGATGGGTCCTCTTTTAGCTATTATAGCGTCGGAGTGTTCATCCTGCTCATCCAAGCGTCTACCTTGTCCGAAAGAGTGTCCGAAAGGATGCCGTGATTAGACGGAAGACAGAGTCGCATTTCTCCGCATGCACTGATTAGTATTGATGGGGGGCTCTTGCTAAGGGCCCTTGCTAAGGGCCCTTCTGTCTATAATGACTAGGATTATGCAGTGTTAGCTCTGTAGTGAAGTACTAGTAGGTAATAATAAGATTTTAAGTAAGTATATACGAGTAAGTAAATAACATATATATAACGAGTTGGAGAACGGCACCACCAAAACGGGCGCAAAAGGCATCTTCAGCAAGGTCGTAGTAGGTTCTAGTCCTACACACAGGGGTTAGCCGGGGCGGCAACAGCACGATTAGTCACAGCCAGACTGGCAGCAGCCACCTAACGGGCCGAAGCGATGGCTGCGGGGAGAAGAAGCTAGGGGGTTAGCTAAACACCGGACTTGAGGCCAAAGCAGCTGTTCCCCGCTATTGCACGGCGTATCATCGGGGTGATCCTCTTGCATTAGCTTTCCAAAGGTTATGTTCCACATACGGGGCGATTCTCTTAGCTATTTGATATGTTCCACACACGCCCCGGCAGCGCTTTACCTATCCGCAAGTTAAGCCTATGGGGGCGTAGACTCAAGCACTGATCAAACGGCTGAATTTTATCTATTGGGGCAGTACTTTTCTGCTATTGGGGTATTGGAAGTACTTTGAAAAAGTCAAGAAAAACTATCTTTTATTATAAATAAAAAGAGCCTTAGAAAAGATATAAAAATAGTTTTAAAAAAAATTCATAAATTATTTGAAAGCTGAATTTATGTAGTATAAATTTTTTATTTTTTTTCTTTGTTTATTTATAAAAATATTACTATAAGAAACTATAGTAATTTAATTTTAATTTTTTTTTATTAAATAAATAAAAACTAAGTAACTTTTTATATAAAAATAATATTTATTTATATAAATTATTATAATTTTCTTAGTGTACTTCTTTTTATTAGATAATAAACTAAAAAATTTTATATTAATTTATATTTAGATTTTCTAGCTTATTATTGTATAAAAAATAAAATTTAAGGAAAAATATTAAACTTTATTATATAAATTATACCCATATATTTTTGTTTTATCATTACAATTTTTTCTTATATTTTTAAAAGCCTAATGAAAACGTAGGAAGTTTTAGATTTAAGAGACCCACCGTCCTATGGGGTAGATACCACCCCAATAGCAAAAGAATACCCGCCCCAATAGCAAAAAGAATACCGCCCCAATAGCAAAAGAATACCGCCCCAATAGCAATACTCGAATTTTAACTTCATATGACCTGCGGCCCCTGCACCTGCCGCAATAGGAAGTAAGCTGATCTTTCCACTTGCTAGCTTTACGAGTTGCTTTTTTTTAGATTACTAGGCCAGCCCCTTTGGATACTATGTCGTATAACCCCGCACGATTAGTTAGGCGTGGGGGTCGGGCCCAGGAACGGATTTTGCGGGGTAATACAGTTCCCCACGAACGGTCCGACTCCGAAGCTGCGGGTGGTCAGCACGATACAGCACTCCACCTCTCCGGATCCTTCCAGCTCGCATGTTGGAGGGGCACTCTACAATAGCTGGATGCACATGTTGGAGGTGCATTCTACAATAGCTGGATAGCTGGATGCGCTTCTTCGGAAGACCACCATCAATCTGTCTCCATCATGGCTACCATGAGCGACGTCTGGGTTGGCCTGCCATGGGCAGTGCAATGGGCAGTGCAATTGATCGCGACCTGCTTTGTCCTCATTGCAACTGTGTTGATCACGACTTACCTCAATTCGCTCTCCCATTCATGGCCAGTGGCAGCAGGAAAAGGCCATGAGCCTCCAATAGCGCCCTACTGGCTTCCAGGAATCCAGCATCTGGCGGCCTTCCTTCTCAATCCTGCCCGCACTTTCCGCAAGACCCAGTCGAAATACAAAGATTCGCCTTACACATTGCTCATGGGAGGCGTCAAGTTCCACGTTTTTGGTTCTCCGTCTGCCGCGACCCATGTCTTTGCGCGCTCGCGCACGTTTGCGTACGAACCGGTGACCATGAGCATGCTGGAGAATGGGCTGGATCTGCCCGTGGCCGACCGAGTTCACTTTCAAATCGGTCTGGATCGAGCAAACAGCGCAGAGAATGAGAAGGGGTTCGTGTTGCAAAACCATAATGTCTGGTTGCGATACTTGTCAGGCGAGCCGTTGGACGACCTGATGCAGCTATTCACACGCCAGTTCCACCAAGTCCTGGAGCAACACCTAGATATGAAGACAAGAGGCTGGCAGACAGTCGATCTATACCAAGTCCTGCGCAAAGTCATCTTCGACACCTCTGTCCTGACCTTCTTCGGTCCCCGTCTTGCTCCGATATGGGGTCCTACCATGTGGGAGGACTTCTGCCTGTTCAACGATGCCACCTATATTGGTGTCAGAACAAATTTGGCATATGTCTTGCAGCCGCGGGCGGGCCGCGCGCGGGAGAGAATGCTACGCGCCTTTGAACAGTGGTTGACGCACCAGTCAGAGGGAGACTGGCCGGACAAGAACAAGTATTGGAACGAGGAATGGGGCGCAAAAATGAATTGGGAACGTGACGGTCTGGCGCGACAATTCGGCCTCTCCCTCCGTGGCCGGGCGACCATGCAGGCCAGCTTCCTGTTTGCAATCGTTCTGAACGCCGCGCCGATGAGTTCCTGGTTTACGTGGGTGGCGGCGAGTGATTCAGATCGCCTGGCAAAGTGTCGAGCTGAGTCACTTAAGTTCTTGCGACCGAGCAAATCACCCCGCTTCGATCACGAACTGGACATCGACGCCACGGGATTGAGAGGCAACAACTTCATGCAGACGTTGTGGAAGGAAGCGTTACGCATAGGCACGGCAGCCTCGCCAGCACGTGTAGTCATGGAAGACACAGAGCTGGAAGGGTATGTCGTAAGGAAGGGCAGTGTGGTCCTCATGCCCACTGCGTTGCTCCACCATAGCGACTTGTTCCCGAGATCGGACCAGGTTGACACGGAAAGGTGGACGGGCGAGGATGCCATAGTCCAGCAGCGGAGTAAGAGTATTCGCACATTTGGTGGAGGTATGGGCATGTGTTCTGGACGGCATGCGGCCGAGCAGGAGCTTATCGGTCTGGTCTCGAAGCTTATTACGCTGTTTGATATCGAGTTTGAAGACTCGTGGAAGAACAAGTTCCACTTCGACCCAAGAAGTCTCGGAATTATGCATCCTGAAGGTCCTCTAATAGTACGCCTGAAGCGGAGAGAATTATAACACTAGATACAAGTAACGAAAGCCACGTCTATCTTAATGACTCGGAATTCCAGGTTTATTAGCTTCGTGGTGCCAGCTTTATAGACTTGTTGTAGCTTCAGCGACCTCTCGAATCATTCTCGCAATTTGCTTCATTTCCTTACGACCTCTGGGGAAATCATGCCCACTGGGATGATGGAACTCGCGTGCTTGGTCGGGATCACAGAGTCGTAGCAAATGGAGACCCTCGTGGGGATTACTCTCGTCGCCCTCGGTGCTCCGGATGTGCAGCGTGGGCACGTCAATCAGTGGCGCACCGTCTGCGGGTGGTTCCCATCTGCAAAGGCCATATGTGCCGTTGGATAAAAATGTTGTTCCATCGACCAACTTCTTGCCCTTGAGTTCTGCGAGCAACGACAGTAGTTTTGCATGGTCGACCTGGTCCTCATCGCTGACTCCGTCCTTCTTTCGCAGCGCACTTGGACGAAGAAACATATCCTCTGCCTGCTTGGTCATGGGTGCGGCATCTACGACGACGTCCTCCATGACTTGGGCGTCCTTCATAGGAAAGCAGCGCAGGGGAGATGCTCCGTTTATGAAGACAGCAAATCGAAATGGTCGTTCCATGGCAAAGGGATCATCATAGGTTGCCTGAGCCAAGATCTCTGCTGCTAACGCAGCACCGCCTGAATAGCCCAGAACACCATCGAATGGGCCCTCTTCGGCTATAATCTTTGCAAGGTCGTCATGAGTCTGCAAGATAGAAGCAGGATCAAAAGGGTTGTAGTATGTGTAAAGTGGAAGATGCGAGAATTGTGCTGTGTACAGGGACCAGTTGCCTTCGGTATGTCGAACCGTGCCTTGTACAAAGGTCCACTCAAAGTCGTCGAGATCTGCACGGAAGGCTGCCGTCTGCGCCCGAAAGATCTCGTTGTTGGAGCCTCTACCGTGAAGGCAAAGGATCTTCATTGCAGGAGCGTTGTTGCCGTAGGACTGGTCTCACTCGTGATTGAACAGTTTCTCTCGATGGAAGTACGGAAAAGGGTGTGATCTAGAGCACTCATGCGATGACGCACTCACCTCACAGATCGGAGATGCTCGTGACTAGGGCATAACTTACAGACGAGGTCATGCCAACTTGCAAGAAAGATACGACTTTGAAACCCACAAAAAGCATAAGCCCTACCCAAAGTATCACTAAACGGACACCCCCCAGCTAATTCGGCTTGGTTGATTTGATTGATTTGACTAACCGCCAAACCCTGCATCAGATTAGGGAGAGAGTATCACGATTTCTGCGGAATCGGAGGGTTACGTTGCAGTGGCTGCCGTTGAGTCTGCAGGGGCTTACTTTGTAATCCGACAAAACACTTTATTGATGCCAAGAATACTATTACTAATATCATCTTCAGCAGCTTCCCTTTGCATGCTTATATAAATATCAAAAATGATTAGTGTATAAATAATTTTGAAATAATTTATATAATCGTTATTATCGTTGATATACGAGTACACTGCTGATCTCTAGGGTGGACAAAGTCCATGTCTTTATCTCTACCCCGCAGTGTCAGCCGGCACCCCTCAATTGAGGTATAGCCACCGGCCGTACTGCGGTGCTCCACGTGTCCGTCGCTTCGGTGCGGGATCGTGGACTGGCGCCAATTGCTGCACGACTTCCAACTAGCAAGTCTGGACCATGACTTGCAGACGGATTTTCTATACCGCCTAGGCCGACAAGCCTCCAAACGCTAGAGACGTGCAATCCTTCGTGTCCTGTCTTGCAGAAGTGCATCTGAGTTGAAACACCGTGTCTTCCACAGGGTCTGAGCAGGATTTGCGAAGGAACGCCGAACAGGACTAGACTGAGGATGCTGCATGATTGAGTCGGTCCGTGCACATCATCATCATCGTCAATGTCATTGTCTGTTGTGAGCTACTGTACAACACCAAGACTTGCATCAATTTCCTCAAGGACCGTTGACCAAACGTCTCGACTCTCGACATGGATGCCCTCACACTGGTTGCCGTCGTCTGTCTCCTCGCCACAGGCTTTTGGGCATGGAGGAATTTGTACTATTGGTATTACAGCAATGGCCTGATGGAGTTTCTGGGACAACGCATCATGGCTGATCAAGCTCCGAGTGGCCAGCCGCTCAAAGTCCTCTGTACCAGTGGCCGATTCCCATCTGTTGACATGCAGTTGAAAGGCCCCTCAATATTCCAACTCCTCTCCTTTGAAAGCTGGACCTATCCAGATGCCACGTTGGCCGGCTTCTACTTCATCAGCTCCTTCGGCGTTTCATGGGCCCTGATCGTGCTGGAGAGCTTGCGCTCTTACAATCTGCACAACTTCGGATCTTGGACCACTATCCCGGGATTGCTCATGTTCAATCATACTCCGGCCATATATCTGCCTCTGTATCTCGGTGTACGGCTTGCCCTGATGACTCCGAGCAACATCACACCATCAGACCTGGCGATTGACCCGGTTCAACTCGAGCTTCTTCCTTGGGCCTTCACCATTGGCTATGTGGCGCCGTTCATCATGATGTTACTCCCCGACATTCGCATCCGCGATATAAGCACCAAGCAGACCGTCGCAGCTTGGTGGCAGCAATGGCCTGCTTATGTTGCTCTCTGTCAACTGCTGTTGTCTCTGATCTGGCGCCCAGCAGTGCTTCCATCATCGCCTCTGGCTACAGAAGCTTGGCCGCAGGTTCAGTCCGTGTACATGTTCCTCTTCGTGATGGCTGGTTTGTCACACTGGCTCTCGGTATTGGGCGCCTTCGCAACACGCGTGACAATGGCCGAGCTTTTCTTGCCGGCCTGGCCTAGAAAGGATAAGAAGGCACGCCACGGGTGGGAAGCAGCAAAGTGGTGTGTGCAATGGGACGTCGTCCTGGATACGCCTGCCATGATGACTTGGGCCGGTGTTCTGTATTGGCAGACGGGAGGAGTCATGGACTCTTCACTTTGGCAGCGTCTGCTTGTCAACTTCCTGCTCGCGGGACCTATGGGGGTTCCCATTGGCTTGTTGTGGGAGAGGGATGCATTTGTTTTGGGTCTCTAGAGCAGTCTTACAGCTAGCTATTGTTTAGTCCTTCATAATAGAATATCGTGGCCATCTTGTGATTCTCTGAAGCCACGGTATACATGTACTATAGTGCAACCTCTCACATCGCCGCAAGACTCAGAGGTAATCGTAATCCAAATAATCACTGAATCACCAACAACCCCTAGTGGTCGCTCCTCGGCAGTCTGATAACAGCGGACTTGAGCGTTGCCTGTGCTCGTTACCACGTAGTCGGAATTGTGGAGACTACGGAGTATGTGCACGTGGAAAGATTTAGCAGATATACATGTATATATACCCCTCGATCTGTACTTTATCCAGCTGCGCGTGTGATGCCACACCAAAAATAAAACTCCAAATCTCATCTCATACACAACTATCTGACCTGAATATGGCCAGTGACAATTCCTGGTGGAAGGATGCCATTGGGTACCAAATTTGGCCAGCTTCTTTCTACGACTCAAACAACGATGGCATGGGAGATCTACCAGGAGTCATCAGCAAGCTCGACCATCTTAAAGATTTGGGTGTAGACTTGATATGGCTATCACCCGTGTACGACTCCCCGCAGGCGGATATGGTACGACACTAATATAATCTCTCGAGTAAAATTTAGACATGTAATCACTAATCTATGTGTCAGGGTTACGATGTTCGAGACTATGAATCTATTTGGGACAAGTTCGGGACCTTGAAAGACATGGACACGCTCATAGCAGAGGCAAAGTTTCGTGGTATGAAGCTCATTATGGACTTGGTCGTGAATCACACGAGTGATGAGCATGCATGGTTTCAGGAAAGCAAGAAGTCCAGAACGAACCCAAAATCCGACTGGTACATCTGGCGTGATCCCAAAACTGATGCTCAAGGCCAGAGGAAGCCGCCCAACAACTGGCGCGCCGCATTCGGGGGCAGTGTGTGGACTTATGTCGCGGAAAGAGATCAGTATTACTTACACCTCTGCCTTGAGAAGCAGCCAGATCTCAATTGGACAAACCCGGAAACAAGGGCCGCAATATATAGCACAGCGGTTGATTTCTGGTTGCGGCGTGGTGTAGATGGATTCCGCATGGACAGCGTCGTCGCTTTCTGGAAAGACCCTCGTTTCCCCGACTCTGCGATCACAAAACCAGATCAAGAGTTTCAACCCATGGAAGGCAAGTTCATCATGAACGGAGCTCCCGTACATGACTGGTTGAAAGAGTTACGAGCTCGCATCGAGCAAGATCATGGGCCGGATGTCGTCCTGATCGGAGAATTACCCGCCACTGAGACTGACGAGATTGTGCGCTACATCGACCCATCTGCGAAAGAGCTCAACATGATTCTCGACTTTGACCACTTCATGGCCGGCAACGATTGGCATGCTGATCTATCTGAGCGCACACGGCCAGCGCTACCGCTGCTCAAAGATGCCATCATCAAACAGCAAGACTTTATGCAATCTGGTTGGACCAGTGCATTCACCGAGAACCACGACAATCCTCGAAGTGTCGATCGCTTCGGCCCCGGCGACGGCGAGTATCGTAACGCTGCATCCAAGATGCTGGCCATGTTCCTATGTACTCTTTCGGGGACAATCTTTCTGTATCAGGGCCAAGAGATCGGCATGACCAACATTGATGCATCGTGGACACGAGCAGATCTCAGAGACGCCGCCGGCCTGGACTACTTCGACGAGGTTGCACGAAAGTTTCCGCACAACGTGGCCAAGCAAGAGGCTGCGCTAGAAGGCCTGCGCCGCCTTGGGAGGGATAATGGTAGGACGCCGGTACAGTGGTCGGCTGCTCCGTATGCTGGCTTCAGTAGCGTCCAGCCATGGATCAGAGTCATTGACAACTACAAGGCGATCAACGTAACCCATCAGGAGAATGACCCTGACGGTGCACTGGTTTTCTGGAGGCGCATGATCAATATGAGACGCGACTATAGAGATCAGCTCATCCATGGCCGATTCCAGGTACACGACAAAGAGAACCTGAAGACATTCACCTATGTGAAGACTGGTGTCGATCCGACCGAGGTCCTTTTGGTGTGTTTGAATTTCGGGGATGAGAATGCCGATGTGTTTATCCCTGGTGACGTGAATGAAAGCAGCATGCGACTCCTGCTGTCGACTTCATCAGAGGACCCCCTGGATACCGAGCACGGCCGGCAACTTCATCCGTGGGAAGGAAGGTTGTACAGTTGCCAGAGGAAAGAAACCGATGTGTAGCTTGTAGCTCAAAGTAGGTCGAAGATGGCAGCAGGATGATTATACAATGTATATAAGCCAGGTAGTGCGAGTGTTCGCTTTGTAAATGAAAAGTAAACATGCCTTCCTTTCTAGATCTTCTAAATGAGATTCTGCAGCGTGTTGGCAACCTGCTCTCTTTCAGGGATATATATAGGGTTCTGCAAGCTCGCCGATAGAGTCACGAGATATTTAACAACAACCATCCCAAGCAAGCTGAAATATAGGACCTAGTTTTTAAACATAAAGAATGCCTACACTATATATGGCAGAAAGGTGTTCAAGTCATTCTACTAGGTCATGATCTTCGCTTTATTAAGAAGAACGACGACCTGAAATAGAGAAGTGTAGGTCTTTATAGTATTAAAGGACTATTGGCAGATAATAATAAGGACTTAAAAGAAGATCATGGATTTGTATCCCCTTACGCCCAGAGATCGCCGCCACAGTCTCACAGTGCTATAAAAAAAAATACTGGAGGGTGAAGTTGCTGTCTAGAAAATATCTTGAAAGAATATCCCTAACAGCATCCCGCGCAGGAAGAAGATCCTGAGAACGACTTCCTTGATGGTAGGTTTTACTGAGTCCGATCCCGTAAACGCAAGATAGACTATTTATTTGCTCAATTGAACGAGGGGAAACCTAGGAAGACGATAGAATAGATTGTAGGCCAAGTTTCAAATCCGAGTCTCATCACAGCGTACAGACCATAAATGCTACGATACTTGGATCCTAACGATCAGCACGCATAACTGGCCGCCAGTGCAAGTCGGTAGAGTCCTGACTTCACTGATATTATATGAGTAATTTTGAGTCACATCGAGAGGTTCACATTATATTGCTCTAAATGCAACTAACATTAAATAAGTTGATCCTTGCATAGACGGTCTGGCTTGAGTGATTTGAACTTCTATCCTGTCTTTGCAGGACAAGCTTCAATTTGTAGATCAATTTACTTTCCTCTCGTTGGAATGAAGGCATGTACTACGTCTCCGCTGGCACCCGTCAAAGACAAGATCATTGTCATGTCCAGAGCTAGACGAACGCCTAGTAAGAGAGCCGTAATCCTCACTAAGGGGTTTTTATTTTATTTTTCTACTTTGTAAGAAGGTAAAAAACTTGTAGATGACACTTTCAAAGCGAGAAAACAATGAAAGGAAATTGTCAACCTGGCTCGGCTCGCGGATTCACACACGCCGGAAACTGATGTTTCCTCCTTGTAACGGACATAATGCCGAATGCTTAGACCAAACCACATATACCGGCCCATCCATTGCATTAGCAATCCCCGGATCAACAACCATTCACGAAAATTTTCTATATTCAAGCGAAAATGATCATCATCATGGATCCATATATGTATGTCGGATCATCCGTGTTTGACAGATTCGCTCAGGAGGCTGTGATCCTTGTCCACTTAGGCTCCGTCGAGGCAAGCATCAGCTGCATGAGCGAAGGAACGGCACTGACCTTGACCCATCGGCCCCATGTTGAACCGCAACCGGCGTCTTGGATTGCTCCGATGCAGGCATCGCCGGGTCGCTGAAGAATCCACTGGTAAATTCGGGTATACTCCGTTTGACCCTTGTGCCTGATCCATATCTTGGCATTGTCCAGCGGCCGAATGAGTTCATCCCATCTGAATCTTACCAACAACAACAAACAGCGTTTAGTAAACGGTCTGGGATATCTGGGACGGGGCATAAAGATAAAAATCTTTGGTCAATTGAACCCCTTACATGACAGTCAAGGTTACTATCTAGATAATGTATCACGAGAGTTCAATGGTTTTGCTCAGACCAAACAAGTGTAGGACAAAGTTTGTCTCATCTTCATCTCGGCGTATTATCCGGTATCCAAGAGACGGCAGTAAATGTGTACAAGAAGTTCTCAGAAAAGGGTATTCAATCTTCCTCCATATAAGTTCTTGAAGGATGCAAAAGACGACTTCGACGACTTTATCAGCCGTATCTCAGACGTTGTGGTCAAAGCAGCACTGACCAAGAAAACCGACGCCACTAAAGAGCTATTTGATGGTTTCAAGGCTTCATTCGATCAGGTCATAAACGCCAGAGCGGGAGATTACGGCTCCTATCTCATTAGGGCTGTGGAAGCGAAAGGCATCTTTGAAGGTATAGATCGAGTGGCTCCTTATTCTACACTCCTGATAAATGACAGACTCAGATGAGTATCATCAGTTGCAAGCTCAATCTCTTCCCTAAGATTGTTTATATCTTTTATCTTTCCTTTACCATCCCACGAATGGTATGTACCCCAATCAGTCACCGCCCAAAGCTGATAGCCATTCAAGATTAGTCCACTGGAGTTGTAGATGAATTTTATCTTCTCCCTAGAGCATTCTCCCCAGATCCCTGAGGTCATTAATGTCCCAATTGCCGAATGCCTCATATGACGACCAGCCGTGCTTAGCAGTAATCCTGAGCCGCTGTATGTCCAGCTTATGCGATTCAAGATGCTTTAGGTAAAATTCTTGCAGGCAGATCATGTCTGTCTCAAAGTTGACCCAGACATAACGTAGCTCAGAACCAATTGTGAAGGCCCGGCGATACGGCGCGTGTTGTCGAGACTCGCGACAGACGTGCATCACCGGCGGGCATGGCGTTGGTGTGACTACATGTACCTTTTCCACAGCTTCAGACAAATTTGTCTTCCAGCGCACATGAACAAGCCGAGGATGAGCTGCTAGGCTCCAGATGTGAGCGCGAAGCTCCTGTGGAAGGCGCGGGAAGGGATGAAAAGTGGACATTGTTGTGGTGAGATTCTCTCGCTTTGGCTCGGCTTCACATGGTTGGCTTTAAATATGCTCAGGCAGAATCCATAAAATGGAGCCGAATGGAATGCCGAAATTGCGATGGGATGGGAAGAACGGTGAAGCGGGGAAAGCAAAAAGCAAAATGAGCGAGAAAGAGAAAAAACAAGACCAAAAGACAGCCGGTCGTGAGTCAAGAATTATATCGTGAAATGCATGTTGGTTGCAAGCGTTGTCGAAGGATGGGCCTTGATCCCTGACTCCGGCCGTCACTTGCCCTTGTCGACATCGGAACTATTGTAGCTAGCCCCAGGACTTTAAATACAACCTTACAACCTAACCTAACTTGAAGGTTAACTTCAATTGCCATCCAACAACATTTGCCCCCCTGGCAAGCTGAGGCGCCACGTACCAATACAGCCAACATCCGACTCACACCGGGTTTAAAGAAAATCCTTTCCAACTCATGCACACGAATAATCGTAGCTAGTAATCGTAGCTTGCAAGCTTCGGAAATTGCCCTCTTGATGCGGTATAGTTGACCTCTGCGCTCACTTGGAACAAGCACTCCCAAGCACCTCCAGACTGTATCTACCTCTTAGAACACATACTGCTGCGTAACGTTTATGCGAGTTGGCGAGGTAAGATGATTCAAAAGATATCACTAACAGACTCGCTCCCTCTTTGATTCCTTTTCATGACCGTACAACGCCTCTGAGAGGCATTCGCCCAAAGTCATCATTTCATCTCATGTTCTTCAACACTCTCTTCATCAACCTGCTTGCCTTCATCATATCACCGCTTTGCCAGACTCATAGATTCCATTCACCATGCTGGTCTCATCATCTCAGGCCCTCCTGGCATTAGCCTTCGTTGTTCGTCTCTGCGGAGCCGGTCCAACGCCTCAGCTGCAATGGGATCCAGACACAATCTCCAGCTGTATGGAATGGATCGACAATGTCGGCGAAGAGACTTGTGAATATGTCAGGGATATGTTCAAAATCAGCCCAGAGGACTTCCACACATGGAACCCATCTGTTGGCCTAGACTGCAAGCCTTGGAATTTCCAGTCATATTGTATCCTGACTAAGGAGAGATGGGCCTCTTTTACAAGCACCAGAAGTGTTTCAATGTCAAAAACCACCTCCTCCTCCACCTCTACGAGTGTGTCTACTCACGTGCCTTCTCCTACGGCTTGGGAGGCTCTGGGCTGCTACACTGATGATGTCCCGGATTTGCCAGTCCTAGAGTATAAATACTCCAAGGATGGTGGCGATCCGGCTCTCAAAATCTCAAGCTGCCAGTCGACATGCTGGGCTGCCTCTCGCAAACGCGACGTCCTCTATGCTGGTGTCAAGGAAGGCAACCAATGCTGGTGCGGCAGCTTCGTCGGAGGAGAGACGTCTCGAAATCAGACTGATTGCAATATCCCATGCAGCGGCGACAAGACGCAGATCTGTGGCGGCAAGGGACGCATTAATGTCTTCGCGCCTATAACCACTAGCCAGCCCAGCTTCAAGTTCCCTACCACGACGAGTGTCAGTACCACTGCTACAACTGCGAAGAGTTCTTCTACTTCTACGAGTACGACGGCAACTGCTACAAGCACTCTGGGAACCGTTGTCAACACAGCCACTCCTGACTCTGGAGCTATTAGATTTCGTCCCATATTTCAAGTATTTAATTAGAGATGGGATGCATAATATTCTATAGATAATGGAGCAAGCAATGTCATATTCTTCGTAAATAGAGCAAACCTATATCCCACGTGGGCTCCTGGCCCGACACGACCAACAACACATAAGAGATGTCATCTCTATTAGTGATGGAAGCAAGACTATAACCATAATGGTGAAATTGACACCAATGCATTGGCTCTACACATACGCGAGATCAGGATTCAAGAACAGCAGCCCCTTCATGCAAATCATAAAATATCTTCGACGTCAGGTTTCATATTGTACATCCAACCGCCTCCCAACCAAAGCGGTGCCCACGTCCTCTATTATACATTTCATCTCTTTTTGCAACCTTTCAGAACAGCGCCCTTGTCCCGCCATCAAACACCCAAACGTATGTAGACATGGACGACATATACATCACCCCCGTTCTATGCTTATTTTTTTTCCCCTCAGTCTCCTCGTTTTACCTCCTCAGCCTAGCTGCTCCTCCAGATGCCTTGCCCATCCTTGGTACTGCAGCCGCCAGCTCCGCAACTCTCTCCTTCTCTTGCTCCTCCGCCAACTTCTGTATCAAGAAGTTGTCAATCAGCTTCTGTCCCTCCACCAACAGTCCCTCCTCGGCCTTCTTGGCGTCAGCAATCGCCGCCTTCTGGCGGTACTCAGCCAGCTCCTTCTTCCTCTCCTCCGTAAGCCGCCACTCCTTGGGGAAGCGGGGCTTTGGCTCGATCTTGTGATGCCGCAGGTCGAGAGGTATGTCCGCAAAAGTATCCTTGGGGTCCTTGGCCGCAGTGATCAGGTCGTTGACCAGGTTGACCAGGTACTGCTTGTTCTGCGCCTGGTGTTCAAAGCTCTCGCAGCTCATCTTGACGAGTTCCGTCTCTGGGTTGTATCGCGGACCAGCAAGCTTCTTCAGCTTCTCGGTCTGGACAGGCGTGAGTTTCAGGTCGTCGGGGGCAAACTGGACCACCACTTTCTTCTCGGCGGGGTGAGATTCTCCCATGTATGTAGTGTACCTCCATCTCAGCACCTGCTTCTCTGTAGGGGGAACGAATGGCTTGGCGAATTCTATGTCAAGTGTCAGCTAAGATATAAGTCGCTCGCAAATTCGGAACAAAGAGTCACTTACTGGCAAGAAGAGGCATCTCCCAGATTGCCAATCGAGCATAGTGTCTCATATCTCGTATCTCGTCAAGCTTGCCGTGTGCCATGGACGTGATATCATCCTCGTCAAACTCATCGTGCTCCTCGGTGTTGGTCTCAGGGTCCTCTTCGTCAAACCAGAAAGATGACTTGTTCGGCTTCTCGCCAGCATCGTCTCTGAAAAGATCCTCTTCCAGCGCTCTGTCCTCTGAAGCCCAGCCCGGAGTCTCCCGCAGTGTTGCCTCAAGGTACTCGTCCACACTCGTGTAGCCGTTGTTCTTGGCAAGCTCGTCCAACTGCCTCAAGCTCTCAGGTGTGACGCTGTCCAAGAAAGCCTTGTTCATCAACTTCAGATCCAGCGTCTTGAACGCATCACCGTCGCCATCCTCCCCCTCCTGACCGGCCTTTTCGTCTTTCAACCGTCGTGGAGTTGTCGCAAATGCTCGGCTTAATGTCGGAGCGTGCCAGGCAATTGGCTGTGTTCGAGGCATCCGAGGCACTCGAAGAGCCTGCCGGCAGGCCAAAATGCACAGCCTTCCGGCGCTCGATGCTGAAGCCATGCCGAATTGAATCGAATTCGCAATGCCCGCCCCAGGGTATCGTTTCGTTGCGCGGGATGCGGGACTACAACATATGGATCTCAAATTTTTGGTGGGATGACAATCGCGGCCGAGATTCTTCCGAGCCACGTCTCATTGGCGGCTCACCAAGGCAAATACTCGGCTAATCAGCAGTCACCGAAGCTTCTTTTAGAGGAAGCGCAGCATGGTACATAGCGCATGTACCTTTTGGTACACCTTGGTGGGCTGGGTGGACTGAACTTATAAGAGCTCTGGTGATCCAAATCAAACTCAATTCCATTCTTCCCCATTCATGGCCTTTGTCGCTTCATTTTCGAAATGGCAGCTCTTCAACGAAATTGCTTAGTCACTGTCGGCGCCACTGTCGGCTTCAAACAGCTGACGGAACAAGTCCTCCAGCCCGCATTCTGGCAGTTCCTCAGCTCAGAGGGCTTCACCTCACTTCGCATCCAATGCGGGCCAGATATTAGCTGGGCAAGCGCCCAACTAAGTTCTCTTCAAGATGATGTGCCACAAGGATTGACAGTCGACGTATTTGAATCTACAAAGAATCTCATGAAGGATGAAATGCTGCTTTGCAAAGCTTCTAGCGGATTTCGCCAAACTGGCTTGGTTATCTCTCATGCCGGTATGGATTGTCTGCTTCTTGCAGATGAGAATGGCAAGGCTAACAATACTGAATAGGAACTGGAACAATACTTGATGCATGGAAAGTTGGCCTACCGGTAATCGTCGTGCCAAACGAGCAGCTACTAGACAATCACCAAGCAGAAATGGCCAAACACCTCGCAAAGGAAGGCTACGCCATCACCAGCACACCAAGGTAAGAGTCTTCTCATTCAAAAAAGACCCTATGAAGTCAAAAGCAAATTCAGAATCTAACCCCATATCCAACCCCTAGTTCTACGGACCTTCAAGGAGCGATTCATAAGGTCAATCTGCTCTGGGAAGAAAACAAATCTCGCTGGCCCCCCCACGAAGTCAAATCGCAAAAGAATCCCAGTGCCCTTCGCCTCTGGGACATGCACCCTCAAGAGGTGGAGAAGGAAGAGGACGCTCAGATGACCAACGACTAGGCGTTTGGCCTCTGCGGTCGTTTGTCCCTGTGGACTGGCTAAGAGGAGGGTTTGGAGAGCAGAGCACGCATCATGTTATTTGCATTTTGGGCAACGGAGTTTGGGAAGAACTAGTCGGATGTAAGCATGCCTATCTATTTTAAGACTAGATATAATGACTTGGGAATCATGATGAAATTCGGGCAAACAAGATGAAGGAGGCAAATTTTTTTCTATTTACAATTTGATCAAGGAAGGTTGTTGACTTCCCAGACCTTGACGGTCGCATCCTTTCCGGAACTTGCCAACCGTCCGCCTCTAACCCAAGTAATGCCCGTCACGCCGTCAAGATGAGCGTTGGGCGCCTTGATACGCTGGCCTTGGAGCTTCTTCTCCAGGCACCAGACAAAGATGTTAGAATCCAAGCTTCCACTAGCGGCGTAAGCACCCGTGTCTTCCCAGGAGATGCAGGTAACTCGAGCGGTATGTGCCGACCAGCGGTCCGTCACGAGCTCCCAAGATCCAACCTTGAAGACGAGAATCTTGCCGACGCTTGTTCCCGTAGCCAAGTGACTGCCGTCCTTGGAGAAGGCCAGGGCAGTGATTGTGCCAAGGGGAACGGACACGGACTCCTTGTATTCCAAGTTGCCGCTAGCCTCACTTATGTAGATTCTCGCAGTATTCTGCTGTCCTCCGATAGCGACATAAGATCCATGAGCTGCGATAGCATCTGGCGTAAAGTCCAGAGCCGTCTCTTTGAGCAGTTTGCCGTTGGAGTAAGCTGCCACACCGTTAACGCCAATCACGTAGACAATGTCGCCAACCGAAGCTGCGCCCTTGGGCTGGCCAGGCAGCTTTGATGATTCGCCAAGGAAAGTCTTGGCAGATTCATCAATCGTCTTGATTGTGTCATCCCATCCTACACTATACACCTTGCCAGAGCTAGCGGCAAACTGGGCAATCTGGTTCGTGTGGGACTGGCCATCCAGGACAGTTGCGTCACCGGTCTCGAGGTCCCAGGAGCAGACACGACCATCGAAGCTGCCAGTCAAAACTCCATTGCCATCCGAGGTACCAATCAGGGCAGTGATTCCCTTATCGTGGCCCTGAATGACTCTGACGGGCTCATTCTTGCCCTCGCGCAGGTAAGTCAGCTCACCAGCCAAGTTGAGGCTGATGATGAGACCGTCCGTTCGGCCGTGCGGGATGACAACTCCAACCTGGTGGTCACGCACACTGACTCCGTCGCCAAACTTCCAGGACTGAATGACACTACCTGACTCGGCGTCCCATAGCTTGACTGTCTGATCGGCGCTGGCCGTTGCAAACTTCTTTCCGTCTTGGGACCATGAAACACCAAAGATGCTACCAGTGTGTTCTCCCTCTCCAATCTGCTTGAGAGGTTCGCCCGTTACGCCATCGTACAACTGTATCCGTCTATCCTGACCAACCGTCACAAAAGTCGATCCATCGGGCGAGTAGACAGCACTCAAGACGAAACCAGTGTGCAGGTTTGTGACGCTCTTGAACTCGAATGGGACGCCGTGGTAGAAGTTGACGTTGCTGTCGTCGCCAACAGTGACAGCACGCAGAGGACGCTTTGGTGTAATGCTAACAGCATTAATAGACTTTGTGTGTCCAATGATTTCTCCCACCGAGTTGCCACTATCAGCCATGATGGCCTTGCCAAACTTCTGACGGCCATTGCCCACGGCAATAATGCGCTGAGAGTCACCGTCCCAAGCAATATCCAGCAAAGGGCCGGAGATTATGTTGTACTCGCCGCGAGTGGTTTCGACGGACTCGGGCTCCCATATTCTCAGGACACCAGCCGAGTCACCACTGGCAATCTTGAAACCGCTGGGCGCAAACCGGGCAATGGTCGTGGGATGGGTGTGGCCAGTGTATTCTTTGGAGTCTGAGGGATCGTCGATGGACCGAACGAAGATGGATTTGCCGGACTGCACATCACATCAAATTAAGTCAGCGCCTCTCCTCTCTCTCTTTGGTATCCAACCCGCGGAGATGCGGTCAGTGTTGGGCAACTCACTGCGTATGCGATCCTCTTTCCCTTGGAGTCTGCCGACAGCACAGTTCCCTGTCCTCGGGCTGTGACGGGAGCGGCTGCCAAGATGCGTTCGATGTTGATGGAAGCCATGATTGTGACTGGCTAGACTTTGAGAAGCTTTGGGAAGATGGAGAATGGCTTCGTTTGCCGATTAATCTGGTCGCGAGGCAGGCAAGCTTCGGGGCTCAGGAGGGGTTGAAACGACAAGTGTAAGTCGATGGTGGGGCACTGGGGAGAAGGTCCGCGCAAGCTAAATCGCGAGCTACTCTGATGCACCGCCTAGTTCCTTTAGCAGTAGCAGTACTAAGGCAATAATGGCTGAGGGGCACTGATGACGTCTTCGGGAACAGCTGTTGATGAGGCTGTATCTGCCTATCGACTCATGAAGACGACTTGAAGGCGGCTTTATAGCATGGCCAGATGGTGGGTACAACGATGGCTGCATTGCGTGTAGAAGTCAATTGCCTATACCAAAGTACCTGCGCATTGTGATTTTATTCATCTGCCTACGAGATGCGTCATCATGGTCAGCAATAAGCGTCTCTTCTTTTTTTCGATATTTGTCTACCTAACGATAGATGCATCAGGCATCAAGAATGTTCGGTTATGGCATCGAGCAGTTTCTTGACGAAGTAGAGCAGTGGTTGATGAGGCTGACCAATGACTTCAGAGTCTCAACGGAATAGACTATCAGGTACCAATTCGGGATGCCGCTACCCTTGAGGCAGCAAGGTAATTATTTGTATGTTGCCGAGATGCATCTCAAGCAGTGTGCTGCCTGTGATAGAACATAACGACGATACACAGTTTTCCATATTGTTATAACAATTGATCTCTTTAATAAAGTCAATGGTTGTAGGTATCAAGTATTATCACGGCCAAACATTCTACCCGAGAGACCTCGACACCTCTACCCTGGCACAATGTTACCATGGTGACTCTCGGCTGCTATGCCAGATTCTCCATCCAAGACACGGGCAACGGAATATTTCCAGCCTGGCCAACGGCGTATAGCTGCAGCTGCCCCCAAAAGGCAAGTACTTATAGAATACCTGTCGCAGCCAGGTGCAGGGCATGTATTACCAGCTCCATATGAAGTGCAACCTCTGAGGCCGTTGTACAAAGTCCCATACGGTAATCAGGTGGACCCTTTACAGAAACGCCGACTTACTCTCATTTCCCAGAGAAGCCCTTCACCTCTCAGCCGCACCTCGAATAACATGGTCAAACTGCTGTGGCGTTGCGCCTCCCGCCAGGGGTAGAAGCCTCACAGGCACAAAGCACAAGAGCTATCACCACCTTACAGCTCCGGTATAACACGAAGTACGAACTGTCCTCGGCCCAAGACCGCTATGTACAACCACAATCCTTGTCCAGCAACAAGAGAAGCTCCATGGAAAATCATCACAAACGACAAGACGAACAACCCCAATAAAGCTCGGACCGCCTGGCGGGATTTCCTCACCGATTCTTACCTGGACCCCCCATGGGCTCAGGGTCGAAGCGAAGCTCATCCTCGGCTGCTCTCTACCAGGTACTCCGTATTTGCTGGCCAAGCCCCCCCCCCTTCCCGGGGGATCGCCAAAACGGAAAAAAAAAAAGAGGGACAGCAAAGAAAAAACAAAGGCGATTCAAAGGGAAATGAAGTTTTACTTTGCGCCGTCACAGGGGCATGTCGCAGCTATTGAACTCTATCCCTTGCTCGACCGGCCAATCCGAGCGTCGCATCAGTGCCCATGGCCCGGGAGAGACCTACCGGCCGGATTAGCCCCTACCAGCCGCTACTCCAGGCACTAAACAGCGCTGGTGGCCTCGTTTCTTTTCCTTCCAGCAGCCATCTCAGTTGAGGTCCCCCACAAACAGCCGCTTGCTCGCTGTTCTAGACCGGCCGTTGCGATTGGCCCGTTTGGGTGGCGATTGGATTGCAAGCTCCCTGACCTCGCATCCCTTTTTGTGATGCATCCATATTTTGCACGACAACAAAAACATGACATGGCATGGAGTCTGTTCTGTGATAAGCAAAACGGTAGGTCGTCTTTCTGGAGTTCACCTGCATGGCATGACGCCCGGCAATACGAGGTTTCTTCAGTCAATGGAGCCTATAACAAACAGTATTTGATATCAATAGTTCCGGTTCCATCTGGGTATCACCGCCAGTCGAGTCGCACAAGAGGCGACCATGATATCTCCTAGTCTTGGGCTCCTCCCTGTGCAAACTCTATTAATCACACACCATGGATACACTTGCACAGAGCACAAATGCTTTTTTTTCTCCGTAACAGCAAGAATCTCTCTCTAGGATGCGCCCAATGTCCATCATCAAGAGCATCTCTCTCCCAGTCTTCGTCCCCTGAGAAGCATCAGACGGGACAATACCTACCTGTATGTCTTACATGTGAAGCAAACGCACTAAGAAGGAAATGACATCTTGATTTGAACAATTCCTCCCTTCCCATCCCTCTCTCCACCGTAAGTACAGTACAAAGTATATCTGCCGACCGCGAATAACTCGGCCGTCGCCCCATGCAACCTCGACAATGGATGGAAATCCGGGGCCTTGAGAAACCCCAACATGCCACTTACCACGCCCCCCCCGGCTCGTCGCTTCCGAATAAGACTTCACCTTGCTCCCCTGGGGACCTTCTTATTTATTTTTCTCCCTTCCTCCCTCTCTCTCCTCTCCATCCCTTCTTCTTCTTCTCTCTTCTCCTTTTTCTTACTTTTCCTCCATAACTCGTAATAATAAACATCCATCTTCCACGCATCAGCATTAGAGAGGCTATTTGATCTTTTTTGGGTCTTTTTATCTTCTTCTTATTACTCCAGCCATCATCTCATATACACCAAAATCATCCACTACCACCAGACAAGATGAAGTTCTTCGCGACTCTCCTCTTCGCTGCTGTTGGCGTTTCTGCCGCCAGTACGACTTCGCCAGATACCCCCGGCTCCAGCTGTCTCGCCGACTACATCCTCGAGGACTGCCTCGGCTCAACCACCAAGACTGTACGTGATAACCTAGTATTCCTTTCATGTCACTGTTGAGGAGCATCCAGACTGACCTGCTATCCCCCCTTAGGCCAACGCTTGCAAGCCCACCGACTACGACTGCCTCTGCGCCGCGTACCAGGCCGTCTTGACGTAAGTCTCTATTCACTCTTTTTCCATAAGCTTCACATACTCATCATCACTAGCTGCTACAACAACTGCCCCAACGACATCCGTGCTCCCTCAGTCCAGCAACAGGTCGACTCCTACTGCCGCACCGCCTCCCTCCTGTCTCCCAAGACCACAGCCTCCACCCCCAAGACCAAGACACAGGGCTCTTCAAACTCCGAGGAGACTTCTGGCTCTGCTGCCCCCAGCAATGACGATGCTTCCACCACCGACTCTGGTCCCTCTCAGACCGCTGGCTCCCAGTCTCAGACAAGCGCCACTACCGGCGCTCGTAGCTCCAGCACCAACGCCGCCGCTGCTCCCACCATGGGAAGCGTTGCCGGTCTCGTCATGGCTGTTGCCGGTGCTGCTGTCGCTATGATCTAATGAGTGAATGGGAGGAGGATGATGTCAAGTGTTTGCATGCGAAAAGATTGAATGAATTGGATTGTTGGGCTCGGAGCACAACAAGCGGGCGTATAATAATAATAGTCGGGAACTGGTTCGGCACGCGTTTGCTCATGTAATTCTAGTTTACCTCTTAATATGACGTTGGGATTCCGCGTCAAACCATCGTACCTAAAGCTCGTGGTGCTCAATAATGTTGTAGAGTGAAGGTTGCACAGCTTGCAAATTAACCGCATCCTCACAATGCATGGATACCTGTGTAAGTTGAGTAATTTGTAGTTACAATCTGTATATAAGCAGAAAACCCTGACTGACTATTGAGAAATCAACATATCTAAAGAACCATCGGACGACACATGAAGATCTGCCAGCTAACTGATGCAAATAGTAGCGGGGGTCATTGGACCCCCCATCATTCTTATTTCCATAATCGCAAAAATCCTCGCGGGCATTAACTGTATCATACAAAAAAGCAGAAAAGAACACACCCTAGGCCGCGCTTTATGCTTCGACACCCATCGGCCGAGCAGTCCTCAAGCAGGCTCCCTTTAACCCTTTTGCGCCGGCAACCCTTCTGAACAAAAAAAGCCAAAGTCTCTAATACAAAAAAATAGCAATGGTTCCGAATACCCTCAATGACCCAAGAGCGCCAAAGAAAAAAAAACGTGAAAAAATAAAAGAGTCCACACATCGTAAGCCAAGCCAAACCAATCCACCAACTATTGAGATAGTTCAAACTGAGAGAAAATGAAAAAAGCCATCACGAGAAAATAATAAGAAAAAGTCGTTAACCACCAAAATAGAGTTATAGTTCTTTAATGATAAAAGGCGTCGCAGAAAATGAAATGAGAATCCAAAACGGTACTCTATGGGTTGCCACATAATTCGGGGTGGTGGGTCGAGAAAAAGTTCCTGTCCAGTGGCAAAGATCAAGATGGTCCTGGTTGAAAAGGGGGGGTGTGTTTTAGGCCTTTCGTTGCCTTCGCTCCTTGGCACTGCTTCTGACAGGGCCAATAAATGTAACCTGCTTGGGATCTTCTTTGCGAAGCCGCACAGGTCCTGCCATGCCCGTCGATTCTCGGCGAAGAGCTCGAGGATCAGACTCGAAATCCAGTGAGATTTCGGCAACATCCGAGACGGATTCCGCCTCCAGCTGGTCACTTGCTCCAGAAACAGAAGAGCCTTCATCAGAGTCGTCATACTCTCCGTCGTCACTAACCAGAGAAGGCGCGTTGTTGCTAACCAGTGTGTTGGGACTCATGTCGGCATCCTCCATGTCCACGTCCTCGTCAGACAGAACTGCGTCTGATCGGTGCTTGTTGGCCATCATGGCCATGTCAGAATCTGAGGGCGAGGCCAGTGCCATATGCGCAGCGCGGCCTTTGCTGCTTGTCGGCCGTGCTGAGTTGCCTCCGGAAACAGGGGTTTTTGCAGTCCTGGCGGGCATGCGCATAACAACCGAGGCTCGGCCTGGCATTGAGTCCTGCATGGGGGATACAGAGCCATCGGCTTCCGACTCTTCTCCAGCAAGATCCTCCAGTGACATCTTGGACTTTGCATCGGCAACGACATCGTGGAGATTGCCTTGGAAGTTGCGAGCCTTCAAGAGACGAGACAGGTGAGGTGCGTCAGAAGATGGGCCAAAGGCGGATGACGATGATGACGGCGATGGCGATGGCGACGCCTTGCCGGGGTAAGCAACAGCATTGATGTTGCGAGGAAACTTGACAACCGACAGCTTGCCCTGGTTGTAAAGCTTGAGCGAGTCGGAAATTCTCATCCGAAGCGACTTGAAGACGTCTTGCTCTACCACGTCTGGACGCGCAAAGGTATGCACGAAAGAAGACGTGGCTGTGGTGGTGGCAGAGGACGAAGCAGGAGCCGATGGCTTGTTGTCCTTGGGGATGTTACCCCCCTCGGAGGCTTCATATGGCTGGCCACAATGAACGGCGGCCTCTTCATGGCTCTTGAAATCACGCTTGTGTGCAATGCGGCAGTGGTTGATGAAGCCTTGGGTACTTGAGAAGTTATCCCTGTGGCAGTCCAAGCACACAAGCTTGACTGTCTGGCCGTCTGCCCGAGTCAGGACGCAAGGGCCTACCTTGTCTTTGGGTGGGGGGTAGCCGCTTGACAGAGACTCAAACTTATGGCTACCGTTGCCACGGCGCCCCTTGACGATTCCAAACCCAAGTTCACCATTACTGTTGCGGGTTGTTCTTCCTTCCAGGACCGGACCACGGGCTGGGATATGTGAAGACACTGGCTGTATGCCATCAAAGGCTGGATCGGGAATGAGCCACTTGGCATAGTGCCGAGAGTAAGGACCATCGACAACACCAAAGGGAGGCGCCCAGCGTGGGACAGCATCGCCGGCTTTGGCCACTACTGCAGGACCCTTTCCGTCGCTGACGTCTAACATTTGTTGCGGGGTGGGACAATTCACAGGATACGGGATGAGATGGCATCGGCGCAGTTGCTCAAGCGCAATCTGACACTTGGCGAGCTCTTGGTTGATCAATCTTAGCTCCTTGTGCTTGAGTAGAATTTCCTGGCAAAATTCAGCTTGGATCAGGTCTCTGGCGCTGTCGACGGCGCAGGACTCGGCAGCCATCGAGGAGGTTGGCCCTCGAGGCCTTGGGAAAGACGATTCCTCGGGCAGCGCCTGGGAGCCGGCCCTGAGGCGTTTAGCTGGTACAACAGAACCCATGGCGTCGTCGTCTTCGTCGTCGTTGTCGACGTCACGATGCGATCGCTTGCGCGGCGACAAGTCTAGATCGCATGCGACTGACGAGGGTCGATTTGACGTGCTGAAGGCGATGGATGGCGACCCATTGACGGTCTTGTCGCTTCCCCTCGGATCGCTACTCCAGAACCGAAACATGGACATGCCCGCGACTGCTGCGGTGCGACTGCGCCAAAGACAGCAATGCGACGCGACAGATGCGACGCGAGGCAAAGATGCGCTGTGAAGCGAAAGGCTGAAGTTGGTGATGAGGTAATGCGCTTTTGCAGCGACGGCACAGAACAATCAAGGCACTTGGACTGGAGCGAGGGATGCGTCAAAGTGGGGCGCTGGAATGCGCGTGCTGAGGTAATCTGCCTAGGCAGTGGCGCTGGGCAAAGGGGGGGCTTGTGAATGCGGCTGGTAGGCTGGAGGCTGGCCTGGCGGAGAGGTCGGGAGACGCTGAACCTGAACCTGAACCTGAACCTGACCTGCAGTGAAGGCAGCGCGCAAGAGGAGGAGGGAGACAAGGGCTGGGGTGAATGAGAGCCGCGCGCTGTAAATGGGGGAAGATGGGAGTGTCGAGTGCTAGCGAAAGCCTCGAACAAAGCCTCTGGCGAGAGAGCGACAGAGGAAGAAAAGAAAAAAAATTAAGGATAGGGAGAGTTTGTGTTATGAGATGAAAGGGGGAGAATTAGAAGGCGGCTTGGGCAAAGGAACAGAAGGTGACAAGTGAAAAAGCAAAGGGGGGGAGGCGACTCACGGCGTGAAAGAGGCGGTTTGTTTTGCACGAGTCTGGCCTGGTTCTGGCTGACACCTGGACAACTGGAGAGGCAGGGGCACAGGCGGAGGCGAGTGCCCAAGGCGAAGGCCTGTGACTCGTCGTGGCGGATGGGCGATTTGTTGCTTTGGGGGGGTGGGCCGTGCTGGCGCTGGACTTGGAGCCAAGCTAGGGCTGGCTGGGCCTCTGAATTGCGAGTACGACGGCGCTGGCAGGCAGTTGAGCCGCTTGGCTGTCTCAATCAATGGCTTCCAAGTTCCGGGCCAGGGGTGGGAGTGTGAGGTGTTGGGCGGTGGGCCGGCGGGTGGAGGAGCTATGGCCGCCTGCTTGTGCGAGCAAGTTACCTGCTGGACTGTGCTTGTCTGGAGGGAGCATGGAGTACCGGTACTCGCTACGGTACGGGCATGTAGACTTGCGGGTACCAGTACACTCTTGCTCCCTTCTGCGCCGTCTCCGGGGGACGCCGTGGGTGGCGCAAAGTACCTCTGCAGATGCGGCTAGGTACTGCGACAGCTGGCTACCGCATCTTGGGTCCGCAGTACTTACAGCCCGTCCTTTGTGCTGAGCCGAAGGGCCTGGACGGGGCATCCGTGTTAGCGCCGTCTCTTCCCAGTACAGTTACAGTTCTTATCGCCTCACTTCCAAGTTTGTTCCACGGGACGGTCTATCGACTGATCTGATGGATGCTTCTCCTCGCTGATAAGACGGACGGACAGCCATTCCAAGTACTAGATACGAGTACTATCGTATATACCTCATTTCGGCATTGATACTGATACTGATACTGATGCACACACTTGATCCAATGGATCTTTGCTAGATTACCTATTGCCTGCGTCAACCTCCCTCTTCTTCCCCTTCGTATCTGCCTGCTGCAACTCGTCGTCACGCTAGCAGAAACAATGGCGAGCAGTGCCGCTTGCAAGCCCACAGCGTATCCTGTATCCTGCTCGCCGCCTGCAGCCACCCCAAGACCCGTCCAGTGGGCGCAACTTGGAGTGCAAGTTACGGTACGAGTACAAGTTACAATCGACTGACCAGGATGAGCTTTCGACCAAAGGCTTCGGGGAGTGTGCCGGAGGAGGGGACCGTAAGCCACGCTACCAGAAAAGCACCAACCAGCTCTTGTTTGCCCGTGGGACAAGGGCCGGGCACGGGCGATTGTCATCGAAGGCTCTTTGCTTCCATCGCTTTGTTTTTTGCAGCCAGCCGCCTGGTTTTTTTTTTCTCTCTTTGTTGCAGGAGATGCCTAGGATACAGGCAGTAGTTTTTGTTTAGTTCGGTTTATGCCGCCACCTTTGCTTTGGTGCAGTTGTTGCAATGCTTCTGTTATCTGCCGCTTCCCGGCACCCAAGTCTGGCACCGAGGATACCGGAAGAGAGCGTCCGTTATGTCTGGTATTTTGTATCAAGTATATATAAAGAGACGCAGCAGTACCCACGTCCCTGTGTCGAGGAGATGTGACCAGTTCTCGTGTGTACCAGATGGTATGCCTGGGCCCTTCGTACTCGATGCGAGCGAGTCCTGCACCGCTGCCTATCACTCTCTGCGGCCCGTAGCCCAACGCCATGGCTTGCTTTCCCACAGTGTAAGTATCCATATCAATGAGTATACCTACTCGTACATGCACGAGAGTAGGAGTCGGCACGGTAGCGGTTGAGGGGACCTTTGGTGGTGTCTATTGAGGGTCGAGCTAATGTCGTTGGTGCATGGCTCCAATGCAGCCCAATCCACGGACCAATCGCCGGCATAGAATCCTCGATTTTCGGAATTCGAGATCGATGCTCAATATCTACCAAGATCCCCTGCCAAACCCGCTGTGTTGTTTTTCCAGATACCATGCTGAGTTAGTATTGAACGCTGAGCAAGGCCCTAAAACGGGGCAATTCTATGGAAGTAACTGTTGTGTGTTTTCGCCCATCATTTGGTGCTGTGTAGACGCATAGCCGTTTCGCCATGTTCCAACTATTACACGCAATACGACATCTGCCCAGCTCTTGACGGGCTGGTGGGCCGATCACGCTGGTAGTGCGGACAAGAAACAAGTAGAGTAGCGCCTCTGCCCCGTACGAGTACATGTCCACTTTTGCAGTGTTACGGGGCACAGAGACTCATCGTCAGTCGTACCTGTACCTGTCCTGGCCGTCTCCACCCAAGCGCTGGCAGAACTCGTCATCCATTTGTCTCAACGGCGTCTGTACTTGTACTTGTACTAGGTGACGATTGGACTGCTTCCCCCAAAACGAGCGCAGAGCAAGCAAGACAATGCATTGCATCTGTTTTTTTCCAGGGTCCATGTGCGCCCGTCCACTGAAAATAGCGTCGAGTGCCGCCAGAGACGCCAGAATGCATGCACACTCCCACAGCGGGCTTCTATTTGGAGAACGTGCTTTGGCTTGGAAGTTGATGCACTCTAGTCTTTCGTCTGATGCGTTTGACTGGCCCGAGGCGTGTCCACACCATCTGCCGAGCAGAGGAACAAGGTTTAGTCCGTTGGGCAGCCACTTCGGTTCAGCTTACCTTCGGAAAACGCTCAACAAAAGGCGGGCGCCGGATCTACGTTGTGCCTAGCCCCGATGGGATTGTGTAGTGCTGGGCTTGGGTGAGCAATGGAATCATCGTTATCAAGGTTGCTTTATATTTCCCAATTAGGCATTCCGAGGGCAATGATACAAGGTGGGCAATCGAATACTACAGCTATACTACTACAACTTGCCTCTTAAATCCAGTAACACAGCTATTTGCTTGATGAGAATGACGCTTCACCACAAAGGGATGCTTTTACATACAATAGCCAAAGTGCGCTAAGATCTAAGACAAGTACCAATGTAGCACCACTAGCTCCAAACCCACATTTTTTTCCATCAAAAGCTCTAGTAAATAATCATCATCAACCTCTTCCAACAACATCAAAACTGCATTCACCACCAAACCCAGTCATGTCAACCGACAATGCCTCCAAGAAGCGCAAGCATTCCTCCAGCCAACCGGCTCCTTCCAAGAAACCTCGCACCCAAGTAAATCCCACCCTGATAGGCCCGCACGAAGCCATCCTCAAGGAACTCTCCGCCAAGCACAACGTCCTCGCCCTGTCCGTCCTCTCATCAACGCAGATTCGCAAGCGTGTTTCCAGCGCATCATCCCATCTTCTCGACAAGTCCGCAGAGTCGCGAGCGGTTCTGCTCCATGCGCGCCCTGCAGACGTCTGCAAAATGATCACGGTGGCGGAGCAATGCAAAAGATTGCTGGGGGAGAAGGGCCAGGCATGGTATCAGTACAATGAGCTCTTCGATCTGCCTCCCGAGGCCAAGAAGAAGAAGAAGAAAAACACGCGTGAGAGGGGAGATGTGGAAGAGGAGGCTGAGGAGGATTCCGACAGCGACGAGGGTGCGTTCGAGACCATGGAAAGTCGATTCGAGCAAGCCGTATTGCCGCCTCCGCGAGCTCAAACATACAAGTCTCTGAGGATATTCATTTCGTATCAGGCAATCCCAGAACTCAGTTCGAGGGAAAACGTAACGGTCCAAACGAGCGAAGATACTCCACTATAGACAAGGTTGCGGATATGGGGAAGCATGGGGTTTGGTTTCGACCAGCTGGGTCTGAAAGGGGAAGAAAAATTTCACATGGTTACAGCAATATGATACCCAAGCTTTGATATACAATCTTATTGAGCTATCAATTACCTCCGGTGCGATACCCAAGAAAAAAACATATGATACACTAATTCAACACAGCGCTTAGTTTCGTTGGAAACCTTTCCTTGTCGGGATATATGACGGACAGGCCTTGCTAAGCCTGACAGTCCAATACAGGCGGCCTCATCATTTTCGCTTGTATGTCCTATGACATGACATTGATGCCGCTTCGGTCCAGTCCTTTGATTTGTTCGTCCTTCTCCAATAGTAGACACCGGTGGCTTAGTACACGGGCTGGTCCTTCTGCTTCTTGGAATGGTCCATAATCCTGAGGACGAAGTTGACAATGACGGCCAACAGCAGGATGATGGCCAAGAAAGTGGGACCGAATCGGTCATCGAAACCAGCCTGCCCCCTCACTCGTATAGACTTTGCTCTCCAGTGGTATGTGACCAAGGCGTAGATCATGGTCAACATGGCCACGCCGGTAAAGAGGAAGGCGGAGATGAAAGACACTCGGTCGCCAAAGTTAAGCATTCCGATGGCCAGGGCACCGAGGATGACGGTAAAGTTGAGCCATGACAGGAACGTACGCTCGTTGGCAAAGAAGACCTTGGGCTCGACGCGAGTAGGGAGGGCAATGCGCTTGCCTATATCAATTGATGAGCAATTGGCACGACATTGTCGACGAGAGTGTAGGGGAGCCTCCATCTAATGCTATGGCGACTTACCGGGAGCGGTTTGGAGGAGAGGCTGAGAAGACATTTCGTCGTAGTAATGAAGTTGATCAAGTAAAAAAAGTTTATCGCTGGACCTTCGAGCTGCCGCTAGTTGATTTCGTCAAAAGGATGACGTTCAGGGCGAGTTACTAGAGACGGTGCCGCGCGCGATTGACGGGTAAGCGATAATATTGCCAACGAGGGAAGCGGCACGTAAGAGTCGAGTCGGAGCAGGTGAAGCTTCGGAGGGCGACGAAGAATTTTTTGCGAAAGCAAGATACCTAGGAAGAGAAAAAGAAAAGCAAGATCCGACCGTGGCGGCCCCCGGCAGCATCTCGCAGGCCAAAAGCTGCAGAGGTACCAAGTTCCGCCCGTCCCCACTGCTGCAGGCCGGATTTGTCGAGCTACGGGGAGCACGTGGGCTTGGACAGCAGCTGGTTAGCTGGACTGCTGGACTGCTGGACTGCTGGACTGCTGGGCCGCTGAACCGCTAGCTGCTAGACTGCTAGGGAGGCGGCTGGCGGATCACGTGCACGGCCCCGCAAGGACAAGCAGCGCGGTTTTGGTTTGCTGTACCAAAAGGGGAAAGCCATGCAGGGCGAACGAGCAACTTGTCGCGGTTGGAAGCACAAGAGCAAAGAGAATTAAGCGTTATAGGTGAGCTCGTCTCCGCGGCTGCATCGCCTCTCAATGGTTGGCTAACGCAGGGCTTCGCTGGAGCACAGGCTGTATTTCCGTCATTGGCATCTTGCAAGCACCGCAGCTGGCACATTGTCGTCGCATCCGCCATCGCATCCTCCCCCCCTAAACTAAACACCCAGCCCGAAGCATCACCAAGCCACCAGTCAACATGTCTACCCCGGTACGCAATGCGCTGCTACAGAGGCTCTCGGAGGGGCTGTGAGACATGCTAATCGAGGATACTAGCCCGTGCCCTTTAACCGACTTAAGCAGATTGCCACAGATGTACGCTTTGTCGCCCAAGCTGTTTGAAGCTGGTTATATCGAGCTCGCGTCGTCTAACATGAGCAAACTAGGTGTGCAACAACGCTATCGGCAGTGCGGAATTCTACGACCACGCCAAGACTGAGCAATGGAACTCGACCATCATCGTATGCCAGATCCCCTCTACGCGACGGCCAAGACACTCTTTTCCCAACCGCTAAACTAACCGCTGCGACAGAGCTCCATGCTGAAAGCGCTCATTTCTGAGGCGACTCCCCAAGGCGCTACTTCTCCCTCATACAAGTTCGCCTGCAACAGCACCATTGTCCAGCACCTTGTTCCCACATCCGCCCTGAACAAGTCCCGCGGCGGCACCGACACCAAGACGGAGGAGCCTCACGTGTCGACGAGCACAGATGCCACCGCAACGGACGGCAAGCCGCACGTCGGCCGACGAGGAATGCACAGCGCAACCGGCGCATACTGGGACGAGAAGAAGGACGGCATGTGGACTTTCAAGTACGACGGAGGCGAGGGCAAGGGCATGGACGTGGTCATCATGCTGATCTGGATCGCCATCTGAGGAAGCACATAGACAAGGAACTTGGAGAGGGGGGGTGAAAGTGAAGGGGGAGAGCCGGCCCCCCTGAGCCTGCATCTTCAGAAGGTCGGTGGGCGGACTCTGGCTTGGATGCGAATAGTACTCGTATGTGAAGAGCCAGGATCTGGGCAAGTTTGCTCCTCTCTATAGACTGCGTGTGGTTCGGGGGAGGGCGGCTCTGGTGCCATGGTTCGCCCACGCTTTGCATCTTTTGATGAAATTACTTGCATACTGAGCGATAGGATGCTGCGATGGACAGCGAGCAGCGCGACACATGGCATGGAAACAAGTAAGGGATACCTACGGAGTCGATTGTTATTTGAGCTGTTATTAATTTACTTTGACCTGAATCATGCATGGCTGTGCTTCTGAAAATTTGTTGTCCACAGCAGTGTTATCTCGTGTAACTGGTATGAATTTACATGTAGTGGCTACAAGACTAAAAGGAAGGTAGATGATGCCATGAATGCGCCGATCATGCATCATATATCGCTCTCGAAAGCATTGCTGGTTGGGAATTCGTCTTTAGGTTTGCGTCAATGGATTGTACAACAAGCCATATGCGGTATTTCGTGTAGACATGGTCCTGGCTACATAGTGGTTTTCATCTTACAAGCATTCAATAGGTAGCAAACACAAAACAGGCGTCGAGATGAAAAGTGTCCATCTACTACGTGCCTCTCAATGCATCCGGTCAGTGTTATTCCATTCCACGAGCCGCAATCGCGCTGTTACGCGCAGCCCAAAAGGCCCTCGCCAATGCATGCAATTGCCACTTAGCGTGCTGCTGTCAAACACCACTGCAAAAACCCTTCACGATGCTTCTTTCAGCGCCGCAATGCAGGGAGAAGCAGCAGCAGGAATGAAAAAGGGCACGCGATCAGCCGCACCTGACCTACCCGGTACACCGCCGGGACGGGAGAGCGAGCGAGCGATTCTCTTTCTTTTTTCTTTTTAAGCCTACGTCCCCTCTCACGATGCCCAGACTTTACACCTACGAAAATGTCCCTCTTACCGATCTACCCTAAAAAATGGGTATCTTGATTTGAATGACGAAAGGAGTTTTACTGCTACGTATGTACAGTACAGAAGGTATAGATACAGGGTCCACGATGCTTCAAGATCAGTCAGATCAGTCTCCCATCTCAGCTCCGCTATGACCTCAGCTGCAGCGCCGGGGTGGAGGCAGCAGACGACGGCTCGGACTGCTAACAAAATCCCCACCGAAGATCGGGATCGTCTCCGAAGGGTCCCTTGGCCGGATACAGAGCGAAACGACGGTGTTGGATCGCATTGTCCGAGAGCGTTTGCGATCTGCTGTCAGCGAGCGAGGAAATATGGGAGCCTGTCCGAAGGGATCGGAGGGAGACGGAAGCGGTCTTGGACTGCTGGGGGCTGAGCTGTGTCTTTCTTGGTGGTGGGCAGGATTTTTTTTTTTTTTTTTTTAATCTCGGTGCCTGCGGTCGGATGCCGGGAGCAGCGATCAGATGTTCGAGACAAGTCTGCGACACAGTGAGAAAGCATCCACCCATCCAACCCTACGTTTTTGATTTTTTTCTTCTATTTTGTTCTCTCTTTTCTTCTTGGCCTTCAGGAGGGATGGAAGGCAGCAGCATAATCCTGTCAATGGACCCCGATCGAGACCGTCGACAGGAATTGGCAGCATCCAATCCGCATGCAGGCTCGGCGGTGCCAAACCATGCTGGTGCAAGCTGGTGATACCCCAAGACCCTCCGCCTCACTGTTGATCGAGGGTGGGATGGCCCAAGATCTTCCGTTGCGGGCCAGTGATTTGCCTGGGAAGATGCCCCATCCCGCAATCGTCTCTTGCCACCCGCTGCGGTGCTGGCGAGATGTTTTGGCTTGCAACGCGGATCAGGGCCACAGGGTCAGGCCATGATGCCCCGATTCCCCCGCCTTCAATGCTTATCCGCAACCCGCAAGCGAACCAAGATGTGCCCATCCCCATGCCATGAAGCCCACGGCCGGACCACATGATCGCTGCTGTGATACGCAGACGGTCGTACGTCAAGCGTGGGCAATTGGACTTGAGCCACCAATGGCGTTTCGCGTGGCCTCGCCCGTACCTCGCGCTAACCGTCCGCCATGAAGCGTGTCCGGTCCTGTCCAAGGCATGGCCAAAGGCAGTGGTTGAGTGGCACATGGTCATCCCGTTGACTAGCACATTTCGCCTCCCAGGGGAAGAAAAAACTCTGCTTGGATGGGTGATTTGCATGGGTCCCGCGCCCGGAACCAAGTTTGCGCTCTGCTCTGGATACTGGGCCCGTCCGTCACACCACACCAAACACACCCCTCCCCCCGAAGTCGCCCATTTTTTCGGCGTTTCCTGGCCTCGGTCCGGTTCGCTGCCCATCACTGCAAGTTATAAAAGACCATCAGCCGGTGCCCCGGTCCAGAGTGTGGGGGGAGAAGTGACCACTCGCACATACATCTCAGGCCTTGTTTCTCTCATGAAGTCGTTAGTGAGGAGCCTGCCGCCTTATAGTAAAACATTGTGCCGCATTACGCAACTGCGATAACGAACAAAAGTCAACACGTCAACGCATTATCATCCCACCCCTTACTTTGCCCGTGGGGGTTATCCAACCGAATCTTCCAGCATCAGAACACGCATACAAACAAACACCCCAGCCCTCAACTCTCGACTCCTCAACTCTCAACTCCTCAACTCTCACCAACGCCCGACAACTCGATCGATTTTCCTGGCTGTATACTTGAACTCTGAGATAATGGTTCAACTACTTGCGGCCCCAGCTCTGTCCCCGAGCGGCAATGCCATGCTCGAGGCGAGCAACGACAGATCTGAAAATATGGTCACGTCGAGGGAGGAGCACGCCCAGAGAGCACGAGAGCTCATGGTCAAGAGGGGCATGATGAGGGCGCCCAGGCGGGGATTCTCCCTGACCGACCACCAGGCCCAGCAGAATGAAGGGCCGCATTACTTCCACGCCGCGGTGCCTGCGACGGTCGATCGCATCCCGGAGCACGCGGCCGTGCCCTCGCCCTCTCAGCCCGTATCAAAGCACATGCCGCCTCCCCAGCGGCCCAAGCTGCCTCCTCCTCGTCGCTCGTACTCTGTGACGGACAAGGAGCCCGAGCCGGCTAACCAGCCGCGACCATCTGAACGCCTCACCCTGCTCGATCTTCCCTCCGAGCTGCACTACGCCATCTTCGACTTCCTCGACCCCATCGACGGCGCGTGCTTCGGCCTGGCGCACTCCAAGCTGTACGACATCCACAAGCGCAAGAACGGCATCGTCCCGCTGTCTAGCCGATACTCGGGCCCCAACGACATCGAGTGGGCGTGGCGTGGCGCCGGACCCCTCGTGCACCCTCACTCAAAGCCCGAGGCCACCAGCGAGAACGAGCTGGAGCGCCTCCGCGTCAAGGGCCAGGTGTACTGTCGCAAGTGCGGCATCTCGCGCTGCGAACTCCACAGGCACCTCAGGGACTGGTTCGGCAAGGGGTACGAGTACTGCGAGATCAAGGAGATGTACGGCCCGCCTGCTGGGCCCAATGCTAGGGGATACTGCTTCATGAAATCCCCCAAGAAGCCTCATTCGTGTGGGCGTCATGGGGCGAAGAAGACAGCGGCATAATTTAGTCCAGTACCTAGCGACGTTTCTTTTTTGTTATACTGGATATTCGAATTTTACAAGGCGCTTTTGGACGGACGGGGAGATGGGAGGGGACGGTTTGTGACGATGGCGATGACTTTGAACTTTTTAACTCCCTACGTTTTGAGGAGGGATATACGGCACGCGAATACGCTCTAGCGGGAGGAAGGATCTTTTTAACGGATATTTTGGTGTTGGGCATAATGATGAAAGGGCATTAAGACTGATACACCAGCGGATTTGAACTCGTCTTTTGGAACGAGATTACAATTTACCTAGAGAAGAAAGATGTAACAATACAATACTCGACTAAATAATAGAGAATGAAGAGACCTTTTTTTTTTTTTTTTTGATTATCTCAGATCTTTAATCAGTCATATCATAATGTTTACTTCGGTGTGCAAATCTGCTTAATTTATCACCTCAGATCTTCCTGATCTCTGTCTTCTTCTTCTCGTACATCAATCACATCATAATGTTTACTCAAATGTGCGAATCTGCTTAACTTTCTTTTTCTCCATGGGATTAAACGCCAATAATGACCATCTATGTATGTACCTCAACAGCCTAAAAGAACTATGTAAATAAGATAAAATGTATATATGCGTGACGCGCTTCTCCCGATCCAAATGGGCATTTGTCCAAACCCAGTGACACAGCCAAAACCCCTCTCCTTCATCCTCCCCAAACTCATCGAAAAGTGATGAGCTGAGAGAAATGGTTTACAAAAAGATTGCAAACGTAAAGCAAGAAAGAAAGAAGAGGGCTCCCATTCCATTCCCTTTCCCCCTTTTCTCATGCTCCTCAGAAAAAAACGCCGGTGATTGTCCCATCCAGTCTATGCAAAAGAGAAGAAAAAAAAAACAGAACAGAAAGAATAACCAAAAAGACTTGAGAAAGATGTAGTCTTTAACAATCCCACCGTTTTTTGGGTCCCGTGCAGAAACAATTGTAAAAAGAAATCAGGCTGATACACACAGCACCGTCATACAGTCGTTGCTTGCAATCGGTTGTCGCCGTTGATATCGATGTGGCCGTTATACGTCACCATAACAGCAAAGTCGTGTAGAGGGCCGAGCCGTTTAATGGGGATTCCTCCAATCCAGAGGGCACTCCTCCTTGGTTTCGATCCAGTCATTGATGCCCTTGACGAACCATCCGCTCGTCCACTTGTCTCCGTCATTCTTCTCCTTCTTGGGCTTGCCGAGTTTGAAGCTCTTGCTCGTGCAGCACACGTTTTTCTGGAATCGCCACTGGAAGCACTTGCGGTTTTTCTTAAAATCGACATCTCCACCGGCTTTCTCGTCGTACTTGGCTCGAATCAGCTTGCCACGGTCCGTCTCCGTCTCCAGCTTCTCAAACTCTTCAGCCGGAATATCAAGACCGGCAGCCTCACAGACCTTTGCGCAGGCGGCTGGTGAGTTGTGCGCATACTTTTGGACAACGTTTTTGTCGCCCTCCTTGACCTGTCGATCCCTTTGTTGACCAGTGGCCTTTTTCTGGCTCTCCTCGTCGGGGGCGAGGTAGCAGGTATCGTCAGACAGGTTGTCCCAGTCCTTTCGGTAGGAAACCATCTTGGGGGCGAAAAAGGCGTAGTACATTTCTCGGATCTGCATAAAGTCCTATGTGCCGAATTTTGTTAGCCCACTTTACTTTTCTCTGCCGTTGAGCCATGGCGGAAAGAGAGAAAATACAAACCTTCTTGGTGCGTGTTTGCTCGTACTGCCACACGCCGCTGATTTCCTCCGAGTTCATGTGGTGCATGGTGAAGAGAGGCTCGCACCAGTGGCCAGGTCCGTAGGGCAGCGTGTTAGGCTTTTCGCCGTTGAACATGGGATGAGCATTCATGACCTTGGTTCCCACCTCCTTGGCAACGCGGGCGAAGACGACGTCACCACAGCACTCGTCTCCCGCCTTGTCGTCGTACTTTGTGATGTCTGGGATCTGAGCCATCTTGCGCATGAGTGCGCCGGACACGATGTAGCCGCTGCCGCCGTGAGCAAAGGGGAAGCCGGAGATCATGGCGACGCTGCCGATGTAGACGTTGTCTCGGGGGTTGACCTTGTTGCGTAGCCAATGGACCAGAGTCGGCCAGACGACGTAGGTGTCGGCCTCGGCAAAGACGTACCACTCCTGGTCGGGGCGCAACTCCCAGGCCCGCACAATCATGTTGACAAACTTGAACTTGTCCAGCTCCCAGCCGCCGTCCATGCCGGCGGTGCAGTCCTTTTGCGAGACGGGGCATTCCTGCTGGGCCTGGTAGAGCTTGAACTCGTTGTACTTTTCCTTGATCTTGTCGTCGACGCGGTCGAGGGAATCGTAGATGTGGTACTTGCCAATCTGCTGCTCCTGTTGGGTGTTAGTCGCGAAGCCGAAACCCTTGCTGGTCCGTTTGATGTGCCGCTGCCAAGGCGGGAGTGTGTGTGCAACAGCAACAGCAGCGGCAACGGCAAAAGGCACAAAGACACAACAAAGATACTTACCAGATCGGAAAAGATGAGAAAGTCGTCGATGCACTGCAGGCCGGTGAGCAATTGCGTGGGCAGCTTGTCGTAGGCCTCGGTGGCGCCCGTCTTCATGACCAGCATGATGCCGTCCATGTTGGGAAAGCCGTCGCATGGCGAGCTGAAGTTCCAGCGCGAGTGGACGGCAGCCTCGGTCCCCTCATGGTACAGCGTGTTGTTGTAGACGCCCTGGCCCTGCAGATAGGGCGATATCCGGTCGTAGATGTACTGCTTGTAGTAACCGGCGGACTGGTGGTCGCGCAGCTGGTAGAGGGGCAGCGTCAGCAGCAAAGTGCAGCCGACGATGATGGCGGCTCGCCAGTTGCGGGACGGCATCTTGATAAAGCTTCGCCAAGACCAACTCCGGTCCGCTCCCATGCTTGGCGGGTCACAGCACAGTTGTGAAAAGGCGGCAGAAGCGTGAGAGCCCAGCCAGAGAGAATAGGAGAGAGCAGGAGAGAGAGAGGAAGAGGAAGAAAGAGGTTATCGGAGTGGATTGGAAATTAAATTAAATCGACAGGCGGGAGTCGTTCAACTCGGCCAAGGGGGGGTGCTGAGCTGAGCTGAGCTGAGCCTTGGACAGACCAGACTTATGAAGGAGAAAGACAAGAGTCGGGGGAGAGACAGGTCGGCAAGCGAGGGGAGGACAAGGACAGAGCAGAAGCAAGATTGGCGACTGTATCTCGTATTGCGTAACCCGAGCACCGGCGGAGGTGAGATATGAGATTTTGCTTTTGACACCGGAGGGAGAAGGGCAAAGAAAAGATGCGATCCAATATCTCCACCTTCGCGTATGTGGCTGGGCTTATCGGTCTTGGATCACAAGCCACAGCCCGTTCAGTCAATCAAGTCGAGACAAAGCAAAGCAACTGTCAGGACGATGGCGACAGAAAGAGACAAAGACAGAGGCAAAAGAAAGAAAGCAGAAGCAGCACGAAATCCAGCACGATCAGCCCAGCCCAGACCCGCTTGGCCGCCTCCGTCAGCGATCGCTATTTCTCATCCATTCTTTCCTTGTCCAGGTACCTGTACGCACAGGCGGCGCTAGCACCACTAATGTGCCTTGCTAGCAGGCGGGATTCATTCCAGCGCACGCACTGGCTACAGGGCTGGCATTCTGTACAGTACTAGCCCGTATAATATTGATGGGTACAGGTACTAACGCAAGTACGGAGTACGGAGAACAGAGCACAAAGCCGCAAGGCAAGGCAAGGCCAGGCAAGGGGGGGCTGTTCTGTAGGGCAAAAAGCAGGCAATGATGACGACGAGCTGAAGAACCAGGAGCAAGGGTCTTGCATTGGACAGAATAACGACTAAACACTAAAAGCTGCTGGCGGTTAAAGAGGCCAGTTCGGGCACTGTTGCAGCGGGTCGTACGAGTTAGGAAGAGGCCGAGAGAGAGAGCAGATGAAAGAATGGACGCACGCAAGCGAGAACGACAAAAGACGGGGGGTGGTTATCTTTGACGCTGTTGTGCAACCCTGAGAGAGAGGGAGAGAGGCATTTGTGCCTGCAGCTCAGTGTTACTGGATTGACAATGGACTTCAGATGATTAGAACCTGGACCTAGACTCTGTACTCTGTACTACTACAGTACCGGCATCTAAACAACTTGATGGCAGTTGGTAGGTATGTATGGACATGCCTACCTAGTTCTCGGCCTCGTCGGGACTTTACGATGGGGTCAATGCACCAGACGGCCGGCATTCTATTACCCAGCTGGGCTGAAGAGAGACGAGAGAGACAGCCATTGCTGACCTTTGCTGTGCCGTGTTTTGAAACAAATGGAACAACGCACATCCAATAGAAGCCGCAAGACAGACACTGAATATACCCACCCAGCATCCACATTTTACGAGGCCTTGCGCGGCCATCCCATCGTTATCAAGTACGAGTACTGTACAGTCAACACAGTACTATCATGGGTTTGACGCTATTGCATATTGATTGCAACTATTTGGTGCTATCGAAGTGGGAAAAGCGTCTGCCGCGCCGGGAACCCGGGAGATACTGTAGAAAAGGAAGAAAAAAAGGGTCTTCGAATCGTTAGTCTTGGGACCGTTGGCCGGAACTATTAACATTTATTCCCCTTTAGCGATGGGGAATGCAAACCAGCATGACTCGATTTGATTGATCGATAGATAGACAAATAGATATCAATGATGATCATCGCAAAAGGGAGGCTGATGACGATGGACCTTGCGGGGGGAGGATGTCTGTAAGATGTTAATGCTTATTATTTAGTATTCATGCCTGACAGCATGCTTCTTTTTTTTCCTGCAAATGCTTTCTGCGGCAGCGCTGACAAAGGGGGGTGGCAGTGTTCCTCGCTGCCCTCGCTTTATTTTTAGACTTAATACCACTTCGTATCTCCAACTGCAAGCATCAGGCCGCATGTGCATCATCACAATGATACGGGTCCATACATGCCAATTGCCCGCATCAACTTGTTTCATCTTTCTTTCTTTTCCTGCTAAGCATCCTCCCCCTCAAAAAGTCTGTGCATATACGATACGCGCATCATCCTTTTCCCCATTCCCCGTCCTCATCCACACCATTGCATTTTCCCCGTTCGTTATCTTCGACACTTTTTTTCAGCTCGCACATTAGCCAAGCCGAGAACAGACCACTGTCGAATCTATCTTATCCCTTCCCGGCCTAGTGACGAATGACGATAGAAGGACATCAGTAGAAAGAAAAAAAGGGACAAGCCATTCCGGCTGGTCTCAGATTTCGTATTCCCGTGAGAGGGAGTGGAGCAAGAAGCAGCGCTCTTTTTTGATAGGGCCTCGCCCGCCTGGAGGCAACTTTCGCCAGTTCCCTGCATTGGAAATTCGAGACTTTTCTGGCCTCTAGCCACGTTGGACAATGGCGTCTTTTGCTTGGTCTCTTTTGTTCGTGTCAGACCAGCTAAAACAGTGCTAGCTTAAAGATCGACAGGACGAAGCTGACTAAGGCCTGTATGTACAGTACGCTGCTTTGCTGCTTCGTATATACGAAAACTGGTTCATCTCAACTCAATTGCTGATACTGCTAACAAAGCAAAATAAATCTCACCATCAATCTGTTCTCTAAAAACGTCGATTTATCCAGCATGTAATATCTAAAAAAGAGTGACCTTGACCTATGAAACGCCATTCGCGCACCAAAGAATGCCAACCACCCTTTCTCTAAAAACGAACTAAAAAAGAAGGGAAAAATCAAAGCCGGCCTATCTATCACCCAATCCCAGTCTGCAAAATTTAGAACCTATAACAGTATAGCAAAAGTAGCATCTGATATTGCCCTTTGGAGACCTTAATTGACCATAAACGCCGTGCTTCTGCCCTCAAACGCCGTAATCTCGCCATCAATGGACTTGGCATCGCCAAAGTAGCAAAGTCTGTATTCACCCGGCGTCGTCCACTCTTCAATCTCCCACGAGATGGTTGCGGAGCTAGTGCCCATCATCACGCTGCTCCTCTTCCACTGGTATATCAACTTCCAGTCGGAGTCGTCTCGCACCACTGTCCATTCTGTTTCGCCGGGACGGCGGTACTCGACGGCGGCAAACGTCTCTTCCAATCGCAGGTTATTTCGCGGGTTTGCTCCAACAAATGTTGCTGTCACTGTATCTCCTAGGGTGAAGTGGCTCTTGGCAACGTCGACAGTCACATCTCCAAATTGTTGAGATTGTGAAGTACCGTCAAACAAGACGCCCGTGTTGAAGCCGTAGGATCGGTCACTGTTGTCTGGGGGCAGTGGGCCGGTCTCTCGGGAGTCGGGTTCTCCACTAGGAGCATCGTCCTTTAGAAGATAAAGAAGGGCCTTGGTCCGATCTATGTAGGCTGCAAGTGTGTGTGGGCCGTACAGGGTTGAAGCTCCCTCATATCGCTGGATCCTGTGAGTTCTGCGTGTCAGCATTGGCCAATCTCAAGAAAGCAAGGGGGAATAAACGTACCCATATTCCTGCTCTGTCGTGATATAATGAGTATAAGTGTTGCTCGGCCCTCCAAAGACCACAATAGGCTCTTTGCCGTCTAGCTCCTCTGCTAATTGAATCTTGCTGCTCTCTGCAACTGCCTCTTTCCATCGTCTACCTGCCATCGTGGTCGCCTCTCCAGGGCTAACCACAATAATGAATTGGCCAACTCTAAACGTCTGAATGTCTACAATATCTGGCGTCCAGTGATAGGGCTTGTGCGTCTTGCCGACGTTGAAGAGGATAGGCTTAGGAGCGTGGCACTGTATCTGCTCAGGGCCGGGAGCTCCAATGAGCCATCGTAGGACCTTCCATTTGGGAGACGAGTTTGTGTCGTTGGAACCAGACTGCGTAATCTCATAGTGGCCCGGCTCGTCCCACGTCCCAGCTGCGAAAGAATACCCTAACGCGGCTGAGCACGTGCGGACGGTCGAGCCGTTGGGCAGCTGAAACTCAAAGTCGGACATGTCGTGAAACTGGTGAAATGCTTTGACGCCCGACCCCTTTACGTTTGGCTGCTGGGCATCCATCGAGGTGTAGAGCTCCAGAGCTGCCTCGTACTGCTTCTTTCCAATCTCAAAACACGATGCGGCCCCCTCATCCTTTTCCCTGAAGAAGGGACCTCTTGCGTGGCACTTCCTACTCCTGCCAGTGCTCCTGCAAGAGCTTGACTTGAATTCGCACGGCTCGCCTGTACCATCGTCACACCAGCCGCCAAGCGTATTGGGGCTTGCATCACCCATGTTGGCCTGAGAAAAGCCGGCAACAAAATCGTCCGTCTCTTGGACACCTCCGCGAACTTTTCTCTCAAAAAGATCCGCGGCCACGCCCTTGTTGTCTCCTGTGATGAGGGTGTTGTTGGCCAACATGGATGTGCCATGGGTTGGGAACCATGTCAGCACGCCGATATTCTTGCCGTCCGACGCTCTCCTGAACTTGAGCAAAGTCAAGTCCTTCTCTACAGAGCCATCGTCTTCCGCGCTGACGTTGTACTTGGCTCTCTCTTCTTCGGGGTTGGCGAGATAGGCGTAGAGGCTTCGATTGATGTTGGCGCCAAAGACTTTGGTGGTGCCTGCGGTGAGGGTGCCAGGTTCTAGGCTCTCATGTGCGCGGCGGATGGACAAGAGGCAGCCGTCGACAATCGCCTGATAACTCTGTCTGTCGAATCCTTTGCTGGTGATCTGAGGTAAGAGGTAGTTGAGCCAGGCGCCGGGCCCGGAGTGAGAGTGGGTCGCAGTGACGGCTAAATTGTCATGTCCATACATGGAGTATTCGGGGCCAAGTTCCTCTAGCCCCCGGAGAATGCCGTATCGCACGGCGGTGTCACCAGCCTGTGTATCCAGGACGAGGTAGATGAATCTGTCTTCGGGCTGGTCAAGGTCGCCCACGATGAAGGCGCGAGAGTACAGGCGCTGACGCACGCCGCTGCCAACCTGCTCGGTATTGGCATAGCCCATCATGTTGATCTCGACAACAGGCCCCGTGATGTCAGCTTTGCCCACGCCGATGAGATAGTGACCATCTACAGCGCCGCCGGACGTGGCGAGGGCTTGTGCCTTGCCCTCGCTCCCCAGCTTTTGCTGCTTCTGGCCCTGATACTGATGCTGCTGCTGCTGCTCCTCATGTGGCTGTTGCCGCTGCAGAGCCGCCAGCTTCCTGCCCACGAGCTCATCCTGTATTCGCTGCGGGATATCTGCGCTGTAGATGGCACCGGGTGTGGCCCAGCTAAAGGCACGAGAGACAGCCGTGAAAAATGTGAAGACGACGACAAGAGTCATTACCAGCCACTTGGCATAGTGACGCAAGCCTCGGCGCGGCCCGTCACCATTGTGTTTCCCGCGCGCCAGATACCGCGGAGCCGCAGACGACTCCGGCGGAGGGCCCTTCTCTGTAACTTGGCCTGAGGCCATTTTGCCGAACGGGAAAGCTGCTTCAGGTCGGGGTAAAATTGGAGGTTCGCCCGTGCGATGAATTGTTCTAAATCCAAGATACTGAGATCGGTGGCGTTCCAAAAGACCCAAGTCAGGGCCGGAGGCGAAATCTTAAATTTCGTACAAACGCTCCTTACGTAAGGAACTTTTCAGTGCCGAAATTCTCATTTCTTTTGAATGCTTTCTCGGGCCATTTTCGTCTTTGTTCTCAAGCGAGCTCAGTTGCCAGCTGGCGGATGGGCCGGAAGCCGCGGGCAACGGGCAAGGACTTGGTGTTTTGTGCGTGCGTCGTTGCAGTGATAAGCCTCCTATATCGTGGAGAAGCCGATGAGCCGAGCAAAGCTGTTCAGAGGACCATTGGCGTGGGGACCTTTCTGGGGTTATGGCATATTTATGTTTCTTATGTTGTTCCGTTGCGGGCAGTAGACAATAGGCAACTGTGTCCTCGAGCCGCACACATGAGCGCATGCGGAAACTCTGAACATCGCGTATCGTCCTTCAAAGTCCTCGATGCGGCGACCAGAGACGATCTGGCGTGAGACAAACCGCCTAGAGGCTGAATGGGGACGGGCCAATTAGCGGCCGTCGAACCCCGGCCGTTGGTTCGAGACAGACAGAAAGCGGCATGCCCACGTTTTTGGGGGGTTTGAAGCTGTGTCAGCCGCCTCGGGCAGATCTGGTGGCATGATCCCGCCGTAGTCAGCTGGTATGGATTGTATGTAAGCGAGCAGCGTTCATAGGCTATATAGCAGTCGTGGTTCTTCTGATCGTGACCAGCCGGGCAACCCTCTTTTCCCTCTCGTTTCCCTTCGCCTTTCTTCCCCTTGGATATCCATCCATCTCACAATGTTTCTCTCTCGCTCTCGCTCTCCTCTTTCTCCCTAGTGGAAACCAGCACTCCGTATCTAATCCTCCAATCCGACGGTTACAATCGGACTTTTATTCCTCCCATTGCCGAACGCCGCGCTCATTTGCGGTGCTGATGACGTGACGATGCGGGGGCTGCGTGAAAAGCACTCCCGCGGGCCAAGATGACATTTCTGGAACTACCGAGCGCAAATGGACGCAAAGCACTGCTGCATTAGCACATCAATGGATATTAATCTGTCACACAGATAGGGGGATTTACATATGTACAGGCTGTGCTGGGCGCTACGACTTGCATCGCCTTGCTGGGCTGGCCAGGGTCATGTGAGAGGGCTCTGTTCAAAAAAGAGTCTCTACGCTAAGGGAGCCGTTTTGACATGTGAAACTTGCAATTTTTTACTGCATCTCAAGAGCCTTCAAAACAACATCATCAGCGGTGAAACTACTATTGCGTCGGTTCAACTGTCATGCCTATGCCTAAGCCTGCCACAGTGGATTTCTAATTCTAAGCCTTTCCGCAGGCGATCCGAGCGGAATAGACGTCCGTTGGCCGAGCCTTCGCCCAATTGGGCTCTAGGATCTAAGCACACAATCGCGCATCTCCGCCAATCGCCGCCACGTCCACTCACACGGATCGCTGAATTGCGACTTTTAATCTTTTTTAATACACGGGCGTCGATTCCAGCATCCAGTCCTTATCTCCACGATCAGACCCTTCAGACCCTTCTTGCCTTCCCCCCCCAAGCCTCCTTGTTCCTTTGCCGGAGCCTCGTCCATGATGGCTTGAGAGTTTGTAGCGAGCCCTGGATCCCAATTCGCCACCTCTTTCTTGTCGTTGACGTCTTGGATTTAACCATTCGGTGCAAGTTCGGAAATGGTTCAACGCTTCATAAGGCACAGTCAGTGACACGACGATACTCCAAAGGTCCCGTCGCTACTTTCATTGTGAAGCCTAGGGCGCGTCATTGTGGCCGGGGCTGTCAGGATTGTGCGCGGTTTAAAAGTTCCATCGCTTTCGGCGGTTATTGCCTGACTGACAATATTGCCTTGGTTTCGGGGTCCTTGTCAGCAGAATCCAAACGTCGAAGCGGAACCGCAGAAACTCATCTCTGTTTCCCTACTCTTGTTGTTCATCCCCGGCTCATCCTGCTCGAACCTAGACCAGAAAGAAACCATGATTGATTTACGACACGGCGATCACCGGCCCATCCAGACGAGCGCTGTGATTGTGCTGGGCGCTTCAAAATGCCAATCCATGCCACCCCCATCTCCGCCAACTCCTTCAGCCTCGCCATCAGCCAAGGAGATAGGCGATCCTGTGGATGGCTTCAGCCTGGACAGGGAAGCTACGCGAGAGCAATCCGTAATGGATAGGAGACTTCACAGTGGCATCCATGTATTAAACACCGAAGCCGTCGCGCTAGCAAATCTCACAAAACTCTACGAGATTGACGTAATCGCCCGGGATGGGTTCAATGCCTCCATCAAAGCTATTACTCGGCTGGCCAAGACCAAGGGCAAGTTGGTAATCATGGGAGTGGGCAAGTCTGGCCACATTGGAAAGAAGCTGGTCGCCACGTTCCAAAGCCTGGCGATTCGCTCCGTCTTTCTTCATCCTACCGAAGCTCTTCACGGAGACCTGGGCATAGTGGGCCCAGAGGATACGCTCTTGTTCATCACCTACTCCGGAAAGACTCAGGAGCTTCTTCTAACATTGCCTCACCTGGATGAGAGGCTTCCTACCATTCTCCTCACTTCACACATGAGACACGAGACTTGCGAGTTTGTCAAGCATCGACCCAACACGATACTCTTACCAGCGCCAATTCCTGAGCCTGAAAGCGTATCGTTTGGAGTTTCGGCGCCGTCAGCATCAACAACAGCTGCTCTGGCCTTGGGAGATGCACTGGCCATCACGGCCGCTCACGAGCTTCACCCCAGCGTCTCGAAAATGTTTGCCAAGAACCACCCAGGTGGTGCTATTGGTGCCGCCGTGGCGGCGGTGGCTCGAGGACCGCAGACCATAGGTCACATTTCCGTGCCATGGGACGAGATTGACGTCGCCGATGGGCTGAGCGGCGATGATCTCGCGTCGAGTTTGCTCCGGGCCGCGTACAAGTCTAAGACGGGCTGGGTCAGAGTCGGCGACGAGACGGCAGTCCCGAGCAAGATTCGAGCGCTGAGTGACGCAGACATGGTGAGACCGATCAAGGAGGTCACGGGCATCACGGTGTCCCGCCAGCAGATGCTGGCCATGTCGTCGGAGACGACGGTCCGCCAGGCGCGAGACATATTGGAAGACATGCAGTCTTCTCAAATCGAGGAGCATGAGCAAGCAATTGGCGGACCTGGATCGGTCATTGCGATCACAAGCAGCGGTAGCATTATTGGCGTTTTGGAAGTTGAGCAAGTCCTCGAATACGAGGACGTTTGAAATTGGTAAAAAGAGAGGGGGAAAGGGAAAGGAACAAGGGAGGAATTCATGACAAACCCCCATCCTCATTCATTGTGCAACCATGTGGTAATCAGGTGTCATTTTTGGGGGGCCCAATCATACATTTTAGAGGAACCTTTGTAAAGGGTCATTTGAGCGATACTACGCCACACGAGCAAGTCGATGGGCATTCATATCATCCCATTGCATGTATTTACGGGTAGCTGCAGGATCTATTGATTCAAACGTGCATATATACTGCTAGGTTTTATATTACGACGAGACAAACGAAATGAAGCTATTGGACATTTGCAATACTTTGATTCGTCGTGAATGGTGCAATTGAGTTGTGTATCTCTAACACTGTGTCTTGGCTGGGGGTCAGTCGTAGTGCAAACATCCAATGCTTTTCGTTGGGCTGCCCAATGTCACCATGGAAAATGAATAGTCTGCTGCATCAAGGGTTCGAGATGCCGAATCCCGTGAGCTGGTCATTGAGAGACGCGGAATATAAAATCTGCAGGCGGAAGAGGAGCAGACGCTAAAGCACAATCCTTCAGTCTACGGCAAAATAATAATAATAAAACTAAATAAATCAAATAAAAAAGGTTCAAGGTTGGTTGCTTGTTCTTGTCTGTCTACGGATAAGGTTATTCGCCCGCATCATTGTGGCGGCGGCTGGTGTGTGACGATGACACGACGATTTCGATTCGGTGGAATTGATGTTCCTTGTGTAGCTCCAGAAATCAAACTACTGGGACAGCGAGCAAGTGCCGACGCCACTGTTTGCTCTACCGTAGGCTAAGGTAGTCAATTGGGACTCGGTCAAAGTTCAATGTCATCTCTGGCATATCCCGAGGTATCATGAGGTTTCATGAGGTCCATACGGCAAACACAGCTGGCATGTGGCGGTAGACTAGGTAGACACAAAGTGGATAGTAATCGAAGCTGATAAGAAGAAATCTCACATGGGAAACGAAGATGCCAGCAATAGGTCAGCAAAGAACGTGGACACATCCATGTCTACTCCTCTTCCGTCTCGTCAAACACAAATTCTCCACGTTTTCGTTCAGCTCCAACGAACCAACAGCGAACCAGCAAAAAGATGCGTGCATGACAACCCAGAATCCAAAGCTATCGAACTTTTGGCATCCATCCAGTCCCACGAATTGGCCGCGGCTTGCTTGGGTGGCTTCAACGCACGTCTGACTTGGAAAGCACCGAAACGCGGAGGGAGCGTGGTGCATGCAACCATGACCATGTCAATTTGCATGGGACCAGCCATGTCCCTTCTTCCGGCGGATGATGTGCTGGCATTCGCCCAAAGTAAGTCGGGGCTTGTTTCTTACACCGTCTCTCTTACACGCACACTATCTCTCTCTGTATGTGTTTGGCTTTTGCTGTGCCTGGACTTGGTGTCGCGTGACCGCCAGTTTCGGGCGGTTCCGCCGTGTTATAAGTGACTATTTTACACTGGGCTTGTCTACGAGTGCCTTACCTACTGTTGTCCAATGGTTACACTGAGAAAAAGAAGATGCGCTGGCCGGGATCTGTACGAGTACATGAGACATTGATTAGGCTGTCGCACTGGATTGGCCTATCTGAAGGGGACTCGGCGATTGCGAGCGTGCGAGACAGACTGTCACCTGCTTGAATCGGGGCTCGTGTTCAGCTACCGGATCAGGAACCATGTTTGATATTACTTTTTTTTTTTGACCGTCTCTTCGGGGGTCGGGATTGTGTAAGGCCGAGGGAGCCTTGCAAAGATTGAGGAAAGGAATCAATGAACTGGCTTGTGGTGTACCAGTAGGTACGATGATTGCTCGTGATGCAAAGCTGAACAGAGGGCGTGATAACGGAGGGTTACCATCGCTAAAGACGCATTGAGCAGAGGGATGAGACAGGCATGGGCCTGGATTGCGGGAAGATGGTGTTACTTGTACTTGTATGTGTGTCTTTCTCGGGGCTGAGCCTGAGCTACGATGTGATTTGCTTTCTATATCAGACTACGGGTGCACGTCTATATGCAGGTGTTGTCGTGGTGTGCATGCGTGTGTGCTTCCCCCCACTCTACACTAGATAGAGCCATGAAACCGGAGGGTTTGAGACAGTTTGCAATACGGAGTACATGTAGATTTTCATTCGATCAAATCAAGGGCATCTTCTTATCGGAGACGCGGGATGTGCGTTGCTTGGTGGGCATCTGCAGGTTTGGCGAGATGTGGAAGGAGAGCGGCAACGGCTGCAGACATGGGATGGCCACGCTTGTTTTTTCAAGGGTAGTATCAGAAGCAGTAGAAGTGTTGAGAAGGCCATGGAAATAGAACTCGATACTATTGCAGGAAGATTGCAAACTCGTAAGGGTACAGGTGCTTGATGCTTCCATGCGGCATGTATGTATGCTTATGGGGATTCAATGACACGAACCAATACTGACCTGTCACAGCATTACCCATGACAAAGAGAAATAAAGAGGAATAGTAGTTCTCGACTGACATATAGCCGATCAAACACCTCGGATAAGCGCCTCTTGTCCTCTATTCCCTTCGGAAGACGGCAAAGGGTAGTATCCAGAGACGCCGCAACAAACCCACCTTATAGCAACAGCAACAGGCGGCGGGCTCCGGCTGAGGAAATAAGACGAGTCCAGGTCGAGTCCAAGATGGAGTCGCACGGGTCGGAATGGTGAGCTAGACGATCCACCAGCCAATCTAGATTGCAGGGCCCGCAATCTGGCCTGCCGCAGAGCAAAGAGTTTCTGCACAGGCCGTGCTTTGTGGTACGGGAGGGGGCGTAGGGATCCGTTGTTGCTGGTGATGAATCTGGGTGGGCTCGTTTTTGTTGTTTTGTGTTGTAGTATTTTCGGTTTACAGCGGTTCATCTGCATGTGATATGGTGCGTGGGATGAGAACCATGAAGCAAGAATATCTACTACATGCGAATATCATGCGAGCAATGGCGATTATTTCCTCTGAAAGACAACATAGTTAGCTCGTCCAGCCGAATCACCCAACAACAGCGTATCAAAAACTCGTAATATCGCAAGCACGCAAGGATTTAACCCGAAATGCCCTCCCTGAAGCTGGGCCCCCACCACCGAAAAAAAAACGCCTGGGTTTCACTCACACACCCTTGGAGAGGAAACAAGAACGAGAGCTGAAAAAAAAAAAAGTCCAACTCGGGCAAGCACTCACGCGACACCAGTGGCAAAGGAGGGGATACCCAGACGGGCCGATCGGTTCTAAGGGTCGCAAAGACAGAAAAAATGTCAAGAAGGGGGGGCCCTGGGCGGAGAATTATGGCGAAAAAGAGTTTTTGACGTTGGGCTTGATCGATATCCTTGATGGATTTGGACGTGCTCGGTGAACGGATTGAGTGAAGCTCGGGGGCGGGTAACGGAGGACCTTGCAGATTGTGGATCGGCCGGGTCCTGGTCCCTTGTTCTGAGCTCTCAATTTGATTGATCCTATTTTTCCTGGTGGCACATGTCAGGTATTTTCGGGCGATTGGCTGTTTTGGACGGCGGATGCGAGGACTGTTGAGTCAGAGAAATGCTGTGATGGCATCGTATAATATCGTGTTGTGATGGATGGGAGTCTAGAATTGCAAAAGCTCAGCAGAATTTGAAATATAGCCACCCTACGATGTCTTTAGTCCCGGAATAGATAAATGCAGTTCTTGACACACACCCAATCAGGGCCATCAAATGTCGATGTCAAGACTCGTTGGTTTCTTTTTAGTATTAACTCGATAGCATTAGTAGTAGATAGGATGGATACTGTAGCAGATTCCACCTCAACCAAGGCACGACAGCATCTCACAGGTCCAAAACACGGCTACGGAGCATTGGCCTCGTTGCCTTTAGCCGAATTCCGTAGGGCAGCGGGAGGCCAGGGTTTAAGCAAGAAGGGAAAAGGCACCATCTGGACCAATGGGGGGCCGCGGCAGAGGGACAGGCGGGCATGAAATCAATTTAAGACGGAGCAGCATCTAACGTTGTGAAGCACAAGCTCGATGCAGCTACCAAGTAACGTGCCTTAGGCCGTGCATGATGCTTGCAATTGGCAGCTTTGAAGCTCCGCGGTCGGGCTGTTTCAAAACAGCCGACAGGTGATGCTAGGATGGAGGGAATATAACCGACTCGAGCGAGGCTGGTCCATCTGCAGCGTTGAGGGGGTTTTCACATCGAACTATGCCCGATTGTGAGAGAATACAGTAGGCCGTGTTAGAATAAGAGAGAGAAAAAAAAAAGAGGGCAAATATCTTTGGTTATCCAGTGAAAGACGGGAAAAGAATGAATACGAAACCTTTTTAATTAATCCTCTGCCGGTCCCTTGTCATCTCTCTAGTCAACTAGTAGTTTAGACTGACTCGGATCTTGACTTTTTTGTGTGTGTTTATTATACCGGCAGCAAGCTGATCAGGTATTATGGATCAATGGATCAAGTCCATATTTTTCTTTGCTCGGGTAGACGAGAGGGGCCGCTGTTTGGTCGTCCAGTTTTTCTCCATGGGGGGTCTGGAACGGCTTAATGGGTTGCCTTGGCACAGGCGAATTGATTGTGCAACAATGTGCGAGAAAGCCGTTTGCGGAAGAGAGAGAGGCAAAGCTGGGGGAAAAGAGCATGGCGACATGACAAATTCGACCAATGTTTGTGTGTGTGTGTCTTGGGGGGTTTTATTTTATTTTATTTTTAACCTTTTTTATTCCCTTTCTGTGTGGACTGGTATGTAAATGGATGCACGTGGACTTGACTGGCCGCCTCGTCTCACCGAGAGCGAGCAGAGGCGAGTCGGCACACACAATTCGCTTGCACAAAAACAATTCGTCTAGACTGGACTGACGGTTCGTATTTAATTCCAATTAACTTATTCTCCTGTGGCAATTTACATTTGATGGCCGTCTTAGTGAGCGAGCCTCCGCCAGCTACTGTAAATCTTGCTAGCTGGAGGCCCCCTCAACGCTCAGCCCGGCCTGTGACGATAGCTGGAACTAGAGCCCTGTCGAGTCGAGTCTTCTCGTGCATGCATCAACTGTAGCGCCCCCTCCACCCACCATGGCAGTGCCCCATAAGGGCCCCATAGGCGCAGACACCCGCTGGGCTGCCACCTGTGCGATGCCTGTTAGCGCCCACGCTTTGCTCCATACTAGTGGACACCTTATCTTTCCATGCCTTGGTCTGGCCTCCTTTGCCCGAGCCCGGTTTCTCCATTCTCCATCCTCTTCTCTCCAGGGTTCCCATCAATGATATAATTCCGCGAACCCCGTGCGCAAACCTGCCCAGCTCGTTGGCTGCTCTGGATGCCGATCGACTCTTGTCCTCAGCTGCAGGTGACATCGTTGACAAGCGGTTCATTCGTTCGCCCTGCTTCGTCGGTTTCGGGATTTGCGGTTCGTGAAGCTTTTTTGCTTTTTTTTTTCTAGCAGCTTCCTGTGCGTCATTCGTCATCGTTGTCCCCAGAACACGGGCGAGAAAGCACATGCGAGATACATCAATCACGAACATTCATACGAAGTCTACTCTATCGCACCAACAGCCGGCTAATATCCCAATCCATTGAATCCATTCAATTCATTCCTCTATCTGTCTTACCCCGGCTCCGGCTCCGGCTCGTTCGCCGTGCTCTAGCTCTAGCGCAAACGCAAAACCTCGGACAAGCTGCTCCCAGCTACTACTGCGACTACTTTACTATCTTATCTCTAGCCCAGTCTCTCTCCAAGCCATCCCCGGCCTTCCCTTGTTTGTTTCATCCATTCCTCCTAAGCTGGCCGTTATCGCTCTCTGCTTTGACTTTTGCATCTTCTGGCACGAGCTTCAGGCTCTTTTGTACTTCCCCTCGCTCTGCACAAACGCCACGGCTGTCATCCGGTTGGCTCCACGACATTTTGCATCGCCTCAACTTCAATTGCTTTGTTTTTTCCTGCAGTACAGTAGACCGCACTGGGCCAAGCCTCACACTTCGCATCATCCCATCTCATCCGTTGCAACTCTATTGTAGCTGTGCCGAGACCGATCCGATTCGAGAACGAGCTCCCTCTCATTCTCTTCTTCTTTATCCTCTCCCTCCCTCCCTCTCTCTTCCGTACCAGTACCGGCCTTGGACGAGGCCAATTGCTCCACCAGCATAGCCTCTACTTCACCCGACGGTGCCGCCACCGACGGCTTTTGATGCTCTTATCTCGACGACAGCCACTCAATTGATCTCCGGCAAGCATCTACGAGCACCAGCTTTCAGCAAATCATGAAATACGGCGTTCAGTTGGAGCGAGAGTCGGTTCCTGAATGGAGCTTGCGTATGTCTTCGCCTCTCCAGTCCCAATGTCCCACAACGCTTTGACTCATTCAAGACGGATTATCTAATTGAACTCGCAATCACAGACAACCTCGACTACAACTCCATCAAGCACGAGATCAAAGTCCATACAACGCGCGACCAAGCCACAGCCCTCGCCATTCCCGGTCACCAAGATACAGCCCTACAGCGATTCGAGGATGCCTTGTACACCGAGCTCTGCCACCAGCACGACCGACTGGACATGTTTGTCATGAGCAAGGCGGACGAAGTGTCGAGACGATTGGGTACGCTCTCTTGTCATGGTTAAGTTGCCACCTCGTTACTAATACAGACCAGAACACATCGCTGCCAGCATTAAGCGGTTTGCCGCCAAGACCCATCACGAGTCCGGCTCGCCGAGTGCATCACTAAGAAACCAGCGCAAGTTCATAAAATATGAGCGCGAGCTGCTGCGGTGCAGGGAGGACATACAGGCTCTAACGCGCTTTGCCAATGCTCAGATTATTGCGTTTCGCAAGATTCTCAAAAAGTATAGAGTACGTCATGATGAGCACCTTTACTGGGCTGGGCCGCATAGGCATGGACGGCGGGTCCCGCGAGCTTTTGGCTAATCCTTGCAATAGAAATGGACCGGTTCATCATCATTAAGCTCCAGGTTCCACGAAGAGGTGCTGAGCAATCCCAAGAGCTTTACGCGACGCAGCTTTGCGGACTTACTGGAGCGGCACGACGAAATCCAAGAGACGCTTCGCCATGCCACTCCGGCGTTTAGTGAGCCAAGCTCTCCCTCATCAGTCGACACGCCCGTCGCCCCTTCGAACCACCCGTTAAGTTCGCAGCGCGTCACCTTTGATCCTCTCCCGCCGTCATATCTCGACCCCGAGCCACAGCCCAAATACTGGAACGAGTATGACGACGGTAGCGACGCCGGCGGCCCAGAGGACGAATACGCAATCTACGTCGATCCCGACCAGGACTCGGGCTTCCCTGGTTTGAGCTACGCCCAGGCCATTATGTCGTTCCCTTTTGAAAAGGCCAAGGAGTGGCTGGGCAAACCGCGGTCGCCTGAGCGGCAGCCCCTCTTTTCGTCCATTTCATCCGGGGACTCGTTCAACCAGGGGTACGGCTCCACGACGGCGGTGCACACCGACTCGGAGGAGGAGGAAGCATACGCCAGCTCCGACGGCTTCCCCACGCAAGGCTATGCCACGCACTATGCCCTGCCCAGCGTCGGCTCGCAGCAACTGCGTCGTTACCGCGAGCGAGTCTTGCTCTGGGGCACCATTGGCTGCTTCGGGGCCGCCTTTTTCTTCCTCGGCATCGCCGGCATCCTCATTTCGACAGGCCGGCACAAGCTGCGAGTCGAAGTCGATGCCGGTGCTACCGTTGGAGCAGTGGTCAGCTTGTTCTGCGCGTGTTCCGGCCTCGGCATGACTCTTTATAGAGAGGACCACCTGTCAATGTCATATCGCCTGATGGTCTGGTGCACCTTTATCGCCACCTGTTTGCTCAACGGCATGCTACTCATTCTGGTCCTGGGCAATTCTCCCTGAGTTTGACGAGTCGTGAATAGCTGAAGCGAGGGAGAGAACATCGTCTCTCTTGTTTTTTTTTTTTTTCTGTTTTTTTTGTGCTGGCATCATTTCTTTATCAAAGTTGCATGCATCAGACTCACAGTCTGCGGAGTTGGAAACATTTGTATTGTTGTTTATCCTCTTTCCTTTTTGTTCTTGTTCCTTGTTCTTTATTTGTGTATATTGCGGTTTTTTGGATTCAAAACAGCGACCGGAGGGTATTCTATATCGTCTGACGGATGGGAGCCGGACATGTTATTCAACAATCGACGGCAGTCTAGCAAATTGCATTGTGGCGCTTTGGATGGGCATATTTGTATGTATATGATTCATGACAGAGACTCAGGACGGGAAGAGCGGATGGAGAGCTTCTTTTTGGGATTCCCGAGAATGTTGGTAGGCTCTGAAAAGAAGAAGATTGGCATAGTTATTTACAAGGCATTTCATATCAAATCTTGCGTTTCTAAAGTTCGAATGTGTATAGTAACTGATTACTATGGAGCATCTCTTGTAACTGCAATGCAATTCGGCCAAGACCTCGTTGTATGTACTTGTATGCAGCCAGAAATAGCAAAGTGGAGATGGATGGGGATTTGCGTTTCTTGTCCCTTTCTTGGCCACCCCCCATAAGATATTTATCCAGCCAGTCAGAGTAGCTTGTTTTGACTTATTGGGCAATTCGATAAATGCAAGAGGAATGTCTCCAATTGTTGGACTGAGTAGCGGATTTTGAGCAAATATATTTAGCAAAGGGTAAAGAAACTACCTGTATCCAGCCGCATTTCCGTTCTCCCGATTCATCGGTTGCAAATGTAGAGTATCCACCCATCTTGAAAAAGAAACCTGCAAAAAGAAAGAAAAAGAAACAGAAAATAGCAGATGGATAAAAGCAAGAGTGTAAAGATCAGCCACTTTTAACCCCCCCTGAAAAATTCCCGAAAACCCCCAGCCCATGCTCCCTAATACCATCCATTCCAAGGATCAACATCATCTTGATCATCATCCTGATCAACATTCAGCCAATCAGGCGAATCAACATCCATATCCATCGTCGTATCCTGGTCAAAGTGTCTCCGATTACATTGCTCCTCAATGTGCTTCGCCAAAGTATCAATCGCCTCAGCACTCCTCTTCGCCATCTCCACCGTGCGCCTCCTTACCGCCTTATCACCCATCGCACCGGAATTTTCGCCTTGGAAATAGTTCATGGCCTGTTCGTGGCGTCTGTTGATGGTCAGACGGCACGAGCCGGTGCCTTTGACGGTGACTTGAGCGGATCGCCTGCTCGCGTGTCGGGTGAGAATGTCGACGTGGAGAACTTGGCAGTCGACGGCTTTGATGGCCTGGATGACGGGACTTTCGGGGAGGAAGAAGTCGACAAAGGTGAAGCGGCTTTGCGAGGATTCGTCTTGTTGTTGATGCCAGAGCGGCATGATGCACACAGTCAGAGTGTGGATGCTGCGAGATATCTCGGCTGGTCCGCCTTGATCTGGTTTGCGGAAGACATTCATCGCAGCGACCATGCTGTCTTGGGTAATCGCTGAATAGCGGTTTGCTTCGGCCTCGATGGTGATGTGTCGGAATAGATGCGCATATCTTTCAATGTTTATGCTGCACTCCATATCGGGGCCGACAGGGCCATCTTCGTCGTCCTCATCCTGCTCAAGATCGTCCTCGTACTCAGACTCGCTCTCGTCTTCATCACGCCCGATCAGTTCGTCGTCCATCGCTAGATTATCGATGTAATCCCCGTTGAAGTTTGCGTCGCGGAGGCGGTACAAGAAAGTATTCGCTCCGTAGAGCACCACACTCGCCTCTTCGTGCACAATCTTGCACGCCCTAAGGATGGCAGTCGATATCTGCAAGTCTTTCGTCCAGTAGACTTGTTTCCAACCTCCGTGGACGGGGATTGGCTTTGCGGTAGTGAGTAAGTGGCGGTAAATCTCCATCCGAATCTCTCGTGGTATGCCCATGAAAGTAGCTGGTGTCTTCTGTATAACGGGTTCCGGAGGAGGAGGAGGAGGAGGCGCCTTGCGCGCCCGCTTTCGACCGAACCTGAATGGCTCATAGTCTCTTTCAGGCTCCTCGTTTGGTTCTTGTTCCTGGTCTTCTTGTTCCTCTTCTTCCTGCTCCTGGTTTCTTCCTCGCTTCAAATAAGACAGCTGGGGCTTGTCGTCATAAGGGTCGGGGACTTGAGGCTCAGAAGCTTTGAGTGATACCGGCGGTTCTCGTTTCTTATCTTTGTTCAATTCTTTTCGCGCTTTGGCAATGCTCGAGTAATATTTTTTCTTGGGAAGCTTCGATATGCCGACAAAATCTTCTTCCTCGGGTAGCTCAAGGTTCAAACCGTTTGGGAGTTGGACATAGTCTCGAAGAGCCTTGTTTCTTAGCTCTTCATAGAGGTCTTTGTCCTTGGTGCGCTTTTTACGAGGCTTGGGCTTGCTTCGTTTCTCTTTGCCTGCCCGCGATGATCTGTTGTCAGTGGGCTTGGCTTTTGAAGCTCGCGTAGGGCGACAGGGGGCCATTGTGGGTGGTGTTGATGGTTGAAAGTAGGTGGATGGATGAAGGAGTAGTAGTGTTGTGTGATGATAGGTGTATACGATATCACAAGAGATGATTGAAGGAAGATGATGTGAAAAGGTTAGTAGGAAAGAAGAAGAAGAAGAGGCAGAGAAGGGAAAGAAGAGAAAAATTGGATTTATACCGCAGTGTTCCTTTCTGCCGGCGGAGTGTTGCCTCGCGCATCTCTTTGGGTGCATCCTTTGGCGGTGTGTAGAGTTGGAGCGCAGACTTTGATACCAGCATTGATGTTGTCTCGCCTGCCATCTAAGACGACGTTGATGGACAGTCTCCTCCTCTCTGATATAGACGTGGTCAAGTTACTTCACAACACTAGGGATATTCATCTGTCACAATTAATCTAGAAATTTTCACAACAGACATCGTGGAGAAAGATACATTCCGTATTAAACGCAAGGCAGCTACTACATGGATGTCACGATATTCCGAGTATACACTTATGAATGAAGTTCTCGTAACCTTTGGTGTAGTGATCCAAGTGGCCAGGCGCCACAGCTTTAGCGCTGCTAGGCGCTAGATCTTGTCAGAATCCCTTCCAGGTTCCGTTTGATCTACAAATCGATCAACGCGGAGCAAAAGTAGAGTCACATTGAGTCCGACTTAGGAACTGGCGATAACTAATAGCCCAATTCCACTCATCCCAAAACCCAAAACATCAATCCAACTCCCATCCTGAGATTCTACCCCGTATACTTATCTGCATTAAACAATGTCATGCAACAACAGCAGACCAGAGATAACAAAGTGGAGATAGCGAGATGCATTTTTTTCTCTTAAGCCCCCATCCATGGCTCCATAATATGACACGGAAGATTTATCCAACCAGTCAGAGCCGCCGACTTTGACTCATTCGGCAACTGGGCGGAGGGGGAACGCCGGACTCTTCATTTATAATGTCCAACTTGCTACTTGTACTAGATTTCGTTTTGTCGTTGACTCTTTTATACAATATCATGAACTGAGCGATTGCGTCTCTGTCTCTTTATGACATTATACCCAGCAGTCTTGGCATCAGTTTACAACAGTCACTAAACCACCATAGCCATCACCATCACGATCCAAAACAGTGACAACTCAAAACTCACTCGTATTACCCATCTTGATCCATTTCACCCACAATGACAGCAGCATTCCGCCTCCGCCCCGGATCCGCCGCCGATCTCGTCCACGCCGTGCGCCTCTACGACGCCTGTCTCGGATCCGACAAGCTAGTATCCCTCTTGTTCCCGATCAAGAAGAACGATCCCGCAGCGTACAAGAAGTATCTCTATAGACTCTACGCGAAGCGCTACTGGTCCGTCGAATGGATGTTTACCTTTGTCGTCAAGGAGGGTGGCGATGCGGTGGGGAGCGAAGTCGTCGGCTTTGCGTGCTGGAAGAAGCCCAAGACTGAGATTAGTTTCAGCGAGCGCTGGTTTACTTTATGTGGGTTTATTCTTCTTTTCTCTTTTAACAATCGCCGTTGTCTTGTTGCTTCTCGCTATACACAACTTGTGAATAGCTTCATACATACCCTCAAGATATACAAAAAGCTAACTTACATCAACAAGTTGCATGGATCGCCCCCGTCATGCGCGCATTCATCACCCTCCAGAACAAAATCGCGCCCCCCAACGTCGACTTCCACGTCGCCCTCGCCTTTGACCGCTGCTTCCCACCCGTCGAAAAGGCCGTCTTCGCAGGCAAGCAGCCCGAAGAGTGGTGGTATCTCAGCACTCTAGCCGTGCACCCTTCCGCTCAGGGCCAGGGTCTGGGCGCTCTGCTCATGGCTGAAGGACTGACCATGGCGGACGAGTTTCAGGAGAAGCAGGCCGTCGTCAAGGCGGAGGGCAAGGCAAGGGGAAAGGTCTGGTTGATTGGGCTCAGGGGCACGGATACCTTTTACTCAAGGTTTGGCTTCAGCGAGGTGGGCAGGGCGAATGTTGGCGAGTTGAGCGAGTGGGACGGCGGTCTTGTCATGTTTCGAGAGTAAAGCGCTGGTTGTGAAAAGCTCGTTTTGTTTTGTTTATCTATTTCGTACATACGAAGTGCTGGTGGCCTTCATCCTTTAGAGTCAGATAGAAGTACAAATCCTGTGAAGTATTCCTCGCGTCTCCTTTTTGTGCCTCAAACCCCTTTTGTGATCATGTTCCCCTTGGCCAATCCATGTACGCCCAGCTATCCCGTCCCCCAAAGCAATTATTAAATCCTTTTGTCACTTTTATAAAAGCAAATTCATCACGAGATATTCTCGTCAATGCTCAAATGCAACCGTTCGTATCAGAATTCCGTAGCCGTTTATCATAAACCGAATAACTTCGCTCGCTCATATCTATCCGCCGTGGATGTCCGAGTTGGACCAAAAAGAATTAAGGAATGAAAAGTGGAAAGAAGAGAGAAAAGGAAAAGACAAGGAAAGTGAAACAAGTTAACAAAAAAGAAACACAGAACAGAGCAAAAAAGAAAACCTCGAGACTCCTTGCCTGTCTAACAAACTTTTTAGCCGCGCCTTGTCATCGTGAGCGTAAGATCGTACGCCGTATATGCACAAGAGAGTTCAAATAGGAAGAGAGAAGTAGAAGAAACAAGCAAATCCATGAAGAAGTATGACAGAAATAACAGTGCCAAATGGACGAGAACAAGAAAAAGAAGTATGTCGCAATGATGGCTTGCCAAAGCAACTTGAATCTTCACATTCTCCCATCGGAAAGGATAGGTATGGTGTGAAGTAGAGGTTAGAAGATCCCACAACTAAGCCTCATGTGCTTCACTAGCCGCTTTCGCAACAGCCTGGCCAGCACGAGCTCATACATTGTTGTAACGACGTGCTTCTTATTCAACTCTCTCGGCTGTGGTACGTTGTTTGGCCTGACCAAGGTAGGTTGGAGCTCGTAGGCTGTCCAGCTGAGGGCGTGTTACTTGATCGTAATAATGATGTTGTTGCTGGGCGCTTGATCTTTGGGGCCAGGCTGGAGCGTAGACATGGCTCGACTCGGGCCAGTGCTCTCGAGAGTAGCTACGAGGGTTCTGCTCATGGGTCAAAGAGGCCGCGGCTCTGTTGTCAAAGTACGTTGTGCCGAACTGCGAGGTGCCACTTGAACTTGGTCGAGGATATTCCAACATGGGCTGGCTCGTTGGGATATTATCACTATAAGATCGCAAGCGAGGGACTCGTGGCACGTTGGGGTCCTCATTAATCGATGCCCAAGAGCCTCTAAATGGTGGAATTGCCATATCCGAACCCTGGAGATCGCTGGCTCCCGCCAGATGAGCAATGGATGGCAGTCTCTGATGGTAGTAGGGATCTCTATTTCTTTGAAGAAAAGATTCAGTACCCGCACGGTACTGAACTGAATGTTGCTGTTGATCATGGCTGTAAAGCCCGCCGAAGCCATTAGGGCGTCGAAATTCGCTAGACGAGAGCTCATACGTGTGCGCGATAGGTCCTTGGGAATGTCCAGGAGATGACACCTGGGCCTTTGGGGCCGTAGGCAAGGTGCGTGGTACGGACGACTCAGCGCCAGCCGAAGACGCAAGCACATTGCTGGTGGCGTAAGACGGCACAGTCGATGGAAGGGGAGTCAGAAGGGGATGCTGGGGGAAGTCTGCCCCAAGAGGACTGAGGCGGATTCGCTTCCGCGGAGTATTCATAGATTCAGATGCGTCATGCTGAATGAGAAGTGAGGGTTCTCCGTGGCTGACGCAATCTGCATCCTCAGAACTTCGTCGCTTGAAGGCCTTGACTTCCACTGCAGGAGCAGCTGTGCGGGCCTGTTTGCGGCTTCTGACTAGCTTCGTTATGTTTCCCGCCTCTGACTCTGTAATGTCAGGCAAAAACTCGACCTCGGGAACCTGGCCAAGAGTGCCATTCTCGATTTCTAGGTAAAGGCGGTCTGCAACTTCGAGCATCTGCTCCGTCGTGTATCCAGTACCCAGACGTTGAATGATCCAGTCGGGAGCGGCCGAACTGTTTGGTGCCTCTAGAGCCTCATCTTCGCCCTCTTCTGCTGCGCCTCCTTCTTTGTCAAGGCGGCTTTGTTCCCTCTTTCGTAACGCCAATGTCCAGAGTTTGATGTACGGGCCGGTTCCTTGGCGTTGGTTCTCATTACTCCATCTTTGGAGTCGGTTTATCTGCATCTTCACGAGATACATCTGGTTGAGAGGGTAGGTCTTGGCATTTCGATACCTAATCCGTTGATAATGTTTGCGACAATAATATACCCACACCTGCTTTGGGATCCGAAGGGTGCAAGCCTTGTTGCGCCCGAAAAGGTGTGAAATGGCTTTGCGTAGCTGCGAGCCAGTCTGACAATCATTGACAAACATACACCGAGGCTCTTCTTCGAGCGGAGCCATTGATGTAGGGCTCAAAGCCTCAAGAGATGCCTCTCGAGTTATTACGTCGCGGGTCGATTGTGCCAGAGAAGTGGTATCGGATATTTGATCGGAGACTTGTTCTTGTGGCTGTAGGACAGCTCCCGGAGAAAGAAGCATATCAATGGCAGCGCTTGTTTGCCCATTCCTGAGTGCAGGGTGCAGTCGGTGGTCGGGGTCAACATCTTGGTAGGTGGCAGCCATATTTGGCTTGGCTTCCTCTGCTTGAGTCCGCAAGCTTTTTGGCGTAGAGCTACCCATAGCTAGCTCAGTAGATAATGGCGTGGGATAGCGATCGTTCAGCGTGTCTGATGCGGATGTTGTCATACGCGAATCGAGAAGGGGAGCGGATGTGGCTCTTTTATGATACTTTGGTCGGGTCAACTCGGAGCTGTATCAAATGCTTTAGCTTCAGAACCTTTGAGATAGCTTCGATAAAGTGACGAAAAAAGGGGAAATACGTCTTCAGGGAGGTGACAGGATGTGTGTTTAGTCTTCAGGAGCAATAGAAGACAATGCTGTGTGTTGACAGTAAATGCCAAGAGATGTGTGGTTTGGGAAAGGAAGTCTGAACTTTGGGATCAAGAGATATAAATAGGCAATTTGCGCAGCTAAAAGAAGGAAAATTCTTCACAGTGATGCAGCGCCAGCTGTCTGTCCTTTGGTCACGCGAGCCGTCAAGGCAGGCTTTGACCGCGTTCTTCAGCTGTCAGGAATTTCTGCCAGAAGCTGCCAGGGGCTGTCATCTGTGATTCACTGGCAGCCGGCTCGTGCACACCGTCTTTAAACAATGAGACGGTGCTTGAGCACTTGCTCGAGGAGGCGCCATGCGGAATTCAGCTCTGAATAGAGTGACTCTTCTTCGGAAAGCGAAAGCGGAAAAAGCAAGAGTCCACAGAAACTGGGGCAGAAATATTTTGACAAGCGCTTAAAAGATCCAAGTTATTTCGCATTGCTTTGGGCAGTCCGTTTGATATGCCCAGGCAGCAGCAGCATGTACACAAGCTTCTAGGAGAATAGAAAAATGAAAAACGTACCGTAAGGCCTCTCCGAGAAGAGTAGGCTGCCCAAGCTTCCGTAGGCTAAAAACGACACCCGGTCGATCATTTAAAATGTTTCCCGTTACGATCAGTTGATTTTGCTTTGCTGCTGAGACGTCTTCTATAAGCCAAGGAGATGGAGACTGCGCTGTGATGTCAAGATCAATCTGAGGGCTTTGTGCTCCAAACGGCTTGGCATAGACTGATGGCGTGTCTATAATAGGTATACTCGAAGAAGATACGCCGCTAACAGATGCCACAGACGATAGCCTTGAATAACACTCCGACAGTGATGACCCCGATGACACGAAACTGCTGTTGCTAAATGATAATTTATGGTTTGAGGCTGCCGATACTTCTCCTGAAAAGCTGGCACGGTGGTCTTGAGGGGTCATTCTGTATTCCACGTCAGATATATTCTCCTCAAGCCCTCGATTCAATCATAGGTCGGGTAGAAGTTTACCGAGTCGAGCATATGTGAGCCTCGTCACTAAGATGAAGATTGTAAGCTTAGAGGCACAACAGGCTGTGGTAAGGAGAGGTTCAAAGGAGATTCGCTCTCTCGATGCCAGCCACGAGGGGGTTCAATCTGTGCTAGCAGAGGGAGCAAGATGTCCGGTCGCTAACATTTTTTTGCAACAAGGGATGAAGAATGTCAAGCTCACTCACCAAGATAAGTTGTTTCTGGCCAACTGTATCGGCAATTGGGAAGTAACTTCGAATGGAAAGCCCCTTGACGGTCGCTTTGATCTACTGTTTGCTTCCAAGGCAGTTTCGTGAACATGCTTTGGTGAAACTGGAGGGCCACTGCTTGACTGAGACATCGACTCCTCGAGCTGGAGTGCTCCCACTCTCCCTTCACCCCAGAAATTGGCAATTTGCCTGTCATCTCTGTCTGACCTCTGGCTGGAGTCTTCAGCCCAAGGCATTGGTAAGGGTTTGCCATGATTGTGATCCTTTGATGAGACCTCTGTGCCTCCTCTGCTGTAGCAAGGCTGTTGAGCATTGTTGAGAAGCGAAGTTACATCCATTTCTTCGATTTATCAATGCGGATAACCACGAGTGTTGCTGCCCACGACAAGATGGATGGTAGTAGATAAGAAGTGCGACGTAAGAGAACTGCGGGGCGGGCAGACGACGCCCTTACACAGGCAATAACTCCGACTTGATCCGACAAGGTGACGACAAATTCGAGCTGGTACAAGAAAGTCTTCGAATAAGGGCCGTTTTGAGAAGTGCAATTGGTTGTTGGCACACAAGAAGTAGCGCGTCAGGTGTCTCCTAGCCACGTAAGTTGGCTGTTTCGGTGTTTCAGGTAGTGATTATGTGCTATGTGATATGTAGATTGAAGCCCCTTCAAAACCACTTATGGTCTTGGAAATGCGCACTTGATGCCTGATAGCGGTTATCGTAGAAGCGGCTGATACAACGAATCCGGGTATTGTTGTCGAGGCCTTCAGATAGTCGGATGGTCGGTGGAAGATGGTTGAGTTCGTCGCCTCTTTGTTGAGTTTGAGAAGTGAGAATAACCACTATGCAGAAAAGGCCCAAAATCTTCCCGCTCTAAGAAGCCAGAAACTTTATAGGAATATTTGCTGGGGCCCCCGTAAACTTATGCTGTGCTGGTTTCCGGCAAGGTAAAGCTATGCTTACAGAAACCAGGATCGTACAGCGGCGTGGAGTTTTCTTTATCTGATGAGGCTTCTCCTCCTTTCTCAAACAGGACAGCGGTGAGGTAAAAGTAGGAAATCGTCTGCTGCTATTTTTACAGGCAGTAAACTACCCCAAACGATTTCGAGGCGTGGGGCGTTGGCATATGATGAGACGCAATATGCGACAGGATGCCAACCTAGTAGGCACGACGTTGATCTACTAGGGGGTGGGTAGGTAAGGCTGAGTAAAGGCAACGTTAAATGAGAAAAGTCCGGGAGATGAGAGTTGACCGATGTGAATAGGCCGGGGAACCGGATTGTTTGCCAGCATTGACGACATGAAAGAAGAAGAGGGTAAGACAGAGGACAGCGCATTGCCCAAGTCGGGAGCAGGAGTGTGGGCCGCCACCGACAACCTCACCATTGGATTGTCCAACGCTGTACTTACATATGACACTCTGAGAAACTGTGCAGATGTTGACCATGCCAGCATTGTAACTGCTCTGTTTATATCGGCGCCGTTTGGCCGAAAACGAGAGCGGCGACCAGCAAGGGAAAGGTCGAGGCTCCATGAGGCCGGATACGACGACAATCACCAGCCAGGCATGATAAAGGTTGCTCACAGACGTACAAGGGCGAAATTTGAAGCTGACGGCATAGGCGATGAAACGTTTGCCATTCAGCTGAATCAAAATCAGTTAGCAGCTGAAATAATGATTTCTCTCCCCCTCCCCCTCCCTCTTGTGGGATCTCGCAAAACAGCCCGGTGATTCGGCCAGCAAGCGACAAGTCTCTTGGTAAATCGGAAATAAACATGAGAGCTATGCTGAGCCACCCATTCCTGCAGTCGAATCGTAAACCAAAGCCTTTTAGTTCTGAAATCCTTGCTCATGCTAGCTTAGTTACCGCTAGAGCGGGGGCGGGATACAGGAATGGCTTAGCAGCTGTGTGTAGTCGACTTGGTTACTTGCAGATATGGGCCCGAGCAATCAATCCGTGGGTCGTTGGTTTATCACTTCACGAGGCAGACATGAGCTGGGGCCACGACGTGAAGCCGAGCTCGTCTTGGATCGTCCAATCGGCAGGTTTCGAGCTGACGCATCTTGCTCGCCCACATACTAACCAGAGGCTGGAGAAGAGAAGTATGAGCCTAAAATGGGCCCTACTTTCCCAAGCCCTGTTTCCCAGGGGGCCACGGCGTTGATCGTCGAGAAGAGAGACTGAATGAGTTGCAGCACGCTTAGGTCTGATATGACGAAACGCAAGCCAAAAAGGCCCAGAGGGCCCAGAGCAGCCACCGATGCGGAATCCACAGACAGGCTCGGGGAGACGCCGTCGCCCAACTCTGTCTTGATGAGACGCTGCGCAATTTGTTGTCGACCATGCTCATTAAACTCTTGGTTAAACCAGCCTGTGTTGCAGCCGTGCAAGAAGACAGATGCCGAATAGGTGTGGTAGAGCAAGCGACATGACAAGGGATATCCATCCCGGTCTGGTACCATACCGTAGTATCACACTGCTGAATGCCATGTGGTTGAGTGCCAGTGAGGCAAGCGGGTGTGTCTGACAAGCGTCCCTTTAGGCCAGGAAGGGGAAGTCCTTGGGGAAGAAGATGTGGCAGACCTGGTACTGCATTGCCCACGCCCTCGAGGCTTGCTCTGTGCGGGCCTCTTGAGCGGCGCGTCTGATCGTAGAGGTGGTGAGGCGCGAGAGAGGAATGTCGGTCCTATTCGCAAGAACTTGACATTTCTTGGCTGGTCGCTTGCAGCTACCTAGGTACCCCCGAGGCCAAGCGTTCGGCTACATGCGTGGATATCATAGGAGACCGGAAGACGGAGTAATTACCTGGTAGACGGCCAGCAGTTGGTTGCCACCCGCATACGAGGCAAGTAGACTGCCGGTCATAGACGCACCGTTGGTACGGGTAGTCTGTCGTCTTGCCATGTCGCTATCCCCGGAGAAAAGGCACAAAGCCGCTCTCATCAGCGATCGGGCTCCATGTTTCATCTCCGTATCGCATCTGTCGATGGTACCAGGCAGATGCTGGACCAGGCCGAGTGGGGTTGTCCGACCTCCAGTCTCCGTGCAGAGCCCTGAGAAGGACTGGATGCCGCACAAGAAAGATTTGAGAAAGAAAAACAAGAGCATCGACGAGTGCCGGGGTGCAGCCGCATGTTTCAGCCGTGCGTAGACATGCAGATACGCTACACGACGTGCGCCTTTCTTTGTTCCTGCGATGAAGAGCTCGCACAGACGCCGTTGACAAGAGTCGAGGCGGTGACGACGGCCACCCTCATGCCATCGAGCGCTTCTGTACGAGGTGAAAATTAAGTACCGAATGTGTGAGACGTGCCTGGGCAATGTCTTGTTCCGCTAGCGAGGCCACGAGGAGGTGAGCACATCGGAATTCGATTGTGTGTGTGTGTATGTATGTAGCTGACAGGTTACAGGTCTAGGAGCCCAGTCCCTGCAGCATTGGGGTTGATCAATGGGTGCCTTCAAGGTTCCAATCAATTTCTTACTGGTGCCCTCATGTAAGGACCTGGTAATTGTCGTTCCTTCTTGAGTACTACCAATGTACCTCTGATCACTGCCGGCAAGAGAATTGTCCAGTACGACTGCCTCGTGATATGTAGGGCTCCTGCTGGAAGTTTTCCATGACAAAGCACGCGACCAGTACTTACAAGGTACATCATGGCAAGTGGCTGCCACATTCTGATCTCTCCTCCTTCATCACCAATGAATGACCTGTCGCCATCGTCCAACAGCAATCGCATGCAGCGCCTACAAATCAGATAATTTGCTGTCGATGATGCATCGCCCAACCAGTATAGGGTACTATCGGCATAGAGCCCTACTACCATGCAACCGGTACGGTATGTATGTGGTGGGCATCTGATGGGATATCAAAGCGTTTTCGTAACTGATGATTAGTCGAGACAACCACCTTCATCGGGCCTCAACGGGCTTCATTGGGCAGGGTTCACGTTCCTGCTTCTCTCGACCGGTCAAGACCCGTACGGGCATACAGTACGTGCGATGGCCAAATAAGGTGCACACACGAGTAAGCCCACCTCTGTGGCAATCCTTCTGTGGGTTTCCGAGTGCTGCTCTATCAATTCCTCGCTGCCATCCGCCTATCAAGGGCTTCCCAGCATCGCGAGAAGCGCCTTGTCGAATACCTAGCACAACCCATGCAACGGCGGCCCCAAGCTTGGGAGTGGGTGTGTCGTCTTCGAGTCGAGCGCTAAAAATGGAGCCAGCAACCCCAGGCCAACGCTAGAACTTGCCCAACACTCGCGTTTGCATTCCAAATGAGATTCCAAAGGAATATCGATCTTCTCTGGAAGCTCGACCGACCCCACGCTAGCTAGGGGGGTTGATCCTGGCTTGCATTTCTAGGCCGACGCTTCCATGGGACTAGGCCCTGCGCTCATCCCGCGCCGTTGTGGATGATTGATTCGTATCGTCCATCTCCAAAAGGCCCCAGCGGCCGGCTCGGATATGGCCCTTCAAAGAAGCCCTGGCAGCCACGTTTTCTGGACTTGCAAGACTACTTGCGGGCGACGCGCTATGGCGCAACCCTTCCCTAGCTGACGTCTGGAGGATCACTTATGAGAACCTGGGTAATATGGATTTCCAAGCCGTCCAGCACCTACTTCACTGGATGGACAAGTTCTCGACAGCCTCGCCCAGAAAGGGCGATGTGCCCCTAGTGTGTTCCATCCGTCATGAAAGAATACTATCCACTACTGGTATCAATACTTCAGACGGTGCACCAGCCGAGACTATCAGGCATATGCGTGTGTCATATCACTTCCACAGCCAAGGGTTTATGTTCCCCGAGCCCATTGTCAATCTACGTTCCGGTACTAAGGATAGCGCTAGATTTGTGTTCGCTCTCCTTTCAGCCGCAACCCGCCGCTGGTTCCATTAGCTATGGCGGCTCTCGGCCTCTCGTCATGCTGCTTACAGTAGTTTCCGATTCTGGTTGCTTTAATTTGCAGGTCCCAAGAGTTTGGCGGCCGATCTAGCAAGTCCCGATATCTTGTTAGCTCGCCTTTATTTGCCGTGGTGGCCTAGGCCAAAGTTCTACCAAGACAGCCAAGTGATAGCAATGTCTGAGTTGTTAGGGGGTCCTTCCTATCTGGAAAGGGGGCACATGCAATATCTTGGCAGATGGGCACACGAGCTCTGGGCCTTGTTACTATGAATGAAGAGGAAAATAGCCTAATAGGCGCCTGGTTGTTGTAAAGAGAGAAAAATTTTCCCTTCCGGTGCAGCGTCGTATACTCCGTATCTGCAGTGTGAAGGAGATGCTAATTTGATCTCAGCAGTTTTGCTCCTCAAATGTTGATAGGTAAGCACTCGGCTGCAGCGAATTGATAGGCGAAGTCATTAACTGGCGGTTTCACCTGGTTGTGTCACCACAACAGGAATCCAATGCCACCTCGCGCGCATGTCAAGATGGAACGGTAGATCCTCAGGAGCATCTTCGTTTCCCATCGGCCTCCTCCGTACAGAAATATTGCGTCAGGCCTGATTGGGTCAACTTGGCTGCCATGTGGCAGTTCGTGTGGCAGGCAATATAGGAGCCGTGGCTACATCGTCTCTGCAAGATTGGCGGCAGCTTCATGCTGTCATCTTCGCAGAGCGCAAACCTCAGTCTATCATTCTATTTCGTAGAATTTTTGACTGCCGCACGCACTCCCGTGAGCCTCAGAACTATGAAAGAAGTGGCTCTTTGGGGGTGACAGTGAACGATCGGCCAACTGGGCTAGCTGCTGCGACCCGACATCACGACGCTACATCCGTTATTCCGACATTGTCGCAAGTTAGAATTCCGCGCCTGCAGGTTTATCTGGGTATTGCCACAAGGATTTAAATTTATCGACAACCGTAACAACAAGCTTGGGTGCTATTGGCGCTTATGTGTCCACCCATCTAGAGTGTTCCCGCCTATGGAAATGAGTGTTGAGATCTTACGTGTCTCCTGTCTCATTTCTACGACCAAGCTGAAGGGTAACATTTCAGGCTCACTCACCCGGTGCGCTGGGTGGAAGCAAACATGCGTCGGAGAATTAATGTATACTCGGATACCCACAGACCGCGGCACAATGCCTGCGGCAGAGGACATATCAGAGTCCGAATTGTGTAACACATTGACAACAGTTAATATTGAGTTCATAATCAGTGTGGGTTGCTCCCTATTGGAAGCCTCGTTGAACCCGCCGTAGGGGCTTATGTTGAACTGCCGGAATCACGGAGCCTGCGCTGAACGTGTGTCGTCTGCAGAAGTCCCTGCATATCTTCTGTCAGCCTTCAACATGTCTATCGTGGCTTAGCAGCTGCGAGTTGGACTGTTTTGGCAATTTCTGCGAGGCTTGATTGTGATGTTACGTTGCCGCAAACTTCTGTTATCTATCTCCCCTTTTACGAATAACGACAAAAGATCAGCAGTTGGGACTTGCAAGAGAGGGCTCTGTTGATGGCACATGTTCATTGATGGTGGAAGGGATGTCCTAGCAATACAAGGCGATGGTATCGAGCCTATAGAATTACACCAGTATTCTAAAGAGCTTCAACGTTCTTTTGGTTGCCTTTGTCGCCAGCTATAGATGGTTTGCTGGATAATTCGCCATCACCCACGGCGACAGGCTGTGTGCTTGCTTGGTCACACCCCATTCCTTAAAAAAAAGAATGGCATCATCAAAAGAGGTCATCCACGGATTTATCAGCGTCCTTTTGTATCAATTCGACCATTCCCTGTGAGATTTGGTAAGCTAGATTGAACCAATACGACTTGCAAACTCAATAACCTCACCTTGGGCATGATTGGCTTTCCATCTGCGCCTGAGACATAACGGAACGGCATCTGAGTGCTTTCATGTTCGTTAAACTTGAGCTCTGGAAAGTCCAGATATGGCACTTTGTCAAGAGATACTACTGAGGTTAGCACTATGTCATCTCTTGGATGTTGCCTGCCTAGCCATTGACTTACTCTTGTCTTGTACGACCATTCGAGTTACTCGGACGGCTGTGTCTGTGGTCATTTGCTTAGGGCCCAACCTTCTGCCCTCGAAGCCCTTCTTTCTCAATTCAGAGGTTCGGTCTAGAGTCTGTTAGACACGAGTTGATACTCGATAAAGCCCATCAAATCTCACCTCGAGGAGGGTCATCACCTATGAGATGAGCTGTTAGCTGATTCCCACTCATTCCCAGCACACCACCAGGTTGCCCACTCACCCAAGATGCCTCCAAAGAGAAATGCATCGAATGTCTCGCCGTCTTCGGGCGCCAAATCCTTGGCTGCTGCGGGATCCAAAAGGCAGACTCGAGATTTCTGGCCGGCATAAAGCTCTTCGACCCCGCGGTGCTCTGCCGTGAAGGCCTTGCTGGCAGCCAATGCAGCCGGAACTTGAAAGTTGGGAGGCAGGCAGGAGAGAATGAATTTGCTCTTGGTCTCCTCGCTCTCAGCTGCGATGGCTAGATACTCGAGCTCTGACCAAGGGCCAAGCTCTGGGTCGAGATGCTCGACGATGAAGGTTTTGCCAGTCGAAGCCATTTGTGCGCGGGCAACTCCTTCCGAGCGTAAAACTTATAGTCCGAGTGAAAATGAAATATGATTCTGCCTTACTGGAGATGTGATTGAATTGGTGAGTGGTGATCCGTGAGCACTGTTATGAAAGAGACGTCTCATCCACCGTATGAAAAAAATTCATTCAATCAAAAATTGAGGTACTGCAGAATGATGCAGCAAATGCCCCTCAGCGATCTACTAAAGCTAAAAGTACATCTGTTTTGGTGGGAATTATCGCTAGAGGCCATGTACCGTCAATCTCTGTGTGCATTAAACTACGGACGCTAATTTGGAGCGAGCTGCATTGACGTCGGGGTTTCTAACAAGTATCAGAGCATATGCGTAACAAGCGACACTCGACATCAAACATATCTACATAACTATAAAATTTGAAAAAGCCTTAAAGCCAAATAATTATGTACGGTAGTATCTTCTTATGCACGTAGTCCGTATTGAAGATTTCTTCACGTCCGATTCTTTTCTATCCAGCGAGATCAGGCTTATTGACATCCCCAGCGACAATAGACGCCTGCCGTGTGGGGCCGAAGCGCTATATCGCTTGCAGTTACAGCGACCCCATCCGCCTGTTTTAGGGGACCAATGCCCCAGTGCAGCTTTGTCCGGCTGCACGGCATCCCAAACCAGGCCGACATCCCCAAGGGGCAGGCGAAGCGACATTCGCTGAATTCGGCCACCTTGCGCCTCGCAACAACCAACCTTCCTTCATCACCCTCAAATTTCATCTCGACGAGCGTGATTCTCTGTCAATGATCCTCTACACCGACCACGACTGAGGAAGCTGTGTTCCCTCTCTGCCGACTTTTTCTTTCTTCCGCCGTCACCTGGCGCCGATTGCGCCGCTTCTCGCCATGGTTTCGCTGTCCGCGCGGCCAGCTTCATGGCGATGGCTGGCCGTTACCGTGGCTTCACTCTGGCCTACCCTCGCCGTTGCTGAGCAATCGAAAACCACGGCAGACTACTATGTTCACGATCTTCCAGGGCTGCCGCAGAATGCGCCGGCCGTGAAGATGCACGCTGGGTAAGCATTCCGCAAGCACAAGCACCAGGCAAGGGAGGATTGCCCCGGATTCTGCATGAAGCTGACACAACTCTACTCCGCCACCAGCCACATCGAAATCACCCCCGAGCACAACGGAAACCTGTTCTTCTGGCACTTCCAGAATCAGCACATTGCGAACCGCCAGCGAACCGTAGTGTGGCTCAACGGCGGGCCAGGATGCAGCTCGGAGGATGGCGCAATGATGGAGATTGGACCGTATAGAGTCAAGGACGTAAACACTCTGGTTCCCAACAATGGCTCCTGGCACGAGTTTGCCAATCTGCTCTTCGTCGATAACCCGGTCGGCGCTGGCTTCAGCTATGTCGATACCGACAGCTACCTCCGTGAACTAAACGAAATGGCAGACCAGTTTGTCATCTTTTTGGAAAAGTTCTTTACTCTCTTCCCCGAGTACGAGCATGACGATGTAAGTAGACCGAATTTGGCAGACAAGATGTAAACTCTAATGTTGCGTTCAGCTGTATTTTGCCGGAGAGTCATACGCTGGGCAGTACATTCCCTATATTGCCAAGGCAATCGTGGATCGGAACAAGAAGTTATCGGAGCAAAAGAAGGACAAGGACACTTGGAACCTGAAGGGATTGCTCATCGGCAATGGCTGGATCTCCCCGAGAGAGCAATACGACAGTTATCTTCCGTTTGCATTCGAAAAGGGCCTTCTCACGAAAGATGGGGATGTCGCCAAGAAACTGCAATCCAGCACTCGAATATGCCAGAACAAGCAAGGCAGCGATCCGGGCCATGTCGACTACGGCGAGTGTGAGAGTATCCTCAGCTCAATACTAGACATGACCAGAAAAGGCAATGGAAACGATGCCTGTTGGAACATGTATGATGTCCGTCTTAGAGATTCGTTCCCGAGCTGCGGAATGAACTGGCCGCCGGACTTGGCCGCCGTCACCCCGTATCTGAGAAGACAAGACGTTGTAAAGGCGCTTCACATCAATCCCGCCAACGCTGGCAATGGCTGGCAAGAGTGCAGTGGAGCAGTGAGTTCTACTTTCAAGGCGAGAACGTCTGTTCCTTCGGTCGAATTGCTCCCCGATCTCTTGACAGAGATTCCTATTCTGCTATTCTCAGGAGCGGAGGACCTTATTTGCAACCACATTGGCACAGAGAACATGATCGACAACATGGAATGGAACGGAGGAAAGGGTTTCGAAATAACACCTGGAAACTGGGCTCCTCGTCGAAAGTGGACCTTTGAAGGTGAAGTCGCTGGTTTCTGGCAGGAAGCCCGCAACCTCACCTACGTCTTGTTCTATAACTCATCCCACATGGTGCCTTTTGACTATCCCCGCCGCACTCGCGACATGTTGGACAGGTTTATGGGAGTCGATATCAGCAGCATTGGCGGCGAGCCAACCGACAGCCGCATCGACGGTGAAAAGGGCATCGAGACGACGGTCGGCGGCGCTTCCAACAACACCCACGCCCACGAAGAAGAGACGCACCAGAAAATCGACGACGCCAAGTGGGCAGCCTATCAGAGATCCGGCGAAATCGTCCTGGTCATCGTCATCGTCGCGGCCGGGGCTTGGGGATACTTTATCTGGCGCCAGCGCAGAGCTCGTGCCGCCTATAGGGCACTCAGCGGCAGCGACCCTTCAAGCCGAAATGGCTCTCGTCTCAACTTTTCTTCTCGTAGACGGCATGCGGACGTCGAGGCGGCGGATTTCGATGAGACTACTTTGGACGATTTGCATGTGGAAACACCGACTGCCTCGGAGAGCAAGTACACTGTGGGAGGGGATGACGAGAGTGACGATGGCTTGTCAGAAGCGGAGCAGAAGAGGAGGAAGGCCAACCAGGGAGGGTCAAGTTAGACATATGCGGTCCCCTTTTTGTTTTTCCTGACGTTAAAAGCATTGTTACTTGGACATGGGGGGTAAATGCTCTGATTCTCCTACAGCTGCCAGCTACAAACTGGTGCCAGAATCATTATATATTATTACAGGGAGTATGTTTTACATTTTTCACAAAGGTGTTTTTGGTTGATTGTTTGCCAAAGATGGAATAAAAAATTCTGATTCTCTAGTATTGTGTTCGTAAAAAAATAAAAGTGGCCACGCCCAAAAGAAAACGCCATGTCTACGCCCAAAGCGTTCAGGGGACGAGAACAAAAAGAGACCTTCTAGCCTTTTGTTGTTTTCTTTAATGGCCCTTGTTCTTTGCTGTACTCCCTGATTTTTCGTTAACCCGTATCCAACCAAATCTTGATGAATGTCTTGAATAGCCCGTTGACTCCATCATGCAATCCTTGCATTAACAGCAATTCGCCCATATTCATAATCATGAAAACCCAAACAAAATGCAAAACAAGCTCCCTCACAGCTGAATCTCGTTGTTCAGCAGCCTGACCTCTTCACCGGGCTTGAACGGCGGGAGCCCAATGTAAGGGCATCCATCGCAGCGGAAAGCGTCGCCCAGAGCGCAGTTGCCACAGGAGCCTACCTTGCCCTGGACGGTGAAGTCAACCTCTGTGAGGTCGTCGACGGCGAGCTTGACGCTCTGGAGAGCCTTGTCGGCGGCTGCGCGCTTGGCGGCGTCTTCAGCTTCGAGACGTTCGGCGAGGCCGCAGGTGCAGTCCTTGCAGGCGCGGCGGCGCTTGCCGGCTTTGGGCTGGCATTCGGGAGCTGTTTTCATGAAAGAGTTAGTGTCTGTGAGGTCCGAAGCAGGTTTATTTGTGGGATGAAGCATACGGATATTGATGGGTCGCTTGAGGTCATCTTCGGTCATGAGAGTGTCTTCGTCGATGAGCTCGTCATCGTCGTAATCGGCGTCGAGATCGTCAGAGAAGTCGATGAAGCCGACGCCAGCAGGGGCGACAGGCTTGACCTCAATCTTCTGCACGGGCGCGGCCTCAACCTTCTTCTTTCTGCCTCCCAATTTAAGAGAGACTACGCCTTCTCCGTCGCCATAGTCAGGCTTGTCAAAGCCTCCAGTGGACGCAACCAAGCCCGCCAAGACGGCTTCCTTTGCCAGAGCTGCGTTTTGGCCGAGGTCTGAGCCATCCTGCGACTGCAATCGCCCCTTGGGCTTTAGTGACTCTGCGATGGGACCGAGGATGCTTCTAGTCAAGAGGGGTAGGGTCTCGTTGAGAGAGGAAGACGCATCGGCGAGGACGAGGACGAGGTCGTATGTGGCAGAGGGCAGTTTGACGAGACCAGCTGACAACCGGTCGATCATCTGAAGATCTGTAGCAGAGCGATCATATTGAGACACGACGTTGGTGAGCGCAGTTGGGTGAGAGGCGAGAGACGGCGGCGCCAGGAGGAGAGTTCGCTTCGTCTGTGATGTTGCCACCGGGACCGCGAAGAAGTCGTCCGAGGTGTCTATCATTACGACAGAGGGCGCCATTGCGAAAAGAATGCTGTGAGTAGGGCAAGGACGAGAATTCGGCTGGCAACGAGAGGATGTTGATATGTCGAGAGAGTGAGGGAACGGATTTGTAAGAAACAATATCCGTTTCCCACTCGGATGTTGGATAATAATTTCAGTGACGCTTAGTAAAAGCTTAAAAAAATCAATGGTTCAAGATGTTGACACTGTATGCCAGCAGTAAACGTGGCCTGGTTGGTACAGTGTATATAATGCACGCGGGGTCGGATCGATAGTAATCGATAGCAAATGCGGCCCCTCCGAACGCGGAGATGCATTTTACGCATACCTGTGTATTCTGCGCTTCTCATTGGATGCGACGGGCAGGGGCAGAAGAGAAGCCCCCAATTGCTGTCGAGCGGATTACCAACTTGCAGGTCATCCTAACGGCTGAGCTTGAGATGGATCTCAGTTGCTTAAAAGCTGGTATCCACCTGGGACGAGATTCCGAGGCATGTGCTCGTCCTTTTTGTATGTCAGTATCCTCTGTAGAACTAATCTAAACCCGTATTCTATGGCCGTCAATTGACGAGGGCTGCAGGAGAGTCGCTTCACTAGTTGTATATCGTCTCCTTCTTCCCTAAACAAGGTATGGTGGCGTTTGTTGTCTGCAACGAGTTGTCTTTTCCGCGGAAGTGCGATGCCCTTGGAAGCATCAGCCCACTGATATCGGCGTTCCGAACCAGCTAGTGATTTACGAGCCGAGCCGACATGGTAAATGCCTTAGTATGGAAATACATATCAACGGCCAGTGGCAATTCTAACTGTCGGTGGATTAAATCGGTGTGATTTCACCTAGGTACTTATCCATACCTAGCTGCAGCGTTCATTGTCAGAGGCCACTTCCATACAAGTAGGAGTGTTCAATGCCTTCGACGTTTGTTCCAGCCTAATGCTCTTGTACAATTTAATAGTTGCTGAATTTGATACACGTATGGCTTCAAGTAGTCTACCAAAGGTTGCAACGAATGTCGAATAACAGTAAATACATGCATGCTCGTTTACGTTCTTCTCTCTGTTACGTTATCAAGATCAAAACTACAGCCCAGTTGCGTAGTTCGTCCTCAGCGCGTTCTAGATTTGTGAGAACCTACGATCCAACGAGTGATGATCTCCCAGGATCGGCTATGCTTTATTCTTCCAGCTGTTTGCTCAACTTTTGAGTACGTAGGTGAAAGCCACAAAGATGTGTGCTCAATGCAGAAGTAATCAAATTAACAACCTTAGAAGAGATATGGGAAACGAAGGAAACAACCTTTCTCAGAAATCACCAGTGGCACCTTTATCAGAAGCCATGATCTTGGCCAAAGATCTATCGTAATAGTGTTTAATAGTTTTGCTACACATTTTGGGAATCAGTTCCGTACCTAATGTTATGACAGAGAATTCTTCGCGCATCAACGTAGAGGAGACAATACAGCTTAATTCAATCACTGATGTATATCATCCAATTGTAGCAGCACTATAGTGAATGAATCTTCCCACATGCATTTACTTGTGACAGACGAGATATCTGAATGGAAAAGGATAGCAGCAACAGCAAAGTAATACAACAGCAACAACAATCCCATGGATGAATCCATCTTCCATTAATCCAACCAACTCACGCACCAAGTTAGATGGTGTTGGCATATACCAAGCCTCGATAACAGGCATTCTGCTTCCCATGAGATAACCTGAGGCTATCAAGCTCCCCTATAGCTGCTCCCTACAGGCCGTTCCACTAAGCGAGGACTCTGCCACTGCCAGGTGGCTGCCTGAGGGAAGCACTTCCCTCTGATAAGATTGCCAGCTGCTCTTCTAAAGGCGAGGAGGGAAGGAGCTGGAGTGGAATAACTTGCTCCCATTCTGCCGCCCTGTGCACCGCCTTCGCCTGCCGGCTGCTTTCTTCCCTGCGCACTGCCAACCTTCTCCCCCTTCTTCTTCTTCTTTCTTCCTCACCTGCTCAGCTTTCTGCACGTCTTCAACTTTGAGGGTAGCTGCAGATTCTACGCCAGCTACATCAAAGCCTGTGAGTAACCAGCTGAAGCATCTCGCTTCGAAGAATATCCGGCATTTCGACTAACTCGTCAACAGTGCACGTAGGAGGCAGCAGTCCGCTCCATTTAACTGAACGCGACTTTGGCCTCGTGTTTTTGAACCCAGATCTCAGGTATGCTCATCCAATATCCTTTCTCTGTGGCTGCTTGCCTTCCTCAGCTCCCCATCTCTGCTTCATCCCTTCTGATTGCCCACCCTCCCATGGATGACTTTCTATGTTGCCTATGTTCCTCTTCATCCACATGGAGACACTGAATGGCTTGCCTCACACTCTACTCCTCAGTCTCTCATCACTTTGCCCCAGTCATCTTTTCACTCTTCAGGTCCACTTTCTCATAGAACGTACTCTCACCTTTCATCCTCCTTCATCTGATTATTTGTTTCTCTAACCTCTCTACAGAGTTTCGTTTGTCACTTCATTGTATCCCATCCAACACTTGCCAAAGATGGGAGACTGGGGTTCCGGAGTTGCGGATGCTGGCTGGGGAGCTCCAGCCACTAATTCCTTCCCTGACAAGGGAAATGCTGGAGGAGATACCTGGGGTCAAGACTCGGGTCAGCCAGCCGACAATGTTGGATATTCCAACGACGACAACTACAACGGCGGTGGCGATGATGCTGGAGCATCTGGGGCCTACGGAAACGATAAATGTTTCGGCTGCGGTCAAGAAGGGTAACCAGGTTCCACATTCTTTTGTTAGACACACTCCTAATCAATCATTTTACAGTCACCGCCGAGCTGAATGTCCCAACGCTGGAGAACAGACTTGCCGTTATTGCAAGAAGGAAGGCCACCTGCGAAAAGACTGCCCGGAAGCGCCTCCCATGGCCTGCACCAACTGCGGCCAAGAAGGTATGTCTGATGAGTTGCTCGTGGGAGATGGCAATGACATTTATTAATGACAACAGGTCACTTCCGAAACAGTTGTGAGAATGCTCGCAAGGTCAATCGTGACCACGTCGCCGACACTACGCCTGATGCTGCCTGGGACAAGCTCAAGCAAGCGGCCCGTGAGAGAGATGTTGACGATGCCAAGGAAGCGATTGAGGAATACGTCAAAGCTCTGGCAGGAGAGGTCACCTATCGCCAAATCCAAGAGCGACTGGTGGAGGAAAATGTCAAGATTTTCCTCATCTCTACTCAGAGAGAGTTGATTGATACCTTCACCAACATGGACCTTCAAGGTAACATCGACAAGAAGTATAGCGTCTCGGTGAGATTTTCTGACAAGCCAGAGAGACCTCGCGAGATCAATGTCTGGCCAGATGGCATCGACGAGATTCTCTCTCGCTTGGATGATGCGGGAATGGTGGTGGACAGAGGTGTTCCAAAGTGCTACAACTGCGGCGAGCTCGGCCACACTAGCAAGGGCTGCTCCCAGGAGAAGGTTGAGCACAATTCAGAGAAGCCTAAGATCTCTTGTTACAATTGCAACGCCGAAGGCCACCGTGTGAGAGATTGTGAGTCGCAATGCCGCCCAATAACCATTCCTTCTTTCTTCTAACCAGCCCTCTAGGTCCCGAGCCGCGTGTGGACAAGTTTGCTTGCAAGAACTGCGGGTGAGTCTGCGTTCATAGTTCCTACGCATGCTGACCGAACGCTGACCATGTTACAGAAAATCTGGACACAACGCTAAGGAGTGCGAAGAGCCTCCCAATATGGACAATGTTGAGTGCCGGAAGTGCAACAAGAGTAGGTCGGACCCATCTGCATAGTGGTACAATAACTGACTGTTGTTTAGCCGGCCACTTTGCGAAAGATTGTCCTGACGGGGGTAGCAGGGCTTGTCGAAACTGCGGCCAAGAAGGCCACATATCGAAGGACTGTGATCAACCAAAGAATATGGATAGCGTGGTGTGCCGCAACTGCGATGAGAACGGTCACTTCAGCAAGGAGTGCCCGAAGCCGAGAGATTGTAAGTTTCGTGGCGAGGCATTGGTACCACTGTAGCTAACAAACACACCGCAGGGTCCAAGGTCCAGTGCTCTAACTGTGAGCAATTTGGACACACCAAAGTCAGGTGCAAGATGCCTCCCAAGGAGTCGGACGCCTATGAAGGCCAAGCATACGGCGGCGAGGCTGAGGAGCAGCCGCAGCAGCCTGATGATAGCTATGGTGAGGCAGATGGCGGCGGAGGCGGAGGCGGCTGGTAGTCCGTTGCCATTGTCAGCAGTTCAGAGGAATATCTGACTTACACACCGTTGCTTTTTCATTTAAGTTATAGTTGCCCGTTCATTGGGGCTCATTTACTGCATAGTCAGTTGCGGATGTGGTTACATCCCGGGGTATATGGGGGAAACATAGGGCAACACGGGGTCACGGGAGGCATAATAGCTCACCACTCTAAGGCATTCATCGTGGTACCCCTAATAAAAGCTGATTCAGAGCACAGAGGTTATGCGAGCGGAAGTTCCCACGTAACCTCTCCGTGTGTCCGGTGGCCGATTCATACACCGGCTACCCCACCCCGATAAGCCGAGGCTGGGCGTACGTATAAACTCCCCGAGTCGCAAGCAGACAACAAGTCAACAACCCGCGAAACAGCCTCTTTCCTCTTTATACAACCCAGTGGAATTGTTACGGATCAAACATCCTACACCGTTGTGTGAAAATGGCTGCCGGAGAAATTATACTTTATCATTACAAAATCTCGCCTTATGCAAGGCGCGCTGTGTGGTACCTAGCTCTACGGGGCATTCCCTACAAGCAATGTGTAAGTTGCATTTTTACATAAGTCTCCAGCCAATTGCCATAATAAAAAAATGTTTAAAGAGGTAGAAGTGCTAACATAAAATACCGACTTCAGCTCCAGCCTGGCGTGTTGCCACGGCCGGATGTCGCCCGTCTCGGACTCGCGTACCGTCGCATCCCAATCATGTCCATTGGAAGGGACATATACCTTGACAGTCGCCTTCAGCTTCCCAAGCTAGAGGCAATGTATCCAGAGCTGCCTCGTCTGGGAGCAAGCACGGCTGAGCAGAAAGGCATTGAGCGCTTACTTTCGGCCTTTGTCATTGACAGCGGCATCTTTCAGCAAAGCGTCAAGCTACTTCCGCCGGAACTGCCATTCCTCAAGGATCCAAAGTATTTCAAGGACAGAAGCGATTACATGGGGACACCGATGAGCGTGGAAGCGTTGAAGAAAGTACGGCCTGAAGCGCTGGGGGAGGTTGCTGCGGCGTTTGAGCTGCTGGAGACGACCCTGATGGCGGACGGGCGAGAGTGGATTTTGAAGACGGAGAAGCCGAGCCTGGCGGACATTGAAGGTGTTTGGATGTTTCATTGGATATCGGGCATTCCTGGGGCGTTGCCAAAGGAAGGGTTTTCGGCGGACAAGTATCCCCGAGTGTACGCGTGGATTAAGCGCTTCCAGGAGGCTGTCACGGTGGCGAAGAAGAGGATCGAGGAGCCTAAGACGTTGGACGGCGAGGAAGCCGCGAGGGTTATTGAGGGATCATCGTGGCATGAGGAGGAGGGGGTTGTGGATGAAGGAGATGCGCTGGCGGTTGCGGAGGGGTTGAAGAAGGGTGTCATGGTTATGATTTCGCCGACGGACACGGGGAAGGCGCATAAAGATGTGGGAAGGCTGGTGAGTTTGGATAAGGACGAGGTTGTGATTGAGGTAAAGACGGAAAAGGGGGAGAGTGTGAGAGTTCACGCGCCGAGGCATGGGTATAAGTTGAGGAGGTTTGATGGCGAGGCGAAGGGCGAGGCGAAATTGTAGGGTGTTTTGTGGTTTGTAGATATTGCCTGTTTTTGAGCAAGTTGGAGATCGTCTGGTGGAATAAACGTTTGGCCATGATTATAATGATTAGCATAGATTGTTTTATAGAATAGATGTATATTTGGTAGTGGGCTGTGGAAGGTGTGGTGATGAGGGGATTTTTCAACATTGCTACCTCCTCTCTGCTATACCAACGCGGCATGTCATCTAGAGGACTAAATCGTATCTATAGATACACATTTCTCACTGACATTGCTCGATGGTTTTTAAATACCGACTATATGAATTCGTGCATAAACTGTCGTCGAAACAAAACATGTTGCAAGATCTATCTCGGTGGACTCAGGGGTATCATATCCAACCTACCCTGGAGCCGTGAGGGAAAATGCGGCTGTTTGATCTTCTATCACCCATAAAGTCGTAATAAGGTTATCGAATGCTCTGATTAAGAATCAAGTGCGTACTTTGGGTATAGTTACGCGAAACAGTGGTCCGTTGTGGAGATGTGGTCTCAAATGGTACAGTCACATTCAGAGACCACACGACCCAACTCAAAAGTTGGGAGCATCAAAGTTACTTCCCCAGAGATCTACTGATTCACAAACTGCATCTCCGTTCTATGGCCAAAACGCGGATCTCCCAACGCCGTGTCCAGCCCAGCAGCCCTTCAGATGCCCAAATTCAAGCACAGTGACATAGCAGGCTGCTCATGATCGGCAGGGCCATGAGACCAAATCCTCTCAGCCCGACCGTTTGTTTTTCGATAACGGAAGGATTGCATCATTTCGTTCTTTACGGTATCAAACAGGATTCCATTGATGGAACCTTTTCACCTGCAGACAGCCGGACGGGCGCCAGCTGAATGGGGGGCCACGCCGGTCAAGTCCTTCAGGCATCCTTTCAACTACCCCTTAAACCCTTTTTGGTCCGGTTGCTCGCAGAATCCGGGATGACCAAGACGTTGGAGTAGCAGTCCATCATGTTTTCGACTCACCTGAAATCGTGCTTAGAGGAATATGTATGTATAAGCATAACCGCCGATCATTCTCTCGTGCTTCTTTCGGAGGCGAAAATAGCAAGAGGATTAATCATCGTGTCATCACGAGCATCAGGCACAGTATCCAAAATAGCCCAAGCCCAAGGAAGCTGTAAACAAAGAGAACTAGCCAAGATCTCGATCCTTTTTGTTTTTGGTGCTTCGGAATTAGGACGCCATGGGGGGGGGGGGGGGGTTCGTGGTTGCAAAGGGATGGCGAAGATCGCCGATTTGAGACCCTCTCTTGCCTCTCCTCCCCTTTGTTCAAGACATTCTCGGAGAGATATTGAAGCTTGTCTGGGAACAAAGAAGCTTGTAGAAACTGAATTAAGCTGTAAGCTGTTTTCAGTTGATGTTTTTTATTTTTTTAAAGTTTCGGACGTTTTGTTGACTTGCCTCGCCTTTTCTCTGGTATCGTTTCGTCTTCTCGGGCTGGCTGAAGCTAATGACACGTCTCCACCTTGTGTAACGCGACTGTTGGATGTTATGAGGTGGTCTTTTCACAGCTGTTGGCATTGCTGCCATAATCAGTACAGTTTCATCTTGTTCAATAATAATGATAATGATAATAACAATGTCACATGAAGATGTCGCGTGTCGCTGGTTTGATGCTCCAGATCCGACGCATGTACTTTCTACAGAGCTACAGACAGTCCGGGACGGTGTTTCACGATGCTTGGCGGAAGTGCGTCATAGCTTGGCCGGAGCGGTGGAGACGTGGCGCCGAAGCGAGAAACAGCTTGAACGGCTAGCAGAAGCAAGGAGAGCCTTATTGAAAGACCAAGACCAAGACCAAGACCAAGACCAAGACCAAGGAAAATAGGAACAAGTTTGTTTTTGTTTGGGCACCCAATGGGGAGGGCATCAACCGTTGCAGCAGCAGCCAAGGCCCAGCAAATTGGCCCAGCATTGGCCCGATAGACTACAAGGGAGCGAGCGCCTGGGTCTCCTTTGCTTTGGGCCATAATTCCGCTGGATATTTTCTTCTTTCCCTTCTTTTTTTTCTTTCTCTTTTCCACATTTCATGCTGACGTCACGGGCCGATCATATGGCGCCTCACCAATTAGCCAGGCCGGGGACGGCCAAAAAAAGTCGCGGCACAGTGTCACGGACGATGGTACGATGTGGGGACGGGCGGGACATTTCAGGGGGTCGCCTCTTACACTGTGTGCGAGTTTTTGGTCCGTTTGGCCTCATCGGGCTGCTGTGGTTCGCTGGAGTGGTTTTTTGAGAGGATTGCTTGGGTGTTTGGTTGCTGGGTGCTTGGCTCGGAGTTTGCACAAAGACAAATCTGGTCGGGCATTGAATTGGATGGATTGTTGCGCGGGCCTAATCGGGCAAGTGGGAAGACGCATCCATTTGCGAGCCAGCGAGCGTTGTGTGTCTTGTTCCATGTTCCATATGGTATGGATACGGTACAATGTCTTGGGAGAAGAAGAGCAAGGTGATAATTTGAGACCTGTGACGTAATGAAGCTGCAACTCAACAATGCTCCAACTGCTACGGTACCGGCATAATATGTACTTGGTGAGCTTGGGTAGAGCAAAGACCATTTTGAGACTGGAAGAAAAGTCAAAAGGTCTCCTTTGCTCGTACACCGGGATGGATACGGCTCCTTTTTTGGCCGTTGGCTAGCCCAAGATCAGGTAGCCTTTGCGCAGAGGCCAACAGCGGATGCATTAGACGTGCCGCAATCTGGGAGGTGGTTTTTGGTGTGTGTAGAGCGTTCACCCAGTAATATCCGGGCAACGGCCAAATCGCCACAGCACTTGAATGACTTGTCGCCTTGTACGGAGTACAGTATTCGTAAATAACGGTTGCGTACTAGGAGATTTTGTCGCTGAGTCGGTGAGGCAAATGTCGCCAGAAGTTGAGGCAATACGTCCTCCGTACTCCATACCGAACTGACTTTTGATATGGGATGGATGCGAGTATGGTTGACTTTAGCGACGAATGGGCCTCGTGGCAGATTAGCAAGTATTGTAATTCTCGCCGCAGCTGCAAATCCAGGTCCCAGCCTTAATACAACATCGCATACGCTACCTTGGCTGCCTACATTCCCCCCCGCCGCACACAAAGAGGCTCAATCGCTGCCCGGGAGCTTCCAGAGCCATCATGTCCACCGAGTCTCTCGCACAGGAGCATCATCTCCAGCATTGGGTACGAGCCCGAATACTGTACATACGAGGACCCATGCCTGCAGCGCCCCACCTCTTTTTTACTTCTTCACTGCATCTCTCTCGCAGCTGCATTTCCAGTGGCACGCTAAAGCAACCCCCGGGCATCCTCTGAGACCATACAGTGCGAGCTCGTCATGTCTTTTTCGTCTGGACTTTTTGCTTCCTTCGTGGAGGCAAGACGTGCAGCAATTGACTAATCCGGGAGAACACGAACAACCTGAAGCAAAGAGGCTTTTTGAAGCCGTTTTGACTACCCCCTTTCTCTTCTTTTTTGTGGTGCTGGTGTTGATATGAGGACAAAACACTCGAGCTTCTGAACGCGTGGCTAATGTACTGCTGCCGCATTCATCCTGGGCCCCTGAGCTCGCCACATCCAGATGCCCGTGCGAAAACTGTACTGTACTCGTACTTAGTATGAGTTGCCCTGCCTCGATTGGCTGCATCTGGCCTCGCTTTTCCCTCTGGAGACTTTTCAAAGTGGTGCTACCGTCTAATACTCGCCTCGCAGGCGGGCATGCATGAAGCACATAATTCGTACAGTACCGACAAGACGAGAAAGCAACTGTACGGCGCGCAACGTCTCAGTCAATCATCCCATTCGACAGACTCGCCGCTCTCGATAGCAAGTATACGGTGTGTGATGGCCACGCATCCGCACGGTCCACACCACCCGTTTTCCCAATCGCGAGATGCGCACCAGCGTCCCGCACAGTGCGGAGGCGGCCAGGGTTTGTCAGCGAAGTCTCTGCAGGCTCCATATTTCATTGCATCCTGGGCTGGTAGCGCTCGTGGCCACTCACAGGCGCCCAAAAGCAGCCCAGCCAGCAACCCCCCCCCCGGAAGGGTCAGAGCCGCCGCCGCCCGCCTTCTTTTTTCTGCGCCTTCGTTTTTTCACAACGTCATCTCTGACGTCTTCCTTCCTCCATCGTGCACTCTTCATCACCCTCAGTTACAGCACTTCACAAGCAGCCTCCCGCACCCCCGCCGCAAGCATAGCTTCTGCTTCTGTGCCAGCGTTGGCGCCTCGATTCACGGGGAAGCGAATATCATCTTCAGTTTTTAATATCCGTGATTTGCAGGTCTAATCGGGGAGAGTCTTCGACGCCTGCTCGAATTGGTCTCTCTTATTTTTTAATTTTTTTTTTAACCGGGCCAAGCCTTGTTGTTCGGGTGCCAAAACTCCTAGTCTACGGAGGGAAAAACGCCCCCAAAAAACAAAAGAGCCAAAAACCTACTGCAGAGAGTTTGTTTAACTCAAGAGCAAAAGGGTTAAAAAAAAAAGAGTTGACAGCACGCGCCATCGCAACGCAACAACGCCCCAATCTATCCACCGCCTCGATTCTGCCTCCACGCTACTCCTGCCTCTGACCTCATCATCCAGATTGGTCTCTCCTCTTCTCTCTGCCCGGTCTAGATCCCAAGAGCTCTGCAATTGTTCTGCGTTTCCCCCACATAAACGGTAGCCTTTTGCTTCCCCTCCCTTTGCACTGTCTGCGATATAATTCATCGTCATCATGGGGACGACTGTGACCAACATAACCGAGTCAAAGTCCCCTAAGCAATCATCCCCAACACGGCAAGGTAAGCCTTCTCCTCTTCCCCTTTGCGGTTCCTGCATCGTCATACCTTCTCCTTGCACTCGGTGCTCCTACACCTTCGTCATCGCTACCACCTGCTCGGACCAAGTGCGACCTACGTCGTCACCGAACTCAATTGTCTGTTGCCCTGCCCAGCATCACCACCATTCCATCAATCACCTACAGCATCTCCATCACTGTCATTGTCGTCATCGTCACTCTCTTCTTCCCTTGCCATTGACATTGGTCCTTACCCATTGCAATTGCCCCTACCCTTGCCCTTACCGTCGCCGTCACCTCTTTGTCGCCGACCGTCGACTTACACATCATCTGCTTCAAACAGGTTCCATCGCCAGTGCCAAGATCGACTCTCTTACCAAGTCGGACATTGCGTCTAATGCTCCGGCGACCAAGCCGCTTGCACCGCCGCCTCGACCAGGACAATCCCAACAAGGAACAAATACCCCCGAATACTTCGCGCCTCAGGTTACCGGAGGCTCCCTCAGCCTGGAGCCCAATCCGTTTGAACAGTCGTTTGGGGGAGGTGGCCCAGAAACGCCTGGAGGAACCAAACTGCCCAGCGTCGCAGCATTGACGTCTCCGTCTTCTCTGCTGCCCGGTAGCAACGCGACTCCCTTCAACTGGGGTGGAGGCTCTTTGCGGACCGGCCCGCTCAGCCCAGCAATGCTTTCAGGCCCTACCGACTACTTCGGCGACACGCATCACCTCCGTGGCGGTTTCCCTACGCCAAACGAGTCCTCTCTGCGCACCGGACTGACACCGGGCGGGAGCGGGTCTATGTTCCCGGCTCCAAGTCCCAACTCTGCCCTTTTCGCACAGCTGGCCAGCGGCGGCGCCACTCCCAGCACCATCGACTTTCATCGAACGGCCCTGAGCGCTGCCGCAAAGCGTGAACAAGTCAACGGCCTGTCTCGAGTCCAACCATCGGCACCACAGCCACAGCCCGTCACATCCCAACCCCAGGATATGACCTCGGTCCCTGTCATTCCCAAAGTCGAAGCTAAACCCGCATCCGGTCCCTTCGACCCTCACGACAACGACGCTGCCAACGGTCTTTATATGCTCGCTCAGGGGAGGAACGGAACTCAACCTACACCTCAGTTCACCGTTACATCGGCACCCACTGCGCACGCCCACCCGGCCCCAGTGATCCCACCAAGCATGAACACGTCACCCCCTATGGCCTCTATCAAGGTAGATCCGCGACGAGGCGTCAGTGAGATGAGCAACGGGTCGGACGAAAGCGACCAGAAGCCCCAGACACGAGCCAAGGGCAAGAAGAACACCACAGCCACTAACGGCAGGAGGAAAGCCGACGAGGCGCCTGCCAAAGCGCCGCCTGCAAAGAAATCCAAGGCGAACAGCGGCGCAGCCAGCAGCAACGGTGACGAGGATGAACATTCTGATGACGATATGGATAAGTTTGACGACAATGGAAATGGAAAGTCCAAGATGACGGACGAGGAGAAACGTAAAAACTTTTTGGAGCGCAATCGGTACGTATTACATCTTGCCATCATCGGCTCTTGAATTCATCGACAATATGCTAACAGAACCCGTTAGTGTCGCTGCTCTCAAGTGTCGCCAACGAAAGAAGCAATGGCTTGCAAACTTGCAGACTAAGGTTGAGATGTTTAGCAGTGAGAATGACGCCTTGACTCAACAGATTACTCAGCTTCGTGAGGAAGTTGTCAACCTCAAGACTCTCCTGCTTGCTCACAAAGACTGCCCTGTTACTCAGCAGCAAGGCCTTCACGGAGCCTTCATGTCACAGGTTGTTGAGCCTTTCAACCCTCAGATGAACCCTTATGGCATGGCAGCCCCGATGCCTGGCCAGCAAGTCATGGCTGGCCAAGGCGTTCAGCGGCGTTTTTCTTAGGATGATGTATTCCATGACAGGTCGCCACGCGAACCGCTCAATTGAGAAAGAGGGGCTTTTCTACTCTTTTCTACTTTTGGTTCTTCTTCTTTTTTGATGTTCATCTTCTCTAAGAGAAGAGCGACAAGGTGATCATTCTTCACCTCACCCATAAGCGCATGGCATCATATACGCGGTCCACAGCTGAACGGAATGGAACGCATACAATACACATTTCCCTTGTATAATAAAAGGGGGTCAAAGGCGAACGAATTTGGTGGAGGGAAATTCATGTTTCGGCTGGGTTGCCGGACAGGCATTTCGAGGACGTGTCTTTTTTTTTATATTCTTATTTTTTTCCGGCCCTTTTCCACACCACTTGTGGTTGTAGGCAGTGCCTTGGCCATTTCTTTCCGGGTATATTCCACCCCCCCGGATCTTCTCTTCACAATTCTCTCTTCCCCGGTATTACTTTACAATGTACGTAAATAGTGGCAAGGCAAGGTATACACACATGAAAAGGTGTTGGACTTGGAAGGAAATCATGCAGAGTTTGAAGGCGTTTTGGGTGGTCTGGTACTCTTCATGGGGATGATGTACTTGGTGTTTCACGGTTTGAATTTCAGGTACTCTGTAGCTAGAGAAAAAACGGGCAGCTATATGATTACTTGGTTTTACAGCTAGCTAGTCAATGCATGAATGATGTGTGTTGTGCTTGTTTGCCGCATTCGACATAGCTTTGAAAGAAAGGATAAACCAGCTTCCAATGAGTCGAAACGAGGATGTCATCCGTTGTTGTGCGGCAGATGAAATCAACCGCTCGATCGCATCAATGTTGGTTGAGTCTGTCCACTATGGATTACAGGGCTTTGCCTTTCTCACTCTGCAGCGTCTCAGCAGGAACGCTGCAGAACTACTGAAGTAGTTTCGGTCTTCTTTGCACTTGACATCAATTATTAATACGAGTACAGTCAAGTCTGTTGTTGTCAGCTGGTAGTTGAGATTGAGTGAAGATGATGTCGGTTTTTAGTTGACAGCTGTTATATACCATATTACTAGCTCCATTAGCCAATCAGATGCCGCATTGCTGAGACCGAGGGGGTGGGGTAGTGAATGGCCCAAATAGGCTTAGCGCCATGTCTTGGAAAACCATACCTCTTCGCTCATGGTCCCGAAAGTAAACACAACCAGGCAAAGAAAGAACACTTTGGCGGTCTCCCCGAACGAAACAGACTCGACTTCTCAACTCCGGCAAGAAGCAGCAGCGCATTGCGCATTCATCGACAAACGGCTGGACCCTGGCAGGTTTTCGGAACCGCTTCGACGGAATTTTTGCGTGTGATTGCGCTCGCGGCTTTGATGCGCTGGACGGGCGAAACGCGCGCAGGCATTTGACGCGACAAGGCTGAGAAAGCTGGGCCTCTTTTCGACCCCCCGAAAAAAGGCACACGCGACATATTACTCGACGGCGACATCTTTTTCAACGCCAGTTACTCGACGACGACATCATTTTCACAGCCGATTACTTGACGACATCTTTTTCACCGCCGGACTCTGGCACGAAATTCCCCGCCTCGAGACGGCACCCTTTTACTCTCTCATGCGATCCATTCAGAGGAGCTTCCGCAGAAGCCATCCATGACGACAATCATTAGCCTTCGACAGCCGCTGGAACTTCTTAGCATGAGCGACCAGCCAGTGCGCCGATCAAAGCGCCAGCCGGGTTCGTTGGCCCATGACTCCAGAGAACGGGGAGACGGAGGAGACGAGAGACTGATGCTGACGAGGAAAACAGCCGCCGACTATGAACAAGACGACGATTTTCAGTTTGTGCGAAAATCAAAAAAGGCAAAGACCGCCGAGGAATCGCAGCCCGTAAATCTTCCCGTGAGGAAATCGAGAGGAAGGCCATCTGCGGCGGCCGTAGCAGCGAGGGAGCGGGCGGTGAGGGAGTCGATTGGCGGCGATGAGGACGTGGAGCTGATTACGGCGGAGCCGGCCCGGAAATCGACGAAAAAGTCTTCTTCATCAAGGCGAAAGGCGTCGAGTGACGCGGTACCGGACGAGCCACCCGCCAAGTCTTCAAAGAGGGGAACGAGGAAGAGCACGCGAGTATCAAACGAAGATGCAGCATTGGAGGAGGAACAGCAGCCCCCGCCGCGGACTAATGGCTCTTCAACCAGCCAGAGCCGTAGCAAGAAGGCGTCAGAGCCCAAGGCGCCGCCACCGGTGACACAGGAGGAGGAGGAGGACATGTCAATAGTAGAGGAGACGGCGGAACGACCAACCAAGATCGCGCTCCCCATGAGCGATACACCCATCATCAACCGCAACAAAGAAATGCGAAAGAAAGGAGGAAACGGCAGCCGGAGAAGCAGTCTGGGATCTCGCGGGCGCAGAGCGAGCTCATTAATCGAGAGCGGGCAGACGGCTATTCCGCATCGCGAAGTTAGCACGTCCGCGTTCTACAAGCACATTGAGGCGGATTTACTGGAACCGCGGAGGATGAAGCAGCTGCTGATATGGTGCGGTGAACGAGCGCTATCGGAGAAACCGCGCGGTACCTTGAACTCTGGAGCAGTGCTAGGAGGTAAGAGCTTTTTCTTCTAATTTGAAAGATCGGTGTTTATAATGGCAATCCCATTGTGCTAACGGATTTGTTGCTAGCCCGTGCGATTCAAGACCAGCTGCTGAAAGACTTTGCGTCAAGGTCTGATTTTTCAGACTGGTTCAACAGAGAAGACAAAGTACCTAAAGCACCAGTCATACTAAAGCCAAATCCCCGTAACATTGAGCTGGATGAGAAACTGGCAACCTTACAGGCGCGAATTAAGAGGCAAGTCCCTTTGGGTGGTGCTCTCAACATGGAAGCTAGCTAACCATGACTTTAGATTGCAAGAAGAAAAGAAAGCGTGGCTAGCAATACGGAAACCACCGCCAGAGCAGCCCCCTCTATTCACAGCAAAAGAAAAAGAAGCGGAAACAATCACACTCCCCGATTTCGACTTATTAGACCCCGATGAAGGCAAAATAAGGGGCTTTCTCGTCGATGAAACCAACTCATTTGCAAGCATACGATCACAGACACAAGCAAGGCTACGGAACATCCAATCGTCTCTCGAATTTGAAGTGGATCAATTAGCAGACAATGTTCATAAGCTGGAACAAAGGGTCAAGGTCGCAGGCACGGAGGCCGACCGAGTACTGAGTCTAAGCGCCGTCAGACTACGGGAGCGAGAAGAAAAGGAGAGGAGGAGGGCAGGAACCAAAGAGATGCCAATAATGGAGGTGTTGAGAAGCTTAAGCTTAATACTGCCCGAAGGAGGGGGTTGATGATTTTGTGGAAGTTGGAAAAAGAAGATGAAAGACATCTTGTCCCCTTATCGTTTTTCTCCTGGCATTTTCATAAAGGCTCTGCGCTTCATTCATGATACCCTTCTTCCTCCTCCTCTCCTTTTTTGCCAACTCCTTATAAAAAGGACCTGCAACATGGACTTGTGCCTTGATTATTTTAGTTTCCATTTTCTTTTTTTCATGAGACATACTGATGACGAGACGAGGCGGCACGGCGCTCGGGTTGATTTGATGGATTTTTTTTTTTCATTCCGCCCTCCTTTCTTTTTCTTTTTCTCTGTCTCCTATTTCCGTTTTGATGGGGTGGTTTGGGTTTCACTTGATTGGGGGGTTGCTTGAATGAAATCCATACTTTTTGGTTTTTACTTCTTCTCTCATAAAGCAAAGCTTGTTAGATTTGGTGGGCTGTGTTTTGTTTTTTTGGGTTGCGATTGGGTGTGGGAATTATATACCGATTTGATTGGCAGGAAGGGGGGATAAAAGCAAGTGCTGAGCATTGGCTGATGGACAGCAACGCAGAGCGAGGATGAAGGAGGAAAAGCTGGATGAGGTGAGGAGGGATAGGAACATTACGGAGCGTGTATCTAGTCTTCCTCTTCTCCCCCTTTTGGAATGAGAATGGTAGTTGACTTGGGCTTTTTGGTTTCCCGCATCTTTGGGAGATATTCTCCGTGCCACGCTTTTGGGAGATACTCTCCGTCGCTTTGTTTCCCATGTTCTGGAAAGTTTCTCGTGTTCTGGAAAGCATCTTCCCCCGTTGCTTATCGCTTACTTTCTCGCGATCTAGGAATACTTTCCTCCGCCGCTCTCTTCCTCTGATTCCGAAATATATCGTCGATGCGGGTTTCCGTTACTTCGTTTCCTTCTCGAGACGGATTAAAAAAAAAAAAAAAAAGAAGAAATGAACGATATGCAGCTTTCCTCTCTGGAATGAAGGTGTGCTGCCGACCAACAGCCCGTGGAACCCCAGCCTTTTCGTCTCTCATGGCGGTCTGTCGACATGAAGTGCAACGTGGGCAGCCATCGAGTGGATTGTACTACATGGACCACCTTTTAATCCGTTCTCTGATAAGGGTATGTTTGTCTCTCAGAGTTCCGGGAGGGTGTGAGCACCACGGGCCCTCTCCCTCTTCAGCTACCAGCCATGACAGATAATCTTCGCTCTGATCTCGGTCCCCTGACGACAACGTTTACTCCGCCAGCCGACTGCACAAGTCTTCAGTTCGTTGATAATGATGCGGTGGGTCTAAACCTCGCTGCCAGTCCTTATTGTTCCGAGGAATGGAGTGAGCACCTACGCTTTACTGGTCTCTCTGTCATAAAATCATGCTTTCCCGAAGGCTTCGCTTCTTTTTACAACTCAAACTCGGCTTACGTTGACCACATTGGCATATATTCGCCCGCGTCAATCTGTCCGTCGGGCTACACGGTCGCATGTGTTCACTCGCGTATTAAAAGACAGTCGAATCCATTCGAGAACCAAAGTTTCTTCGCTGCTGATTCTACAATATGAAGTTTGTTGCGTGATGGCGAAACTGCGACAGGCTGCTGTCCAATGTAAGTCCAAGACAATGCTCAAGCGGTATCTGGTTGCGATGGTCCCACTGATTTCGTTGATAACAAGCGGCTATGGCTGCGATCAAAAATATCCTGCAGCGTGCGCGTCACGTCACGACTACGCCTTTAGAGTGACAGACGGCGTAAAGTGTCTCGGCTCACTTACGCCATATACAAGTTTTATACTGGCCAAGTCTGCTGTTGCTATGAAAGTAATGGTGGTAGATGCAGCTACAACAGAGCACACAGCAACTCGAACAGCGACATCATCAGCTCCTACTTCATCTGCTCATACTCCATCGGCTCCCGCATCCTCTGTTCCTAGCGAGAGCTCTCTCCCCAAGCCCAGTCAAGGCCCGCCCCTTGCGGCGAAAATTGCCATCGGGGTGGCCATCCCTCTAGTAGCTATCCTCACAGGGGCCGCATGCTTTTTCATCTTTAGATACAGAAGAAAGCGAAAACTGTCTCAAGAAATGCATGAGCTCGGGCAAGATGCACGCGGCAACGGTGGTGATGATCTGGAAACACCAAAGCCGGAGCTGCCAGGCGATGCCGGCGTGGCGAGTGCTGGACAAAATGAAGATGCCTTTCGCAAGGCCGAGCTCGATGCTATCAGACATCGCTCAGGCGGTGCAGTGGAATTAGCTGCTGAAGTGACTAGTGGTAGAATACCAGAGTTGCATAGCAGTTCCAGCCCTAGGGAGCTGGATTCTACGTCCAAAGGGTTGAGCGTTGTTGATATAGTTGGGCATGATGTCGATAATCAGCATGTAGATGAAAGGAGCAGGGGATTGTGGCAATGGAGCAACTACCAGGACTAATGTAGATGGACAAAGTCAGTTGCAGGGAAAGCGCTATTATGGATATCGAGACATAATATTTAATGAGCACATATGCATACCAAGATAACCAGAGTATTTACTTGATTGATCATAATAAACTGGCTGAAGACTTCATAATCGGCGTCCTGGGGAACTTACAATTATACACGCATAAAGCATCCATCATTTATGAATTTAAATTGTCTTTTATTAAAGCTGAAAAGGCATCTTCTCACTTTCCCTTTTTTGTATCCTCCTCATCCCGATGGATCATACATCATGATATAACAAACGCCGGCGCATACCTACCACCCCTTTCCGCCTTCTGTATCCGTATGCCAACACGCAGCAAAGCCGCAATGTAATAGTAACGCTCCAAAGTCTCCCACAAGCATAACTGCCTCTCTCCCCTCTCCTCCTCCTTCTCCCCCCTGATATAGATTGATACTTTTTTTTGCAATCAAAGAGTTTAGATCAAGTGCTTGGACCGGAAGTACGCCCTCAGGTACATAATCTGCCATGCCCACAGAATAACGAGCAGCCAGGTCGTTCCGACGCCGAACCACTTGACACGGTTGTTTGTGCTCTCGTTGGTGTCGCGCAGCTTCTGCTCGCGCTGGCGCAGGTAGTCCATCTCGCGGACGACCTCGGCGGTGAGCTCCTCGATGCGGCGCAGCTCGGCCTCGACGGGCTTGAGCTTCTCGGTGGCCTGGATGGCGGACCAGTCCTTTGCGTCGGCGCCAATGTCGATGTCGAGCTCGACGGTGCGGAGGTTGATGACGGGCTTGTTGGCTGTTTGAAACAGTATATGTCAGTAAATATGGTTTATTTTGTAGGTTTTGAATTGGGTGTTAAAGGGGGGGGTTGTTGTTTGGAGAAAAAAAGGGAGGAGGGGCCTTTGAGTTGAGGCAACGTACGTCCAACCATGAGGTTCTCAAAGCACACGTCAAAAGCGGCATCGGCGTGAGAAGTAAAGACGATTCTCGACTCGCCGGCCACGTCCTTGGATCGGCCGTATTCGTTGCCAATGGCATCACGGACCTGTATTTCAATCTCGTCAGCTTTTCCTCTTAAGAGTCTCTTTCGTTCTCCCCCCGCCATACTGTACATACATGAATGTTGACCAGCATGCCGTCTCCCCTGTAGCCGTCGACGGTCGACGTCACAACCACCAGCGTGTCGCTGCCGACAAAGTTGCGAATGCAGCGCTCCTTCTTGAGGGACTCGCCGCCGGTGTGGGCCACGAGGTCGAACTTGAGGGCGTTGGCGGCGCTGACGAGCAGCAGCAGGCCGCAGAGCCACCGCATGGGCGAGAGGGCCGATTGCGCCATGGCCTGTGTTTTGAATATGGGTATCTCGACTGCTGCTGCTGTTGTTGTGAATTGCGAATTGTCGAGCTCGACGGGGTGTTGGTTGGAACTTCAGTTCATCGATTGAAGCTACAATTGCAATTAAGGACAAGACTGACCACCTTGGCTCTAATTCACACCAGCCGCAAAAGGTACAGGTGTCGCGTTTGGGGTTACTGTGGCTGGTGGCCAGATAAAGGGCCAAAAGGGAGCACCGTCCAATCAGCAGCCCGGGTGATAAGCTCGGCGTCACGTGTGGGGCAGCCTTGCCGTTCTTTTTCGGGACAAGCCCCAGCCTTTTGCTACAGCTGCATGCATTTGCCTTGATGGGATTCTTCTTCTTGTATCAATCTGAAGCAAAAACACCCAGCGCAATCCAGTCACGATGCCCAAGTGTAAGATTCCCTCTTTCCTCTCCAATGACTCAATAAACCGAAACTAACACATCTCGACAGTCTTTTGTAGGTCCAAATCCATCCACCACGAGCAGCCAAAACACCCTCTGCGACGCGCTCCCTCATGAGATCCCTCTCTCTCCCCATCTAACAACTTCAACCACAAACAGGCGACTACTGCGATGTCTACCTCACACACGACTCCATGTCGGTGCGCAAGGCCCACAACAGCGGCCGAAACCACCTGCGCAACGTCGTAGACTATTACCAGCGTTCGTCCCGACCCCATGTCTCTCTCTCTCTCTCTTCATATCCCGCCACTGACATGTGCCATTCATTGTACAGAAATCGGCCACGAAAAGGCCCAGTCCGTCATTGACTCGATTACTTCTTCGTACGCTGCCGAGGGCCAGGCCCATGCGAACCCGATGCTTCTTCAGAACCAGCCCGGCCAGGGATTTCCGGCCTTTGGCTTTCCCGGCGGTATGTCATGTTACATCCCCTTGGTTTCCTTGTCTCGCCACTCTCTGTCTACAGTCTCGAAAACGATACATATGAGAACGAGAAGGAAAGATCCGGAAGATACAGAAGATAGAACTAACACGGTTATCTTATTAGGCATTCCTCCACCATTCCCCGGTATGCCTGGAGCTCCTCCCGGCCAATTCCCCCAAGGCCTCCCACGTACGTCCTCATCCTCATCCTCTCCTCCCCTTCTTCTCTCACACATATTCTAATCCCAAGATCCAGCACCTCCCGGCGGTCGCGGCATGCCCTCCATGCCCCCCTTCCCCCCAGGCCCCAACGGAATGCCTCCCATCCCCCCAAACGGCCTCCCCTTCCCTCCACCTGGCGGTCTTCCTTTCCCGCCTCCAGGCGCACCCGGAGGCCCTGGTTTCCCTCCGCCAAATTTCGCTGGTATGCCGGGAATGCCGGTTCCGCCGCCTGGGCAGCATTCATTCCCTCCGCCTGGATTTCCTGCTGGGGGACCGCCTGCTCCTGGACAGGACAGGCGGTGATGAGTTCGGGGTTTCGGGAGTTGATTGGTATTTATTGAGTTGAGATTGAGTGATGGGTTAATATTGGCGCATGAGGCGTTTCTTTCTTTTGGCATTTCACAGCACATAAACTAGTTTCAGTAGACCAAAGGATGAAGAACCATCCAAAATATGACAATATTTTTCTTAGAACAACTTTTGCAATATTTGAGCATACATCATATCTGGGCAACACATTCTGAACCAAAGCACGCGTCATTCATTTTCATTCTCAAAAAAAGTTCCTTCTCTCGTTTCACTCTCAAAAATCATTAATGCATATAACATCATATCCAGCAAAAAGGAAAAAAGACATCGTAGCAATCAAATTTCTCATCCCCCAACGTCTTCTATAATACAGCTAAACATCAAAAGAAAAAACGTAAAGCAAGATGAGATGAGCACAAAAAAAAAAGGCATTTCATTCGTTTCCAGTTCATGAGATGCCTCGAAAAGCAATCTAGCCGCCCCCATTCTTTAGATTCCGTATTCTTCATGCAAGGCCAATAATATAGCCAGCAACGTAGCAAAAAAAGACAGAAAGAAAAGAGGAGCAAAAAAGGATATATATAAAAAAAAGCAAAAACGTAACTCAAAAAGGGGAGCCCCTTATCAAAATGTACATCCTGACGAGAGCAAATTAAAATGAGACGTTGAAATTCAAAATGAAAAAAGCCCTCCAGGGTCTTTTTTCGTCAATGGATAAAAAAAAGAGGACAAACTGTGGCATTTCCATCTCTCCAAAGGCAGAGTCGTCCAAAGCATCAAATCATCAAATCGTTGCAGAATTAATCGTAAATGCAAAATGCTGGCCATCTACTAATGTGTCCCGTCATTTCGTCTTCAAGAAAAAAAAATTCTTTCGTCCTTTGTCGTCATCATTGCTTGCATCATCAAGAAAAACGCCAGCAAGTAGCACCAAGATTCTTCGCTTGAAAAAGAAAAGAAGTCTTAAAATCGTCCAGCCGGGTCGAGTTGAGCCGCTCCGTTGCCGGGTCTGATTACTTCACCAACGCCGTCTCGAACTTCTTTCGGCCCGCTAATCATCTGCCGAAGTCTCTGCGATCGTTTCTCGCGTCGTCTCTCGCTTATCTTTTGCGGAATATTTTGTATTTCTTCCAACTTGCTCCCAATGGAAAATCGCCGTGAACCCATCACACTGCCTCGGCTAATGCTTCGTCTTCGCCAGAACCGTTTGCGAGGTTCACCCACAATCGATCTTGGGTCTCTGCTCTGACTCTGTCGTCGTCTAATCGATTCAGCGCTGATTTTGCGGCGTACAATGCGCAGGTTGCCACTTGATGTCCGTTTGATTGTCCGGCGCTGGGGTCCATGCACGTCATCGACATGATATTCTTGTGATGGCAGAATTGAAAAAGTCTGCTTCACTTTTTGGCTAAAGCTCCTTGTTGGTCTTCGCGGGCGGTTGTCCACAGGGGGGTATCGATAGACTTCATCATCCCGTTCATAATCGTCCTCATCGTCGCTATATTCGTCCTCATCGGACCTAGGTTCAGAATCCTCATCGCTGATCCACTGGGGACGCCAAAACGGATGCAGCTTGTCCTCTTCCGTTGGCTGTTCATTGTCTCTGTATAGAGAGATGTCGCTGTCATCACGAGTTCTCCGTGACAAAGAAAAGGTCCTGGCAAGGAAGCCTGGCCCTCTCGAAGTTGACACGTAGTCGATGGAATGGCGCCGGCGGCTGAAAGCTCTCCTGACGATGGAGGGCCGTCGAGGAGGCTTCTCCTTCAAAGATTCAAAGTAGTTCCCTTGCAGAATAACTCGCTCAGCTGCAGGCGTCATACCCGATGGTGTGGCGGGAATGAAGTTGATTGCGGGAGGGTACCTCGGCGGTTGTGGTGGAGCTCGCGGGTTGCGCAGAGGTGAATCCACCTCGAGGGAAGAGAATCTCTTCTGGGGAGGAGTGACGGGAGCCTGGTCATACAAATGCGCCACCAATGATTTTGGAGGGCTGGAAACGCGCCTCACCAACGCTGCCTCTGACGGCCGGTTCGAATGATTAACCATAAGGACCGACGAATTTTGATGGGGGAACATTTGAACAGCGAGGGCTTCTACCAGCTCAGGGGCCGTTGCACACGTCTCCATGGACGCAACCGAGAAAGGCGTATTCCGCAATGGAATCTTCTTCACCGAAAGTACATCATCGTGCTGATCAATCCCAAGGGTATCAAACGGGTCCTCTCTTTCCAAGTCCTGCATCCCAGGGGATAAAGGAGATAGAGGGGACAGAGGGGACAGCGATGGCGTGCTGGGACAGATGATGTGCACTTCCTGGCTGCAATGGCGATTAAGTTGCTGTTCGATCTCGGCATTGTGTACCTTGACGCTGCTAGCAGTCATTGATCCGCGCCTAGAAGCGTTAAGTTGCTGTTCGATCTCGGCATTGTGTAGCTTGACGTTGCTAGCAGTTATTGATCCACGCCTAGAAGCGTTGCGACTAGTTGGAGCTGAGAGCGATGAAGACCGCTGCGGAATGATCGGAGGGAAATCAATCGTCCTTTCAGATCTATCGGATTCGGAATACGCTCGACTCCGACGAGCAGGGCGATCAAAGACGGGGCCAGAGTTTGCAGATGGCGATGGATCACGGGCAGGGGCGGATTTGACGCTTTTTGCCTTGTCTGAGTGCCTGCTAGATGCCGATCGAAGAGAAGGCTCCCTGCTCTTGGGACCCCTCGACGATCGTCGTTCAGGGACAATGACTACCGGGATACCACCACTCTTCCATATCTCCCTTCTCGCGGTTCTACTCGAGATGGACCTGTTTGTTGAGTGTGTGACGGTTGAGATGTAACTCTCGCGATCATAGGAATCCAGCTGACTTTGTGTAACCTTGGAAGGTTTAGGAGCCTCCTCTTCTTTCTCTTTCACGTCTTCCGTACGGGCTATTGAACCAGTGTCTACCTTGCTTTCAACAGCACCTCTCAAAGTGCTTTGCTTTCGCATGTGGCGCAGAGTTCTCTCCCTTTTCGGGGGGCCATCAACAAGAAAAACCTCGACCACAGTTGACTGGCTAGAGGTGCTTAATGGTCGCTCTCGCTTTGCCGTCGCCTCTACTTGCGGATGGACCAACTTGGCAGGCTTTCCATCATTGGGTCTCTTCGAAGACGAGACTACGGGTGCTGCCTCCTCGAGTTGCATGTTGCGTACAGCTTTCGTGGCATCGGCAGGCCCAACAGATACTTTGTCTTCAACGACAGGGTCATGATGCAAAATTGGCCGCGAGGCTCCCGAGGGTCGACGTCGATACTGGTTCTTCTGGGACATAACCGCATTCGAAGAGCGGGCATCCTGCGAATGCTCAGCTTCTGGGGCAGCGTCCCGTCTGTCGACAGATTCAGAAGCTTTAGGCTTCGCTTTTGGCGTAGAGTCGCCTTCTTCTCGCCTTCCATCTCCAGTCGGTGTTCTCTGTACTCTATCCGAAGGAGTTATTGGTCGCACCGCATCACGATTAGTGTTAATAGTGTTAGCAGCCGGAATGATGGTAGTATGCGAGGCCGCTGAAACCTTGCGAGGCCGAGGCCATTCGGCTGCTGTTTCGTCCTCCGAAGGCGTCACCTCCTCGCGGGCGGTGATGAAGGACTCGGCCCTTGACTCCGTGCCCATTGTGCTCCCCGAAGCCATGCGGTCCTTTATGCTAGGCCGCGGGTTCTTGGCGAGGCTTGCAGGATGCGGCGGGGTGACATCTGGGGTCGGGGGGCTGCGCTGGTCCGGAGGGGTGGCTGGCGGTCGAGTCGCGACGACATTCGGCAGCCTGACGCTACTTTCGGTGCTCGTCGGGCTCGATGCGGCGGCGGAGTGGCTGCTGGAGGATGCGTTTGATTGTGCGGGCGGAGTTGGAGGCAAATCAGGCCCAGTGTTTATTCTCCTGAGCTGGTGTTTTAAGGGCTGGGGATTCACGGTCGGGTGAGGCGTCGAGCTTCTGGGCACCGTCGCCGCGCTGGCTAGATTGGGTTTGCGCCTAGAGCCATCGTGCGGCTGATCGATGTGCGGCCGCGGCAGGACTCGGTGCTTCTTGAACTGGCGCGGCGCCGCAGCCTCAGGTACGGAGGTGGGATTCATCTGAGAAGGCGCCGCCATCGTGGCGATCGTAAAAACTGTTGCTGGGAGCTGCGAGCAAAAAAGGAAGCGCAGGCTGCCACTAGTAGTATATTTCACGGACTACGTGGCGGCGGCGTGGTTGAGACAGGGGCCGCTTTGCATGATGATGGACAAGTAGGTTGTGCTGGACCTGATCAGGCGATACAATTGGTGAGTCCAGCTAATCGAGATGAGGGCGCGGTGCGGTCGTGAATGGCCAGACGGACGAGCGAGGCGAGCAACAAGTCTGCTGGGTCCCAAAACAACGAGGGCCAATCTGAAACGAGAACAGCAAGCAAAGCAAAGTGTAAGCAAAGGAAACGGGCTGAGTTTGCGTCAACAGCCCAAGAAAAAAGAAAAAAAGACACACCCCGTCGTGCCGTACAGCTGGCCAACAAAGGGCCGGGCGCAGGTGCTGAGGCGACGGGTGAGACGCTGATGAGCTGATAATTGGACGCAGCAGCGGAAAGCGAGTGAGAAGCAAAAGAAGGGAATCTGGCGCTCAAAGAACGAAGCCCAGGACGATGAAAGGCGCAAAGCTGGAGAGGAAAGAAAAAAGCGGAAATAGAGCGACCAGGTGGTTGGTGAGACGCCTGGCAGTAGCAGCAGCAGCTGGGCCCCCCCCGTGGTCGCCAGCCTTGATTCAAGGCTCGTTCCGAAAAGAGAATCGCAAGGTTCACGATGCAGGGGGTGACACGGTGACGATGGACCGATGGCACATGGCGGAAGCGATTCGATTCGTCGAGGCGGGACGAAGCAGGAGGAAGGGAAAAGGAAGAGATGTGCCGTTGCCCACTCAGTCAGTACGTGCTGTACATACGGAGCAGAGCAGCGACGATGTGATTTGATGCGCTGCGATGCGATGCGATGTGAGGTGATGTGTAGGAGGCAGAATGAAACTGACTGGTCTGACTGGGGCGGGGCGACTATTGGATTGATTGGTAGTGGACAGTACAGTGGGCAGCAGGTACCTGATACCCGGCAGCATGTATGTACGTACAGCACTGTCGATGCAGATTGATGCAGATGCTGGGCAGAA